AAAGTGACCCAACCGCAGAGCGTACCGCCAAAGTACCAGCCGACCATGAATAGGGCATTGGCGATGGATCGTTGCTTCGGGTGGGCGATCTCGTTGATCAAGAGAGGAGCCGAGTTTCCGAGCCACGAGGCGGCGATACCGATGAAGAGACGGGAGTAGGTGAAGGTTGCTTCGTTTTGGGCTGCCGTTTGCATGACGACACCGAGAATCAGGAACAAGTATCCGACGTAGATGCCAGGCTTGCGACCCCAACGGTTGGAGCATATGGCGGCGATGGGGAAGGCGATACCGTTCCCGAGCCAGTAGATACCTGTGATCCAACCAAGGTATGCGCCGGAGGGGTTGTGCGTAAAGGCGTTCCATCGAGGAAGGGCGAGGAGACCGCCCATGATGGATCCATCGTAACCGTTGGCAGAAGCTGGAAAGTCAAAGTCAGCTACAACAGGCCACTGTTTGTTGAGCCGAGTTTACACACAGAACAACACCATAGACAAGGTGATAAAATTGAGCTTCCGCAAGTGGGCGTGCTTCCACCAAGGGAGGTCATCGCCGGGGATCACGGCCAGGTCCTCGACAGGTTTACCCATGTTGACGTTGGGTTATCAGGGTCGCAAGAGAGGCTGGCAAAAGGATCAGAGGCAGAAGTTTCCGGATACAAAGAGAAACTCTCAAAGATGTTGTCGTCAAGTTGTCTGGACTCTTTAGAGCCTGCGAGCGCCGTGAAGCAGGGTCACATCACACAGTCCAGGGGGGAAGAAGGCAAGGTCTATATACAATCGATACTCCCTTCACAAGTGACAACAGGGGAAACAAGTCGGAATCTGGCTTGCGATTTGCGTACGAAAAAAAACTGAGGAGGTGGAGCATGGCATCCCGATGCCCCGGTCGTCGCGTGTTCGTCCGGAACGCAGATTTGGGTCGGATGGGGGATTGGGGAGGGGCCAGAACTCTCCAGTGTCACGCCCCATGGAGAAAACGCTTCCAATGCAGACCGTCGCGGGGGCCCATACGACCCACTTGACAAACAATGGTAAAAGTGGTTTACGAAGTAGTCGTAAGGTCGTAAGGTTGGTCTGGAGAAAGGAGGACACGGGGGCGGAGAATTGAGTCAGTTCATGCTTTGATGTGACGGGAATAGTCAGAGTTGAGGTTTTCAAGAGTCAGGAGACCAACGGGACTAACACTGAGGCGGAGAAATGTATTCTTGGCTAACGTTGGCCTTTCCATAGCTGAAGCTGCTTAGACCAAACAATGCCCTGTGCCTCACCCCACTAAGCCGTGGCAGTTGAGGCCGGCTTTCAGACCATTTTTTCTATTTCTCCGCCTTCGAGAACGTTTCCCCATCGTGACCAGATTTCCGGCGCGTCGGCTCACCATCCACGCGACTCTGAAGCAGTAAAGTGGACAGTAAAGACCCAGAATACTCACTGATTCAAGTCTGACTACGTCATGGCCTTCGGAATGCGATTCTTTATGCCCGACGTGTGGATCAAAACCCCGCGGTCGAGGGGAGACACAGAGACCATGCTGGAGACTTGGGGCTCCCCGCGCTGGCTCTGGACTCTCGGAATAAAGAGAAGCGCCCGACGATCGGCTCAATTTCTCCCTTGATCAATTGCTGGTGTCTATTCTGTTCTTCTTCAGACGAACTTCGGATCTTGTTGTTAGAATTCACCTGTCTCTTCGCTGTCTGAACTGTTTCCCAAGACCAGCTTCCTGTCACACGTTTCATCATGGATGTCGAAGCACTTCTTGAACAGCTCACGCTGGAGGAGAAGATCTCACTCACGGCTGGTCAGTTACCAGAAACTATCACTTGAACTCAATTCTGACTAGAAAAAGGCGTTGGCTGGTGGCACACTGCAACAGTCGAGCGCTTGGGAATCAAGCCAATCCGTCTCTCTGACGGCCCCAACGGCGTTCGCGGTACACATTTCTTCGACAGCACACCTTCCGCGTGCCTTCCGTGCGGAACTGCCATCGGCGCAACATTCGATGTCGAGCTGGTCCAAAGGCTCGGCCGCCTACTGTCAGACGAAGCTCACGCAAAGGGCGCCCACGTCCTGCTTGGCCCTACAATCAACACCCAGCGTGGGCCCCTGGGCGGACGTGGTTTCGAGTCCTACTCCGAGGATCCGGTATTGTCTGGCATCCTCGCCGGCAACTATGTCAATGGCGTCCAAGAGTCAGGCGTATCAGCCACGCTGAAGCACTTTGTGTGCAACGATCTCGAAAGCGAGCGTATGGCTGTCAACGCCATTGTGACCGACCGTGCCATGCGCGAGATCTACCTGCTTCCCTTCATGATCGCCATTGAGATGGGCAAGCCCCGCGCGATCATGACCGCCTACAACCAGGTCAACGGTGTCCATGCGGCGGAGAGCAAGAAGATCTTGCAGGATATCCTGCGCGACGAGTGGAAATGGGACGGACTGGTCATGAGCGACTGGTTCGGTACCTACAGCACATCTGAGGCCATCAAGGCCGGCCTCGACCTCGAGATGCCAGGCCCTAGCAGATGGCGCGCCGGAGCCCTCTCCCACGCCATCATGTCTAACAAGGTCAAGCGATCAGAGCTCGACTCGGCGGTGCGAAACGTCCTGAAGCTGGTCAAGCAGGGCCTCGAGAACACCTCCATCCCACCCAACGCCCCGGAAACCGAGGCGAACACACCAGAGCACATTGCGCTCCTGCGCGAAGCAGCCGCTAAGTCTTTGGTACTCCTGAAGAACGAGAGAAGCATCCTTCCTTTTGACAAGAACAAGAAGATCGCTGTCATCGGGCCCAACGCGAACATCGCGACCTACTGCGGCGGTGGTAGCGCCGGACTCAGAGCCTACAACACCGTCACTCCTCTGGAGGGCGTCAAGTCCCTCGCAAGCGACGTCGTTTTCTCGCAAGGTGCCTACGGTCACCAGTCTCTGCCTCTCCTTGGCAAGGCTCTCAAAACACCAAACGGAAAGCAAAGGGGTTTCGTGCTCCGCATCTACAACGGACCCCCACCCAAGGACACCGCCAGCTCAGCCGACAGCCGGACACCCCTCGAGGAGCGCGTCCTCGACGATGCCAACATCTGGTTCGTCGACTACGAGAACGCCGACCTCAACCCCATCTGGTGGGCCGAGACTGAGGGCACCCTCGTCCCGGAGCGATCAGGAGAGTGGGACTTTGGCCTGTCAGTTCATGGCACCGGCGAACTCTTCATCGACGGCAAGCTGGTCGTCTCCAACGTGGAGAACCAGCGCCTGGGCAGCAGTTTCCTCGGCTGCGGTACGGTCGAGGAGACGGGCACTATGCACCTGGAAGCCGGACGAAGCTACCGCGTCTTGGTGCGCTTCGGCTGCTCTGCCACCAGCAAGGTCAAGGCCTCCGGCACCGTTGACTTTGGCCAGGGCGGCGTCCGCTTCAGCGGCTGCCCTAAGCTCGAACCTGCTACCGCGATTCAAGAGGCCGTGGAGGTCGCCAAGAGCGTCGACCAGGTCGTTGTGTGCACCGGTCTGAGCGGCGAGTGGGAGTCTGAAGGATTCGACCGGACGACGATGGCTCTGCCTCCTGGCACCGACGAGCTTGTTGCTGCTGTGCTGGCGGCGAACCCTAACACGGCTGTTGTCGTTCAGAGCGGTACGCCGGTCTCCATGCCTTGGATCGACCAGGCTGGCGCCGTCCTGCATGCTTGGTTTGGTGGCAACGAGTCTGGTAACGGCATTGCGGATGTACTTTTTGGAGAGGTCAACCCGGTAAGCTATCTCAGGTATATCAGAGAGCGTGAAGTGACCCTACTAACAAGCTACATCGCAGGCCGGAAAGCTTCCCCTTACGATGCCGCGCCGAGTACAAGACAACCCCGCAGCACTAAGTTTCCGCTCAGATAATGGTCGTTGCTTGTATAGTGAAGATGTTTACGTCGGCTACCGCTGGTATGACACGCTCGACATTGAGCCCCTGTTCCCCTTCGGACATGGCCTTTCCTACACGACATTCGAGGTTACCGATCTCGAGGTGTCTGATGCGTCGGCCCAGACGAATGGCCACGCCAATGGCAACAACACAATCACGGTTCAGGAGGCGGATAGCCTCACTGTCCGCGTCAAGGTCGCAAACACTGGCTCTCGTGCCGGCTCTGAGGTCGTCCAGGTCTACGTCACACCAGCGGCGCGCACGCCGTTGACCAGCACAACTCGCGATACCATTACCCGTCCCAAGAAGGAGATGAAGGGCTTCACAAAGGTCACGCTGGAAGCCGGAGCCAGCGTCACGACAGAGATCTCTTTGGATGTTCTGCGTGCGACGAGCTACTGGAGCGAGATGGAAGACTGTTGGCGTAGCGATGCCGGCTCTTACGGCATTCTCGTGGGAACCAGTAGCCGTGGAGAGTTCCTCGAGAAGACCGTCAAGGTGGAGATGTCGAGGACATGGAAGGGATTGCGGGCATAGACGAATAGACTTAGACATGCATTTTGTACATAAGTGGGTGGGATATTAGACATCATGCGTTGAGACGAGGATTAGAAACGCCTCATAACGCATGTTCTGCTCATGAGAGCACAATTCAAAGTTGAATATACCCGATGATGATCAAAGCAGTTGGCAGAGGGATGTGCCTTCTGAGTAATCTTGGTGATTTGAAGATTTCTTCGTAGAGCTTCACGTTAACGGTTCCACTCGAGAACCTCCGTATGCTAGTTTGAGTCGTGTCATCCCACTTGACGGATCTAATCTCAGAGATTGTCGGCCTTTCGCCGCGATCACCCACCAACAAACTTCGGGCGTTGCCCGAGTCATCCCTGGTGGTAAAACATCTTCCGATCACGCGCAAAGCTGCCATCCCATGTCTAACCCCATTCGAGAGTGGGAAATCCGCTGGGGACCCCGGGATTTATCGGCCGGGGCCACCACGCGCCTCCATCAAGTCCCATTCACCATGGATTAGCGTTGGGATCAAATAACACTAAAAGGGAGCATGTCAACCCCCTTTCATCCCATTTCTCCGCATTCTTCACATTTCTCCCCCTCATTTTCCCTCTCCACGTTTTCCAGAAATCCCGGCAGGATGGGTGCGGCACCACCATCCCTATCGGTCCGAATTCCACCAGCATGCGCCGTCGCTCGAGCACTCAGGCTGCGTCCGTCAGCGTCTCGCCAACTGCGATTCGAAGGGCTGCTAGCAAAACGCCAGATGAGACTACAGGCTTATCGTCGACGGCAGCGGTGAGATCGAGCATCGCCAGCAGAGCGTGCGACGCTTGTCGTGCTCGGAGGAGAAAATGCCACTTTGACGGGTCTTCGCCCCATGCTGAGGGCCCGTCTCCGACGCAGTGTCGTGATTGCTGCAGACTCGGCATACCATGCAGCTTCCTGGTGCCCACGAGGCCGCGGGGACCTAAACGAAGGTATGAAGATCCGGGGTAGCAGGGGGGTTTCGTTCTGTGTGTACATTCTACCCAGAGTCACTCACTTACTGGCTCGGCAGGAAACGTCTCCCCTCAATGTCTGATAGGAGCGAGAGTGAGCTTCCCAATGAACCGGAGACTCATCATGTAGAGACTGCCGAGCAGCAGTCTCAGCAAGTTCCTGAGCCTGCAGCTAGCATTGAGCCTGTCCTCGTCTTGCCAGGTCAGACTCCTCCATCAAGACCTTCACAAGCCAGGTCTCCCTATGGCCCGCCTCATTCTGCCCTTCATGGCCCATCTCCGCGTGCCGCAGCCCCGGTCCAAACGGATTCGCCCTCGGTAGCCGGCGCTGGGTTCCCAACAGATGAGTTATGCTCAAGAGCACTCATACACATCTTGATGGCAGATTACCTCGATTTGGTCTACCCGCTGGTGCCCGTGGTCCATCGGCCCAGTTTCCGTCATGATCTGGCCACAAATCGGGACATAACTGATCCGGACTTCTTTGCTGTCCTCATGAGTTTGGCCGCGCTCACTGTCGGCTTGTTGCCGTCGCGCTTCCGTGACTATAGGGCAGTTGACCCCGAAGCTGCGATGCGCTTTGAAAATAGGACTGCAATGATTAACTGTTGCGCGGAGATATGTACTCGACAACGGACTGCAAACTACTGGGACCACATCAACCATCGGAAATGGGCAGTGTGTTATGTTCTTTCCGTCGCCTGTTTTCAAACAGGTCAGGTCAACCGGAGCCGGATGTTCGATGTGGAGTACTTGCAAGTTTCGCGACTTCTTGGGCTGCATCGCATTTCCGAGTATGAGGGTCTCAACTGCATCGAGACCCAATTACGGAAGAAGGCCTTCTGGATGCTCTTCTATGGCTACGCGTAAGCCAAGCTCTCATCCATAGTATACTACTTCGATCATAAAGACTAATGAATACTAGGCATACTAGAGTCCAAGCAGGACGCTGGGAAAGGCTGACATACTTTGGGCCTGGTGAGCTACGTGAGGTCAACTACGAAGCTCTCATGCCCCTCGACATTGACGATGAACATATCTTCAGAGACAGGATCCTAGACCCCGTCTCTCCAATGGCATCACACGGAACACCATCCGCACATGCGCAGGAACCCCGAGCCACATTGACACTCACCAGCGGCTTCATCATCCATTCCCGGGTATTCCACAAGGGCCTCCAAGAAGCCATAGCCACATTGGGCTGCGAATGTGAGCTCCGTCGCACCCCCGCCGCCCGTCTAGCACGCATGCGCGATCTTCTCCAAGAGATGAGATACATGCTCGACGACGTTCCGGGCCCCATGCGGCAATGGGCTTCCAACGATGGGGGTACCGATGCGGCCCCCAGCACGCCGCGGTTTGATGATGAGAGAGCTACAGCTGCCGCATCGAGCTATGGCAGCCCGGCAGACTATAGCCGTGCTCCGGAGGCCGGATCCTACTCACAGGTGATCCAGGGCCAAGCCGAGATCATGAGGGCCAACATCCATGTCACGCATCTGTGGTTGCAGAGCTTGCTGCTGGAACAAGTCGACGGTGTGACACAAGAGAGCGCGATTGCCAACCCCTCGACAACTGGACGTGAGGAAGTATCGGCCGCCCTGAAAGCGAACTGGGCTGAGCGTGAGGATATTTGCCGTCAAATGCTGCACTTGCTACACAGCATCCCATACATTCACCTGGAACCAAACGGACTCTACTTGGTATGCTCAACGCTCGATCCCAGCTCATGCAAAGTTCCATCTCTAATAACATCTCTTCAGGCGTACAAGGTTCGCGATGTAGCTGTAACACTACTTAATTGTCCGTTCGAAGCCCACGAACGGCCTGCCCGTCGGGCGGTGGAGTACATGCGGGACTTCACTCGCGCGTTGTCGCGCCTCGATCGAAGTGAGATTGTGAATACGAATAGTCTGAAAAGCTGGATCGATATCGACCGGGAGCCTGCAATTTGACAGGATGGTCTACAGCATTTCGGCATCGACAGGTGGGACGCTAAATTCACCAAGTCAAAAGGGCTGGCCTTATCGGACTATGGAACGGTGCTACGAATTCACAATCAGAGTCACATATAAACGGCATTCATCCTATCTCAAACTAGAATCGTATTGAAAGATGATCAGATCATATGTGGTTATGTCATGCGTCACTAGTAGTTGGCGTGCTCAAGCGTCAGTACCTCCAGCGGCTTACAGTGTTGCGTGGCGCATCGCACCACCTTCAACGCAGCAAAACAGGCCCAAGACTTGCCGGCATGGTTCCCTGAGGCCAAAAGTAAATAGTCCACTCACAAGGAGTTAGTATGTCTTGAATAAAGGCAAAACAATCAAAAGATTTGAACCCGGAGAGGTTCGAACTCTCGACTTTGAAGAAGCATACTGTCGTGGTGATCACGAAGTATAAGCATCACACTCTAACCAACTGAGTTACGGGTCCTGGGTTGCGCCGGAAAACCCTGGATTGCGGGTCTATCTTGCGCGTCTCCGTGTTTCCCCCGTGTTTGCTCGAGTTTCTGAGCGCCAAGGTGGAAGCAATGTTTGTTGTGGTGGGGGGTTTGCCAGTTTGGCGCCACAGCTTTGCTCGGAACAAATGCGCGAGAATATGCTCGAAACAAATGATACAATGACAGTGGAAAGTTTGTGAGTGCAATTGAGGACTTGGGTTGAAAGCCTGGGAAGTACGAAACTTTGAAGGGAATTTTTCCATTTCCCCCAAGTTTTTCCCGAAGAGACCAAGTGGGCTCTGCCACCAATGAAATGGCTTGGTCTAAGTCCCTCGCCCCCTCTGGCTCGAGCTGTCTGAATCGCCATGTCATTAAGCCACAACTTGGTAACCTCGGCTTCTTTATACGTTGTCGGGCTGCGCTTCCAGACCTGTTGGGACTTCGTCACTTGAATCACAACGACTGGGGACTAAGAAGACTAAACTTGGAAGGAAACATTGAGATTGCGGTCTGGGTATCGTTCATCCTTGATAGACGCTATTCAAACCATAGAGTACAAAAATAGAGAGCTGGCTGGTTAAACAAGGGTCAGGGCTCATCCGTCCAACGATTTCAAGACATATCACAAGTCATCATACCACCAACGCCTTACTGATCGAGCTTGTCGCTCTATCACCCATTCTTTGTCATTATTTCCTACCAACTTCCCTGCCCTCCTACTCTTACACAGATCACTCCTTTGTCGATGGTCGGTATTCACTTTCCTGCTCTGCGAATGAGAAACGTGGCATGTATCTGGGTGGTGGAGAGTTACCCGAGTCTCTCGCCGTTGGCAGCTCGACTGGCGTAGCGGCGGGTGCAGCAGGGGCCGCAGCAGGAGTTGTCGCCTGGTTATCCGGGGCTTCGACGACGACGCTAGGAGCTATAGACGAGATCCGGTGATCGCTAGGACCTAGGTTAGCAAAATAAAAAAACAGCAGCAAGATCCGAAGACACTTACTGGTAGGTCTGCATGCCGTTAACAGGATGTGTGAATCCGGTAGGTTGGGGGCTCAGTTGAGGGGAGAACTGGGCCGTCGGAGTGGCGTGATCACGGTAGGGACCGCTGAAGTTACTGTAGTGACTGTTTCTCCATCCTTGAGTTGATGGACTCTTGGGTTGCATCGAGTAGTTGAGCTCCGTGACCACGGGCTGGGATGGGGCAGTGGAAGGTGCCTGGTACGCGGTAGAGGTTCTCTTATACGCGCGATTGATGCCGCCTCGTCGGCCGCACAAGTATACCAACAGGCCTCCCAGGAGGAGGAAAGCTAGAGAGCCGATCACGATACCGGCGATTTGGCCGCCGCTCACACTGTGATGGTAGTTGTTGATGATGGCGCCGTTATTGGAGCCGCCGCTGGTTGCCTTTGGTGCATCTGATTCAGTCGGGAAGGGTTCGCCAGGAATAATCTGGGTGGTCAGTGGGAGGGCTGCTTCGAGCTGTTTGTCGAGGGTCTGGGTTGAGTTCTGAGACTTTGTGAATATACGTGAATCTTCTGGCATTCTTGTTGGTATGTCTTACCTCGTTGATAACACCGATCATCTTCTCTTTGTAGCATGAACCAGGAGCACCACAGTAGTAGAAGATCGGAAGGGTGTCATTGACGCGAAGTCTATATCGTGGCATCTGAATCATGTTAGTCCCCATGACCCGCCTGATTCTCGTGGGCCATACTGACATCATTCGTAATGGCCTTGACCGACTGGTTTCCGCTGTAGAAGCCCTCACGACCAATGTCGATGTACTCGTATGGCGTGCAAGGAAATCCAAACTCGGCGCGAATCACCGAGTGAGCATCGGGATAGAAGATCCATTCGATGGTATCGCCAACGTTGGCTTCCGTCTTCGCCGGTGAAAATGCAAATCCAGACTAGCAAGAGGTCAGCTAATTTCAAGCGGTTATTGGGGGTTCCAGTCACTTACCGCTCCGACGGCAATAGTATGCGTTTGCGCAGCAGCAACAGAAGCCGTTGCGGAGGCTACCGCTGCTGTCCCGGTAGTCGTGGAGCTAGATGTTGTAGAGGTGAGGAAAGGCGAGATAGTTATTGTCGGCAGCACCTGAGCATTCACCAGGCCCGCTAGAGCGGCTACTCCTAACGTGAAATACCCCATTTTATCAGGAAGCTATGTTGTTCAATCACAGGATTGAGACTGGGACCAAGCAGTCGTAACGGGAATGATACCGGAAGAGAGGACAGCTCGAGGGAAGAGGGGGGATGTAACGTGTGAAGGGCCTATGGCAATACTTATTGCGGCAAACATCCTCATGTACACGCCGGGCCGGGCTGACGATGGGGCTGGGGCGGGGGACTCGGGCCCGATGGCTGAGACCATCAGTCTGCATCCTGCTCGAGAACTCCGCCCAAAGCATGCATGAAAGACCCGTTGGTTTGGTGCCCACATGGCAGAGGCTGCTTTACAGCTTTCGGTTTGACTATGCTCCAGCCCGATAACCGGAAGAAAGGAAAGTGGCGGATATCTATCCATGCAGCCATGAGTCTTGGATAATGGTCTCAGCCTTTATTGAACGTCGATCGAGGAGATGAGTCTTCAGAGCAAGGGACTACCTCGTCATACCCTTCTCTCGTAGCTAACCGACTGAGAGGAAATCGAGAGGAGACAAAGACTCGCGAAGATATCGAGACGTTTGCCATCGCGAGGCACACGTGCGAAGTGCCGGATATGGCATAACCATGAGTTGAAATGTAACGTGCGATTTTCTTGTGATACTTGAAGTAATTAGACCAACACGGCAGATGGACTGTTTGACGAAATCTAGAGAAACACTCGATTTCAGAATGTGATACGGGGCAGCTGGCCGAGCTGGATTGACTTGAGCCAGTGTCGAAGACGATCATTCGCAAAGGATGGCTATCACTAGAAGAAAGGGTGAATGAGGCGAACTGTCGCAAAATGCCACTTGATGAACATGAAGGTCATCTATCACACTGTGGAAATGGACGGCTTCATACATGTTTGCTGCCCTAGCCCAGACTTTGAATGCGGTCGACCGGCTCTCACCTGAGCAATGTTTGGTGGCGTTTGTCCTACAGGGAGAGCCGTTTGGGAAAGCAGAACCACGCATAAGTGAGGTCCCTCGCCGAGCTACTTGCTGTGAGTCCGGTCCCGTGGTCCATGTGGTAGGACGTAATAAGCTGGACCAGACGAAGAAGGTCCGAAACTTTACCCCATGAATAGATATTTGAAAAGAGGCTGCTGGAGTGGCTGCGCTGCTCACCTTTATACCATACACATCCGACATCCCTTGTTTGTAGATCAAATTTAGTGCAGTGCCTATCTCAAAGACTACCAGTCAAACGGCTTTGCTGCGGCGATACAGCAAGATTTATGCTGGAAAGAGACCGAAGACACAACTAACCTACCGATTAAGACGAGTTGTGTCCGGACAATGCAGGCGCTAAGACATTGTCAGGGTCCTAGTGTTGCACTAGCGGCGAGCATCGGGCTCTGGGGAATACATCCAGGGCTGAGAGTGAGACAATGTTTGGAAGAACAGCTGGCCATCCTCCCTTGCTTTCGGATTCTTTGGGAGCGGGTGTCGTCCATAGGCACTGACAGGATGTCCAAAGTGAGAGCCGCGAGCCGAGGTGTGGGACAACGCGGCACCAGACTCAAAACTAAGTGGTGGCTTGTGGTGTTTGGATTTGCTGACTGCATGGCTGAGCCGTGTTATGGAGCCTAGAAGCAGACACCAAGCTGAAGAACAAACTTTTGACTGAGTTCATACTCGAGGAGTGTCGAGATGGAGAACTCGCATGATGCGGGTCATCTCACTGTGAACCCTAGTAACGTTGGGCTCGGCACGGTGAAGCATATTTTCTGAAGAGCTTCCCAATCTCAACAATCCATCTTCGCGACTGATAGCAGAATCGATATCAAAGCCATGCCTTAGTTTCAGGCTCCTTGACCTAGAAGGTGTTGGAGGCAAAGCGTGTAAGGATTCTGCTTGGGCGAGAGCACAGCTGCCGCACAGACCAGCTCCCTGACGCGCAACGGCTGACGGTATTCCGAGACTCTTTGGTACGCGCAACTTGGGCGCGTAGGGACTGGAGGTGGTAAGGTTTGAGATCAGCCGCATGCGCAGTGAATCTTCGAGAAGATGTTCGAAGGCAATGCAATGGTTAAGTGGTGGTTGCTTCTTCATCAGCTCTTACACCAGGCGTGGGCAATGAGAGTGCAAGAAGTGAGTCGGAAGTTTGGTGGGCAGGCTTCCCGCGAAGAGAAGCAGACGTCGTAGAAGAAAGGTCGAATGCATTCGCTCTCATGTGTCGATTCTCATCAGGGGTTAATAGCGACTAATAGGATCCAGGTCATCTGCGGAGATGAATCTCGTAAGCAGATAGAGTATACACGGAGCGGTATTTGGAAAGGAGTTTACTTGAGAACATGATGGGGAAAATAGGCTATACAAAGAGGCGAGCTTAGTTTAAGATTACTGAGACCAATAGATCAAATCTCTGGGAATATCCAGGCCAGGTTATGTTACATCCTGAAGGTCAAAATCGACGAAAAGAAGTTCCAAGTGTCCGAGGCTGTTGATACTGGATAGTGTCTGCTGACTAACGCACTTCGACCGGGGATCACCTTAGCGCGGAAGGAAGCACCTCAAGCGGGCCCAGAGGTCTGGACAGGTCCACTTCGACCAAAGCTCTTGACCAATCATAGTACAGTTTCAGAGCTTGACCTCTTCAGGGAAAAAAGTTCCAGCCTCGCGCCTGTGGACTGGACGACTGCGCCTCTGCCTCACGCGGCAATCTTCAACTCCATCGCCAATTGCCTTCTCTAGCCTGGGTTGACCATCATTTACGATTAGCCTTATCACGCCACGTGCAATCGCAATCATGAACGGCGACGGCTATTCTCGTGGTAAGTCTGCATGATGTCTGACAGACCTGTCTGTACCGATGCCTCTGTGTCTAACAAACGCCTTCTGGGGGAAAAGGTCGAGGAAAGGGATCTCGCGACTATCCGGTATGTGTTCATCATTCACAACGAAGTACCTGCACCCAAAGCTGACCCTTGATACAGAGAGAGCGCGATGATAGACGCGGTGGCGATAGAGACAGACACCGAGACCGAAGACGTTCCCGTTCCCCCTACGACCGAAGCTCCAGACGTCGCGAGGATGAGGACAGTTACGCGACAAGTCGCAGCCATCGCGAGCGCGAGCGTGAAGATAGATACTCTGGACGCGAGAGGCGTGGTGGAGATCGAGAGTGGGATCGCGACCGCGGATCCTCCAGACGCGATGCCAGAAGAGATGACGATGATCGCCCGCGGAGAGATCGCGACCCGTACGACGACCGACGCCGAGGCGGACGAGACAGAAATGAGGATGCCGGATTTGGCCGCCGTGAACAACAACAGCAACGCCAACGTAGCGCGACGCCACCGCCCAAGAAGAGAGAGCCTACACCTGATCTGACAAACATCACATCAGTATTGGAGCGCAAGCGACGTTTGACTCAGTGGGACATCAAACCCCCCGGCTATGAGAATGTCACTGCTGAACAAGCCAAGTTGTCAGGCATGTTCCCTCTACCCGGGGCTCCTCGCCAGCAACCCATGGATCCCAGCAAGCTTCAAGCCATCATGAACCAGCCAGGTGGCCAAGTTAACAGCGCTGCGCTGAAGCCGAGCAACTCGCGCCAGGCCAAGCGTCTGCTCATCAACAACCTTCCCCCATCCACGACCGAAGAAACCCTCCAGAACTTCTTCAACTTGCAGCTTAACGGCCTCAACATCATCGAGAGCACCGACCCCTGCACCAGCTGCCAAGTTTCAAAGGACAACTCCTTCGCCGTAGTTGAGTTCAGAAACGCTTCTGAGGCCACCGTAGCCCTCGCTCTCGATGGCATTTCGATGGAGGCCGACGATGCCACGAATGGTGCAGCCGGTAGCCAAGGCCTGGTGATTCGTCGCCCGAAGGATTACATCGTTCCCGCGGTGGTTGACGACGTCCCATACGAGCCGGGTGTCGTTTCCAACACGGTGATCGATACTCCTAACAAGATTAGCATTGTGAACATGCCTCCTTACCTATCAGACGAGCAAGTGTCAGAGCTTTTGGTATCATTTGGCGAGCTCAAGGCCTTTGTGCTTGTTCGTGATAGAAGCACAGAAGAGTCTCGGGTAAGCTGAGTCGCATTTGGCCATCATACATATCATACTAACTATCCTTGCAGGGAATCGCGTTCTGCGAGTACGTCGATCCAGCAGCTACGGACGTCGCCATTCAAGGCCTCAACGGTATGGACCTTGGAGACAAGAAGCTCAAGGTTCAGAAGGCCAGTGTCGGTGTAACTCAAGTTGCTGGGGTGGAAATGGGAGTTGCAGCTATGTCTATGCTGGCTGGAACTACTTCAACTGACTCTGAGGAAACCCGTGTTCTGCAACTTCTGAACATGGTCACTCCAGAGGAGTTGATGGACCCTGACGATTACGAGGGTAAGCGCCAGCATCTAGTTCTGGTCTTGTGCACACATACTGACTGACAATCTGCAGAAATCAAGGAGGACGTCCAGGAAGAGTGCGCCAAGTTTGGTAACGTGCTGGATATCAAGATTCCTCGTCCCGTGGGAGGCAGCAGACAATCTGCTGGTGTTGGCAAGATTTTTGTCAAGTTCGAGACCAAGGAGTCATCCAAGAAAGCGCTCCAAGCACTCGCAGGACGCAAGTTTGCGGATCGCACTGTTGTTACCACCTACTTCCCCGAGGTAAGAAGAGCCCCAGGATGGCATTGCAAGACAATTACTGACTCTGCTGCAGGAAAACTTCGAAGTCGGTGCCTGGTAACCATTTTCACATTGGGCACAGGGAACAGCGAGATAACATAACCAAAAAGGCAAGGCAAGGCGGAAAAGGGAAATTTAGGCCGATCATACTCTGACAGCCTTGTAACCATTGAAAATGCTGTATCATAATTCCGCGATGCGGGCCGCAGGCGACAGGGACGGGAGCATCCACCAAGTCGCAAAATTGCAGATGACTTGCGGTGGCTTCAAGCCGGCGCGGTGGAGGAAAACTAGGGGTGTTTTATAAAAACTTCTGACTGAAAACCATGGTTAAAGGCGTTGATTATACCTGCGTGGTTGTATTTGCATCAATGGAACACTTCTACATGTTGGGTAGGTGCCGAACTTTGGAGGTTGTGGTATTTTCGATTCAAAAACGTGTATGCCTACAGCGCGCTTCAGTCATTTCGAGTCACAGGAGTTGGGACCATTGTTTTGTTCATGTTTTGATTTGCTATCTATCCAGGGGCTACGCGCCATCAAGGTTGACTCTGTGTGTCTGATTTTCCACTGCGCTTCACTTGAGGCGTGAATGAAGACCAGAGTCAGTTCCAAGTGTGTAGACCTTTATAGCTTGTTAGCTTTCCATTCAGAGTTCGAATGATTTGAATTGAGAAAGAGAAAAGGTGCAGTATCAGAAGTCCTGTTCATTCATTAAGCCCGAAGACTTTAAAATAAGAGGTACCAGAAAAAAGTAATAATGGAGGATCATCATTTGATGCATAGGGATTAAACGAGGAGCGTACGTGAGAGATTCTTACCTGAGGGGAAGCATGTAGAGAGGCACCGCGAACCAGCACTCAGCGGCGATGCATCTGATCTCAAAGAGTTGAGGTTGAGGGAGCAAGAAGAAAAATCTCGAGCTCTCGAAGCTTGAGGTAAGCAAAAGAGTGCACGGACCAGAGTGAGGCTGCTTGGCCCCATAAATCCGGCCCAGTAGCGGGTCCTCCAAAATTTTCCAGACCAAGCCCAGACGGGACAAGGATGGTATGCTGCGAACTCGTCGTTAGAAGCAGCTGGGCCCCGCATGAGGAAGGAGCACTGCACTCAAGCAGCTGCCCTAATTAAGCGAGGTTCTCCCGCCCGCACAATCCACCCCGTCCACGCCGACCGGCAGCCCGCTCAAACATATCGCAATTGATCGTGAACTTTTTTCCCTTCCCTTTTCAAATCCGACCAGCGACCGACCGACTGACCCCCTCGACTCCAGCCGACAACACCACAAACCACCGTCAAAATGGGCCGTCTTCACTCCAAGGGAAAGGGTATCTCCGCCTCGGCGATCCCCTACAGCCGCAACCCCCCTTCGTGGCTCAAGACCACCCCCGAGCAGGTCGTTGACCAGATCTGCAAGCTGGCCAAGAAGGGCGCTACCCCTTCCCAGATCGGTGTCATTCTCCGTGACTCCCACGGCGTTGCCCAGGTCCGCGTTGTCACCGGTATGTTGAAATCGAGGCCTCTCAAATTCTCTGCAGGAGAATCGAAAAAGAGGGAGAATTTTGCGACTGACTGTTTTCGCTCTCTACAGGCAACCGTATCCTTCGCATCCTCAAGTCCAGCGGTACGATCCCAGTTATATGAACACACCAAGCGGCGACTTCGATGTCGAGAGATTATCAAAACCGTCCGCGAGGAGCAATCCTCTTTACCGCATTTAATGCGCCTCTGCTTGGTCTAGGCTGACAGAGAGATATGATGAACAGGCCTCGCCCCCGATATCCCTGAGGACCTTTACATGCTCATCAAGAAGGTACGTGAATTGTCCTGGAGACTCTCGTCTCTGTCTATTTTGGAGGAAACCCCGGGTGGATGATTAACCAATTGGGTGATGCAGGCTGTTGCCGTCCGCAAGCACCTCGAGCGCAACCGCAAGGACAAGGACTCCAAGTTCCGCCTCATTCTCATCGAGTCCCGTATCCACCGTCTCGCCCGCTACTACAAGACCGTCGGTGTCCTCCCCCCTACCTGGAGATACGAGTCCGCCACCGCCTCCACCATCGTCTCTTAAGCGCCCTTTAACCGCTATCACGAACGAATGGATTGGTCGTCGCACGACGCGGTGGATTCTGGTCATGGAGTTGGGGTATTAGGAAAGTGCATTTAGAGCTCTGATGCCAGCTCTCTAGGCCCGGTGGCCGCGCGGGGGTTTCTCACGCCGCGGAGGAGGAGTAAATGTTTCCCTGCATGTCACTCGAAAGAAGTAGACATAAACCAAACAAAAATGAGGAAATTCTTCCAAGGCAACACCAACGTCTATGAGTGTTTCAAGGGCTGCTACGAGGAATCAAAAGTTTTATGAACCGTGGTATCATTCATATCGTCATGACCTTGAAGCATAATGCTCAAAGTAGCTATTGCAAAGACTTTTCTGCTTCCTAAACGCCTAGCTTCATGCCAACCAAATCAAGAGCCCATCGTCCCAAATGATTATGCCATCCAAGCCCGTATATCGCCTTGTGGTGAAATAGCAAAAGAAAGCTCGCCAAGCAGTTCAGGCAGAAGGCTCGTTTCTACGACGAGACTCCTCGAGAAGGAAGTTGCCCAAGACGTGAAGAGGATTAGCAGGCCTAAACCACAGCGCAATTAGCATTATAGGTTATGACCATAGGAGGAGCAGTCCTTACTGGTTCTTGCTGATAATCTTCATGCCCTCGAGCAGAGCAGCGGTGACGTGGTTGTTGATGTACATGCGGGCATTGTCGCCGTGCTCTACTGCGCGGTTGGGGAAGTTCGTCGCATTGTTGTCGGGATGAACTGAGCCAGCACGGGAGCTAGCCTCACCATTGACATTGCGGCTGGGAGTACCGGTTCGGCCAGGAGCAGGACTGGGGGCGCTCGGGGCGACCTGCGGGATCGGAACGGGGGACTGTAATATTGAGATTAGCGAGGCGAGAAATGAGCGCATGATATTCTCAGAATCATACTGAAGCAGGTTCGCCGGCATCAGCCATAGGGATGTCGAGGCTAGCAGCGTCGGCCATCGTGGTAGCAGACGCAGGAGCAACTGTAGAGTCCGCAGGCGCAGTAGCTTCCTGGGCAACGGGTTCTGCCGGGTTGGACATTGTGAAAGATGAAAGATGCGATAAAGACGATTGATTGGTTTTGTGCTATGGCGCAAACTCTCCTAGTTGAAAATAGAGCAGGTGTCGAAGGCAAGGTCCGTTGACCGGTAAGGATAGATACTTGCGATTTGTTGATTATCGGAAGCTGTGAAGTTTGCGACGGCAAAGGCAAGATGCACAAAGACAAGCTTCCAAAGCAACGAGACGCACCAAAGCGATCTTGAAAGATTGGAGTGAATCTATTGGAGAAAGAACGGTCGTTCCGGAGCTCCAATAGTGGTTTGAGGGTCGAGGAAGTTGTCAATTGACAGCGGGGGAAGTTGCGACAGTCGGGAGGGCCTGATGAGGAAGCTGTGGTTGTGGTGGGCCAGAAGAATCAGAGCTCATTTACGCGGGGTCACCTGATCTCGCGTTCAAGGGCGCTTTCCCTCCTGCGGCAGCCTGTTTCCTTCGCGTCTCCATTGCACATGACGCCACCAAGGCAAACCCCATTAATGATCTTCGCAAACTACGCTGGTTGACTGAAACAAGAGCCGTCTCTCTACGATGTCGCTATTGATCAATTCGCACTATGGACGCCTTCGTACAGCGGCTTCCACGCCCAAGATCGCAGCCTTCTTCAAGATCTCCAACGAGACCTTCGCCGCTCGGTGAGAGGCCCGCAAAGAAGGCCAAGGTCGAAATCCAGGACAGCGATTGTGACGATGATGATAAGATCAAGTCTGAAACCGATGAGGCAGATACCTCTGGCCTGACAGTCAATGATGTATCTGACGCAGACGACGACGTCAAGCACCACACACGGCAGACTGACATCGAGAGCACTTTGCCACCCATCCAGTTGGACAAAGAGGCGATCGAGGAATATGAGTTGATGAGGAGCTCCCAAGTCAGCGCCCCTGAAGACGAAACAGCCGTCGCGCCTGAACGAAAGTGGGTAAGGGGGAAGAGCTCCATCTACGTGGATGCGTTTAACCTCGCCTTGGATACTGTCTTGGCAGATGAGTCCCATTTGTTCGACGCCAAGGAGTGCAACGTATTCGAGCAATGGAAATCGTTGGGCTACGAGGCCCAGTACCTGTGGGTTTATCTTAGTTCCATCGTATCGCTCTTCTGGACTGATGGCTTGCATAGATATGTGCGCTTGTTCTTGCGCAAGACTTCCGCCTGGCACCGTCAAGACCGGCTGGGATACTATAGCGATGTTTCAGATCCTGAAGCTGCCATTGCGTCTCTGCAGAAAGTCAGAGATCTTCCCGAGCCTGATGCTCCCGCATGCAGCAATCCTGTCGAAGGCATTGACCTGGAAGAGTTTAGTTTAGACGGCACTTTCACATTTGCCGATGCTTCTGAGGAACATATAACGACCATCGAAGAGGCGTCTTCATTGCTAAGCCTAGACGAACTAAAAGATCTTGCTAAAGAGGCCAAATTCCAGGGACGTAACAAAGCCGACTTGGTGAAAGCGCTATGCCGAACAGGCTATCAGCAGACCGGGCTCTTTGCTCATGGGCTACAACGGTCTGGCAGCGGCGAGTCCCAGACTGCTCGAGGTCTAATGCGAGATCGCCACGATACTCCACCACTTCTCAGCAGGCAAGACTCGAACCAGACGCAACACTTTCTAGAAAAGATCAGGATCATCACAGGCCCTTGCATCAGGCTATCGCCACTGACATATAAACTCTTCGAGAGGGTACACCTGGTCTTCTACCGGTCGACAGAATGGACTGAGAAGTCTCTGACGGCCATTATTCTTGCTAGCATCGCACGCCGGAACTACCCAGAGTACATTGTCTGCCGAAGTACGAACATTTTTGCTTCTCGAAGACATGTTCTCGAGTTCGAGTCAGCAGTTCGTGTCGAAGCCGAGGTCGATCAGATCCTGGAGTTCAATGGCTCGCCGGGTGAGGCAGGTCTTCGCAAGGTTGTGGATGTCTTCGATCGTGTCTACCCTCGGTGGAAAACACTTTTAAGAGAAGAGCAAGACAAGGAAAAGCGATTATACGAAGAGGGTGAAGGCGCCTACTTGAGAAGGTTCACGCCTGTTCATTCCTACACGCGCATTGTCCACAAGGCAGCATATGTGTTTGGGAAGTTGAAGGATTACGAACGCGAGCACTCTATTCTCACCGAACTTCTCGACCAGCACCTATTCCATCCTGCTAGGCGAGGCAGCTGGTATCAACGAAAGGCCCTCTTAGAGGAACACTACATGTATGCACTAGATGCCAACGCAGTGTCTCCCGATCCCGACATCCAGAAGAAGCATTGGAAACGAATTGCAGCGACGACTTGCGAGACAGCGCTAGAGGACAATGAGTGCCATCTGATCTACCATTACGATTTGCAGAAGCGTCTGCTCAAGCTCGAGAAGCAGCTCCGCATTCCAAGACGACTTCAGCATGATTTTGGCCACGTTCGTCTCCAAAAGCCACTAGAGCATACTGTTGAGGGCATCCAGGTGATCAAAGAAGATCGCCAAGGCAGAAATGGCCGACAAGCAAGTACGAAGACGATTTGGATCGATGAGCTAGAGGAAGGTGGCGAATGCAGCGTCGAAGAAATGTGCCTAAGTTGGTACCGGAGCAAGGGCTATAAGGGATACCACGCTGAGGGAGGCATCGTTCGCACACTTTTCGCCTATCTTTTCTACGACATTCTGTTCCTCTACATCCCAAATGTATTTCAGACAGCTTATCAGACTTGCCCCTTGGACCTCCATACGGATTCATTCTATCCGACGCGGCTGTCCGAGATTAATCACCGACTAGTCGAGATAGGCAACGGCGGTGCGGAAACCATCATCCGCGAGGTCGACGCCAGAGAGCGCGAACGACGAACTTGTGTTATCGGCCTCAACTGGGACTACGACATTGAGGATCTTGTGGAGCTGGTCGGGTGCTTCGATGGTAGCGCACTGGCCGCTCTCTGCAAGGTGATGGCACAGGAGTACCGACAGCGGGGCGGAGGCCTGCCCGACCTGATCCTCTGGCGGACGGAGCCGAAAAAGGAATGCATGTTCGCTGAGGTCAAAAGCGCCAATGACCGTCTCAGTGACACTCAGAGACTATGGATCCACGTTCTCACGGGTGCAGGTGTGAAGGTTGTCCTTTGTAACGCCGTGGCCAAGCAAGTCAAAAATATTGACTGAAGACGCCTTCGGAGTTCTCAAGGATCCCTGCCTGTCGAAAGATATTTTGATTCGCTCTTATGGGTATCCTCTCAGGATATTGCGTGGTGTTACAGGAAGCGGAGATTGCTCTGAAAGCTCAGCGCTTCCCGAACCCGGGAGATATGGCAATATCTTCGACCATGTTGGATGCCGGTCCATGAGCAAAACATGCCAGCTTCGAGATCAAGATTCTTTGAAATTGGAAATGGCCCGCGGTGCCTGATTCCTATGCGCCGGATCAGCCGAGCTCATCTCAAGGGCGGGGAGCCGAAATACGACATATGGCGAGGCCAAAAATAGGATTTTGATCTTCAGCGATCCGCAATCACTTTGAACCCATGGAAGCAAAGAACGACGAAAGAAGATTATGAAACGGCCGAGTCGCCACTAAAAGCTGCACCTAAGCTCTGTTCTGATCACCGGTCAAGGAACTACAGCACCTCGAACAACCAATCGCTTATCCATGATTGGTGATTTACAGTCCTGTTTCAATCTGATCATTTGACAAACTGTCGAAAGACTTGGCTCCAGTTTCAGCATTACTAGGGTCTTCAACTCGTGGCGCCGGGGGGAGGCTAAATCTGGTATCAGATTTCGAGACATCCAGTCAGAGGCGACAACCGACAGGCAGGGCTCGTTTTGGGTCGGAGATTTTATGAATCACATGCAGCCAATCACGCAAAATCGTCGAAGGTCGGTACTTTGGTTGACGAGGTTGAACGGAACCCTGCGTTGCACAGGGTCATCGGAAGCCAGACAGGCAATGAAATCTCACATTCTCACCGAGATTGGAAGACGCAGCACCACAGGCACCCTTTCCCAAGGCTTGCAGCAGTCTCGATCTTTGCCCCTCCTCGCGCTACTGATGCTGCATCTTCGGGGGTGGAGGTCGTCACACTCGCGGTTGGTCTGGCTTCTCGTTTACTGCGTGCGTGGGCTAATGTGGTCCAGACATGCGTCCTAAACATGCTGCTAATGTACGGGACGACGACTCCGTACGTAGTGCCATTTCATGCCTCTATGATCTATCGACCTTCTTCACCGCCAGATGACAGAAATTGATAGCAACCAACCAACATGGGATTCACTGTTCCCAGCAACAGAACATTACCGGCATCTTCCCTCGAGAGAGCGCAAACCCCCATCTCATTTTTTTCGTCTCTGCTCACTGCAGAACCATCCTTGCCCATTTTCGAACCAGAAGGCCAGAAGATTCCAGCTCTGTGGGAGCAGCTTGACTTGCTACTGAGCTTACTGCGACGAGTGACTCTGCGTCAAGGGTCGAAAAAACAAAAGTCACAGACGCTTCGCCTGGCTCTGCCCACCATGATCCCCACACCAGCACGCCGGCGCTTAACTCCTCGACCAATCCGCTGCCTCCCCGCCGACCGTTGGTGATGGTCCTGACGGGAACCGGGACACCGCGGAACCCCTGTCATTCCCGCCGTCGAACCAATCAAGACCCCGGCCGTTCTGAGGACAGGCGCTTAGCAAAGTGAGGTGACTGGGGGCCCTCCACGGCTTCGCTCCGTACGCGACCACCCACCCCCATGCAGTGCCCGGGATGCTGGGTCGTACCATGGCCGGATCTGGCAAGGCGCCCCAGGCCGCTTTTGCTGGTCCTTTTCTCGACTTCTTTCTGACTGGACGTTTCGCCTGCCTGGTACTTTTCTTTGGCTTGACGACACGCCCTTGACTGCGTCTGAGCTGTTGACTATGTCCCATCGCGGGTTTCGAAACACAGTGTTCCTTGGATCTCGACCGCGAACCTGCAAGAGATGCTTTCTGGGACAAAAGCCAACTGAAAGAAAGGAAACAAAATCACACACGCAAGACATGCACACCTCGGAGTGTGCATGTGTGTATCTGTATGAGTGTGAGGCAATCATGGACCTCATCAGCCGTGGTCTATTCCTCAAAGGGCGATGAAAAGGTTAAGCGGACCACGGAGGAGTGGAGGGGGCCGTAAGGAACGAACTTGGGAAGACATGGGTGCGCCTTTCTACACTTCAGTCATCACCGCTTTGCCCATCACGAGTGCAACACCAAGCCACGACTAGCAGCGGGAGGAGGATGGTGACGCCCCGGCGCCAGCAACATCAGCAGTGGCGGAGACAGGAGCAGCATCTATAGTGCTGTAATGTGATGCCCGCTCTCCGGCCGGAACTTGACGCATCACCGCCGAACCGTCACCCCCCATTCCAACCCCATCTAGCCTACCTTCTGCCGGGTGGTTGCCCCCCTCCCCTCCGGTTCGATTGCACCGCTTTCCAAGGTTTTCCCTCATATTGGATCACTGAAGATCGACGGCCATTACATCGATCCCTCATGGCATCCCCCTGCTTGGCGTGGTTTCCCATCTGATGGGGAGGGGTATACAACTCGGCTGTGAGAGAGAGAGCGTACCAAACCCAAAGTGTGACGGGATAGTATGGGTATCATGAGGTGAAGGGCAGGACAAGGCGGACGGGATGGCATCCCCCATCACCTCAGCGGAAACCGAGGCGGGGGAAAGAAGGGTACAGCGGCCAGCCAGCTGAAAGTGAAGACAAACTACGGTCAGATGGTCAATTATGACGCCCAGTCGCACGATTGGGAGCAAATATTCATTTAGTCAATGTCCAAGAACGTGGTCACGGCTCTTTACTTGGAATCACCATACGTGGGTTCGCCATACGTGGATTCAACGCCATATCTGCGAGGAAAGGAAATGGGACCTTGGAACAAGATATTTTTAACCTCTGAAGATCAGAAGAAATCTAACCCGTTTCCTCGTCAACTCCACCCGGCCGGCCATCGCGGCCTCTTCTCCTCCTCCCCGCTAAAGCGCGGGGCCATAACAAACCCACGATGCTGGCCGCTGATGCGGCCGCGCTGCACGAGGATGCCCGCCGTGCAACGATAAACAAATAAACACAGACACATACACAGTGATTCGTCACAAATGCTCTTGCGGTGAAAGAGTTGTCCTCGAGAGACGCAATGCAGTTAGGTTAAGATATACACAGGATGCTGATATTAGGCTACCTGGTTCGCTGTGTAGTAGGTATTCTTGCCCAACCCCCTTCATCGTCTTCCAAAAAATTCCAAGACGCATTCAACCTTTCCCTCCCATTCAGATAATCAAGTCCGCCCACCCAAATAGTTCCTGGTATCGAACATGAGCATCGTAGAGACGCCAAAGAACTCCGTTTGGCCCAGTCCCAATCAAGGACCGGTAGATGATTCGAAACAAAAGACCAACCATTTCCCTCCTCTCTTTCGCAACATATTCCTTGAGATGAACCAATCAGTGATTTCACCCTCATGTTTGCCTCCATATCATGGTGTGCGCCAGTTTGTGTGCGCCAAGTTACTTCCGTTAAGTCATATCGTGGTTAAGTCCCTACGTGGGAAGAGCCTGCTTCATCACATGTCTTGCTTCTCTTTTTTGTGGCGCTAGGCCTAGGTCGTCAAATTGTACTGCGTTTTTGCTGAAGGTAACGTTGTTGAGGCGATGGTGATGGTGATGGTGAAGGTAGGTAGAACAAAAAAGAAGATAGATCGGGATATGTAGTGCCGATGTTGTGCTAGGTTAAAGTGGATTGCGTTTGCTTTGGTCCAGATGCTCATTCCACCTTCCTCCTCTTGCCCTTTGGCGCGGGGTTCATCCTCGGCGTGTAAGTTACTGTCCGCGTGACCACCTCGCGGATGTGACGCACGCTAGTTCTCGAGGGCTTCTTTGAATCATTCAACCTCTTGGCCTTGAGTGCTGCGTCCCAATCGAATACTGAGTGAACCGATCTGGCGCTGAAGGGTGACCGTGCGCTCATTGGTGAGTCCAGGTGCGATACTGCTGGAGAGGGCGGGATCTTGAGGCTCGGGAAAGAATTCGCACCGGTGGGAGGTGCTGACATTGGCAGATGTGTGAATGGGCTTGGCGGGATGGCTGGTGCCGTAGCCGGAGCTTTATGCTCGTGTTCACACTTGCAAGAGATATCGGTCTGCTCGCTGGTGGCGGTGGAAGGCAATGAGTCCGGCGTGGACTCGGGCGTAGTCTCGCCAGAGGTTGATGGCTTGAAAGCAGCCGGTGAGTTGAGAGACATGGCCTTGAGGAAATCCGTGTAGGCGGTTGGCGGGCTGATGGGTGTCTTGATGGGAAGGTCCTTGCAAGACATGGGTCTGGCAGAGAGCGGAGTCGAAGCCGAGAACATATTTTCCGAGGGGAAAGTGCTGGTGACGGGCGTGGCCAGCTGGGCCAACTTGGGTCTGTTGACGGGCATGATGGCTTGAGGCGGAAGGAGAGGCGGGAGAAGAGTGAGGTAGTAGCGAATGTGTGCGTGGAGAGAGGTGTCCAGTCAACTAAATGACTCTGACGTGGTGAGAGAGGAGGAAGTCAGGCTGCCTACGAGCTGCAGAGACAAGTCGCCTGGGGAGAGAAGGGAGAGAGAAGACCGGTAGTTGCGAGGGTGGGTGGACGTTATATTATTTCGAAGAGAATGCGGTGGGCGCTTGTGTATGTGTGCGGTCGTAGTGTAAGTGAGCCGGAAAGAGGACTGCAGTGCGAGGTCAAGCTCTGACGGCGGCAAGGAGAATGGAAGGTTTTAGGAAGCTGATGTGCTCCCGGAAGTCTGGTCTGGGGTTGCTGGGGGCTTGAACAGGTGGGCAATAACAAGCCAGTGCTATTCGCCAGGAAGAGGTTTCGAGTTTGGGCGGGAAGACAAGCAGGCAGACAAAATGTCAGTCTTTCCAGGTCGGCAGGCTGGACAAGGGAGGTGCAGAGTTGTGAGAGGGGTGAAGAAGGGGGCGTCTGGTGATGAGATGCCGCGGACGAGGGGGAGGGGTGGATGGCTTGAAGAGAAACAAACAACAGAGAGGATGTAAAGCCTGCACCAAAAGGCTGCGGTAGCGCGTGAAGGATTCTGTGAGGTGAAGAGGAGTCGTGATGTGTTGGTGACAGCGGATACAGATGGTCCAACGAGAGGAAAGCAGTGGCGCGCGGCGGGAGCGTCGAGGAGAGCGGTAGACACGAACAAGAGCGAGAGCGTGGTGGTGGGGAGGACGGGGACAGTAATCGAGAGGAGCGGACGCGGGAGTCGAGAGAGACTGAGGTTGACCGGGGTATCTCTAAAGCGGCAGGGAAGCAGCGGGTGGATGAGCTGGGATTGGTCGTGGAGCTTCAACACACGACGGTCTGATTCGTTGCGCGGGCGCGTGTGGTGTGTGGTGTTCACTGCCTTAGTGCGTGCTGAGCCTGCTGCAGGAGACAGCGAAACAGAGAGACTGGACAGAGACGGGAACGGGGCCTGTCAGGGCAGTGAAAGAGCCAAAGCGGACAAGGGGGTCGATGAACTGCTGCCGCAGCAATTAATTTGCCTCTATTGGCGTCCCTTCTTTGGACGAACCGGCTCGTTGCACGCCAAAAGAAAGCGGGCAAATTTTGTTCTGGGTTGTGACTGACACAGCGGTTGGCCTTCGTCCCGTGCTTTGCTGCGGTGCCCGAAGCTGCCGTTGGCTGTGATGCAATAAGGTAGACTGGCTCGTCTTGTTTTTTTTGTTCCGGTTGTTTGCGTCTAAAGACGACAAGCCAATGGGAGTGGCTTGGTTTGAGGAAGCGGTTGGCGTTCGGCGGATGGCTGGGATCACCGTTTGTCCCGTCGCGCGATCGTGGATGCCTCGTGGCCTCTCGCCCGGTAAATGTGATGAATGTGTGATTATTGGATGAGCCTTGGACCAAGGTATTAGTCGGGTGTCGGGTAGCAAGTCAACTAAGGCAGGCTCAGGTAGTGGCGTAGTGCAATGACGATGTTGCTTTGTACGGATGTCTCGTCGATTAGGATTGGTTGGCTATCAAAGGTAACCGGCACCTGTAAGTCGTAGTCGTCCAGTGAATAGGTATCTAGTATCGTCCCAAAAGCGGAGGCTACAAAGACTCGCAGCACTGGGTGGAGGTGATGCGCCGTGTAAGTGGAGAGCGGGATGCAAAGCCACCTCAGACGGTGGATGGTAGGAGAGGCAACAGAGACAGAGACAGAATGCCGTAGAGAAGCAAAGACAAGCGATCGTAGAGGGCGAGTAACTCGAATGCGAAGCTACCTGAGCTAGCAAGAATCAAGAAGGCAGTGACCCGGCGTGGAGAGGCCTCGATTTCTGGTCTGAAAGGCTGATACAGAGGCGTGATTGGCTCTTGGAAGAGGCTCGCGGTGAGGTGTCGTGCAGTTGCGGGCTGTCCGTCGCTGGGTCCAACGGGGCTGCTTATGGGCGCTAGCAGAGAAGCACTGTAGCCAGTCAAAGAGGCGGAATTGCAGTGGGAAGACAAGAGTCGGCCGGGGCAGCCGTCCGGAGGATGTTCCGCGGTTGAGCTGGCTATTCTTAGTGCTGTGTGTCTATGACTGGTGATTGGACGCTGGCCGAGGGCGCTTTCTCACCTGTAAATCCCCACGTCGTCCACCAGATCTTGCAGATGAGTCTTCTGCCGGGAAGATGTGTCGAGAACCGGTCCCGATGGTGATGAGTGGCGAGGCGGAGCAAGAATCTCGTTGGATGGTCCGGAAGATTCGAAGCTAACAAAGACGGGACACAAGAAAAGACGTCTCGGTCCGATGACGATGAAGCCGGGGTGGGCAAAAGAGGAATCAAGAGGCAAAGACGAGAAAAAGACGTCGTCAAGCGTCGTCAGACCTCGTGATGACAGTGGGTCCGAGGAAAGGCGCCGGAACTGATTGATGCCGCAATGAATACGGACGGGATTGACAGCTGAACAGGGGAAGCAGGATGCAACCAGTGGATGATGAGTGCACCTGATGATATGAGATGAATGAGGTGGATGTCAAGGTGAAGAAGATGCCTCGGTCTGTGGTGTGAGGCAAGAGACCTGGACCTGGGAGGAGGACAAGAATTTTGCAATGAGGCAGGAACCTAAGGAAGGGTGTGAGCCGAGTGTGATTGCCTTGTTGGTTCTGGTGTCGGTGTTGGTTGGTGTTGGAAGGAAGGAGGGAAGGAAAGCGCTTGGCTCTCGACTTCTTGATTTGGGGGCTTTCGAGTGATGAGAAGGGAAAGGGAAGGAAGAGCTGAATGATCACGAGCTTCCTTCTATTTTTTCAGCATCACTGTCGACCGGATTGAGCCACCGTTTTATCCAGCAGTCCTTCCATACAAGTTTCTGGTCTACCTGAGGTACTCGGCCTCGCGATCCATCTTTCAAGCGCCTGTCTCCATTCGCGATTTGCTTGACATCGACTTAGTCGCCCAAAGTCAAGAGAAAAACAAAAACAAATAGTTAAAATTCGTTTTTTGAAATTCAATTCCTGCTTCACTCCGCGCGCGGCACCGTTCAGCGCCTCAACTCTCGACACTCCCTCGATCGATTTGAGCCTATCTTTCCATCTCTTCTCAAGCGCTCTCCATCAAAGGACCACCATACGTCCTATTTCAAGCCACCTGGCCCAGCAACCAGATCTCGCCAGATCCCAGAGCGCGCGCCATATGAAGCATGCCGGCCATTGGACCTGGCTTCCACCACGCCGTTGGCCGTCAGCGACCCGGAGAATTGCAGACCCATGCACGCAATCTACCCCCAAGCATCAACTATGAGGAGCGGGTACGTGGCCGGCCATCTCTTCTGCTTGCCTCCGATACACTTGGAGGGGCTCTGCTCCGGCCCCAGTCCGTACCCGACTGTCATACAGCGCGCGCCTCCAGCCAGTACAACGTTGGGCCGCGGCCCGGTCGTCGACCCTCACCACCACCGTCTCCGTGTCAAGACATCATGGGCCGGGTCACCTCTCCCAGCCTCCCAGACCTCAATTCCGTCTGCCATCCTACTCGCCGACCATTTTGCCCACTCCATCATCTGCCGACTCTAGACTCCCTGTTTGTGGATGGTCTAGATTCATAACTCTGGTGATAAGCGCCAGTGCATAGCTTGTTCTATTCGCCGGCTCAAAGGAGATCGAATCCTTCGCGCCTGTTTCCTGCAAGCTCCCTGGCATCTCATTTGCCAGATCCACGCCAGCTTGCGCGCCGCAAACTCTTGGAGTCAGTTTTTTATCTCGCCGCCTATGCTCAGTATGCAGCCACACAATCTCGTCAACTGCTGCCCTGAGGCACATTCAACTCGTGTTGGTCCACGCAAGCGGTGTATTGTGTTAGTGCGTCTATGGCGTCTTGCGAATCCTTCCATTGGACTTCGATGATAGACGCGACGTGGAGGATTCAAAGAGGTTGAATTTTGATCTTGAAAGACCAATTGCTTTCTGAGTTGTCGCTCCTGTGTGCCTTGGGTCGTACAACTCATGGCCCTCGACCTGAAGGATCGCGCTTAATATGTTATGCAATCGATCGAAAGAGACTGTTGACTTAACTTGTAAGACTGCGTAGACGCCCCTGGAGACGACGACTATGCTCTTCTCCCGCCACGCCCTCGGCGTTGCTAGCAGTCCGTCCATTTGCCGCGCGACCTTCAGCATCGAAGGCTTTCGACCAGCAGAGTCAGAGCTTGATTCAGGTTATCCGGTTCCTTCAAAAGCCAATGATTCCTCTGCCATCCTCAAAGGCACGTTGGTCAAGGTACGTCCTCGCGCACCAGAGACTAAGGCAGTCGCGATCTCCTACGTCGCGACGCTCATCAAACAGATCGGAGCAGCTTTCGCGCCTCAGATGCAATGACAAGCAGTCGAGGATTGGCTGGCCTTGTCCCTCAAGAGTACGTGATGCCGTTGTGAGCCGCTGGCCTGTTTTGCTGGCCGGGACCATCCATATCCAAGTGCAAAGTACGTATGGCCTTCGACGGACTCATGAGTATTTCGCGGAGGATTTACCTCATGTCCCGAGGAATCCAGGTCTGAAAGACAAAAAAGAGTTCACCACCAGTGTAGCTACATGCCTTGGTGCACTTGCTGAAAATCGAACTCGAACTCGTAGCCTGTCGTCGAGTAGGCTGTGGGCGTAATTAATTATTGACCTTGAACCATTCCATCACCCAGCCAGTTTGTCCTGACACCCCGACCTAGAGGGGCGCCTGCTGTTGCTGGTGACAGGAATGGGATTGAGGGGGGGCATATATCTTTGTCCTGTCGTATATTCGAGAAGAGTATTCTGGGTTTTTTTCCGTGGCGTCAAAGTAGGTCGCCCAGCAAACCGGGTTGTCATAAAGTACACCAACGGCCGACCTCAGTTACTCCCAAGACACAAGCGTTGCGAGTAAGCGGTGGGAAAGAAGGGTGGCTAGGGACTAGCTACACTCCCGAGCTTGCGATCAAGGTGATTGTAATGCTTCTGGCCGAGATCTTGTGGATTCAATTTACCTTGATTGAGTGCGAGGTCAGTATTTGCTTAGACTTAGGGGCTCTGCTTGAATCGTCTTCGTGATGTGTAGGCATATATAAACGTCGACCTATATGTCTAAGAGCAATGAAACGAAGCAGCAGGCCACCGCAATACTCCCTGTGAATTTCAATCTTACCCTAAGATATAGACTGTAAGACGTAGGGATTGGCCATAGTATTTAGTTATAAGAATGAACCGGGTGTCAGTCCCATCACATGAATTTACACTCTACCCACCTTGCCCCTTCAACCTCCTGTTGTTACATGTCAGAATACGCCCCGAAGTGCATCTAGAGCCAGGCAGTATATAGTCTGCGGAGACTGAATCATGCTTTCTAGACTAGATCATAATGAAGACCGAAGATTTCCTCAAAGGCTTTGATCTGCCCGGATCAAGAGACTCCGGGCCCATGGTGATCAACGGAATCTGCTGGTTTTGGGTCCTGGTTGAGGAAAGTCTTTCCGTTCCCGACTATGCCTGTTTTGTATAAGCGACGAAGTTTGGCGCTGGTTATTGGCGAATTACCTTTGCCAAACTGAGAGCAAGATGAACCTACCGCAGGAGCCCTTACATTCTGGAACTGGCCAAGGTACCTCCTATAGTACGCCAGGAAAATCATGCCAGTACCACACGCAAAATGGCCTCTCTTCGTACGCCATCGCCATGAGGCGTTCACATTAGTCGTTCAGCTCGACTGAGTCGTGTCTTTGAAGAACGTCCACAAATACAAGCGAGGAATGATTCCACTCATTCTCGCGCATCTTCTTTAATGAAGTTTATGGGATGTGATCTAGATACAGGATGGGCCTTTCTTCTAAATGCTAAATGAATATAAAGAACTCGGAAGTAGGAGGTTTAGGTGTCTACCATCATGCCATTCCCTGGTGTCGTTATCAATAGAGAGTTCAAATACGTGTCTTTTGCGCGACGCGAGGCCGAGTGCTGACATCCCCGCTTTCGATGTGATGACTTGATGATTGGGAAATGGCGGAATCTCCGTTTAGAGCATCCTTGGTCGTTCGCATGCGTGGTACAGCACTAGATTATGATAGAGCCAAGGCTCGCACGAGGTTGTCGCGAGATGTGAGGCCTCGTCAAACACTATAATATCTTGGTCATTAAGCTGCAAGCTGCTCTTGGTATCTCTGTCATGTCTGCGTGATCGTGGACTAGCTAGAGATACTCTCCTGGACGGGATTCAACAACATTGGCCTTGAACTCCATACGCGGACAATGTCCTACTACGCGCCTCCTCGAAGCCGATGATACATCAGTAGGCCACGGCCTTATGAACGACACCCTTGCGCTCCCTTAGATCCGCGTTGCCGTGGCTTTGGGCGATGATCAGAATACTTCTGCGCATCAGGGCTAGGGGTAAATCTTGGCCTTTTATCTTTTCACTTACGGGATCGAATTATGCGTTGTTGGCGTTATGAGTAGGAAGCTGCATCGGTTCAAGTCCAGGGAACGCGAGGCGCAGGCTACTATCTGAGCCGGGGAAGTGTAATTGATATGGAAGGCACGAGACGCACTCGTTTCACTGATGAGGTGACGTCCGGCAGTATGGCATACCTGGTGATTCCATCCGATCTACAGGCTGGCTGCCTGCTTCATAGTCAGGTTCAAGTCGCTCCTACCTCAACCAAGCCCAATCGATCCCCATGGTCGAGCGGTATAACGCCCTGGTCCGTTAGTAACAGAACTTGGTATGAAATCTCGAGAAGTCAACGGATGGAGGATTTCGTAGGGGCTCAGTTCGATTTACGGACTGAGCACCTGAGCTTTTGCTTTTTTAACCCCTTTTATATCTTTTACTAAACTAACGCGTTAATAGCTTCTATCACTATTTAAGGTAGCCTATTTTATTCCAAGACCTTGTTATATATATAATTAGGAGCATTCTGTTAGCCTAGGTAAAATTCGATATTTTATACTATGCTGTTTCTTCGCCTGAGCTTGTAGGAGAAGGAGGAAGTGGGCGGCCATTCACATCTCCGAAGTGGAAGGAGGTAGGTGGTATGGGCCGGGCAAGGAAGGACCGCATATTCGGCCCATGCCATCTTCCATCTGACTAGCATCATCTCTCCATCTTGATTGCTTAATAGTCCAATATAGGTATATAAACTGAACGTATCACTCTACCGTGAAACTACCCAGGTCTTATTAAATCTTCGCTTCAGTTCACAAGCGAACCAAAGGGTGGGTGGGGCAGAAACAACAGGAGCCATCGAGGGTTAAAAGCCGGAGCACCGAATAATCCGGAGCATCACGGACTAGGTAGTCAAGACTCCACGACCTTCACCCCTCGGCCATCAGGCTCGGTACTTGTCGTTAGGATGTGAAGGCACTAAACTTCCTATGAGGCATACCCTGAGGGTTTGCCGATGCACCCAACCGTAGCAGGAGCGATATCGTGCAGCCTCATGCTTGTCTGCAGGCCGACTACCTAGAGTCCATTCACTATCACGTGTTCCTTCGGGAGTATTATTTCCTCTGGAAAGATCATTCGCGTGATACCTTCCTCGGCTTTTGATGTGGAAGGGCACTATGGAGGAAAATTCGTTCTAGTGGCGTTGCTTCACATCCTTGGAGATGGCTTTAGTAGATTAAGGACCTCCTGTTTCGATTTTCGATAGAAGTTTCAACCACACTTTCGCGAACCGAATTGTAGCCGGCTTAACATGAGTTCTAGGCGTACTTGGCCAAGAACCCCCCCCCCCCCCCCTCCCCCCAAAAAAAAAGACCTGGGTTCTCAAACTAGAGTCAAGTCATACAATCAGCATCACCCAACAGCCATACCTTCCTCTCACATATTCAAGAGGGCATAATCAGAAACCAAAGGATCGTCGAGAATGGAAAAGATACTTCTACGAGATGGTCGAGGCTATAGAGAGGAGGTAGAAGAGCAATTTTCTTTTTACTTGGCTTAATTATGAAGAGACACCACCTACCTTGCTTCCAGGTCTAGAGAAGCGGCTGTGAAATGTCTTTGGCTAACAAGATTAGAAGACTCGAGGCAAGATTATTTTTCTGCTTACCTTAGATAGGTAACAGGAGCACCTCCTAGGGCAGATAGTAGGCTCTCGAACTCAGAGATGAGCTCGACATTAAGCTGCTTTCTATGATGGAGTGCATCATTAAGCTATACAAGATCATTCCGTCTTCATCGGAGAAGGAGCTGACGAGCGAGATCTAAAACGACGTGCTTACATTCACGCCTATTCTATACAAGTGAGTGCCCTCTGGTATTAGAGCGCTCAGGTATTTCGATTTTGATCCAATGAGAAATCAAGCGGGCGTGTCGTCCTGTATCTTTAACGATATGGGTCATAAGGAGAAGAAACGGCGATCAAGGGTTATGTAACCACACTGCTGTGATACGTGTCAGATCTTACTGAATTAGCTGAACCATATAGACGTAAATAGCACAAAGAACTCCAGGCTAGATCCGTCATGCATCCCAATGCCCCCTCTTATCCCTGGTGCCCCGCCGCCTGCCTAGGCGCTCAGACATGTGTATCCTGCCCAACCGTGGTTCATAATGCTCGTTAGAAATCATAGTTACCGATCACAAATATCATACCCGCAGCTCAACCGCAATCTTATCATCCTTACCCACGACTTCCTCCTCGCCTCCTTTACGTCTGCGACTCAGCTCGCTCTCGGCAATAGACCGAATCAGCTGTACCGCCAATTCGGTACCTCTGGAGACGGACGCCTCGGATGCATCGGACGGGACGTGGAGGAACGTCACTCTGCGGTGCTTTTGTGCCTTCCACAGATGCGCCAGGCTGGAAAAGTAGATGAAGTCACAGAGGTAGTGTCCTGCGTCTTCAGATATGCGAAGGTCGGATCCCTCCTGCGCAAGTGGTCAGCACTCTTCTTTACCTGCCTCACCCTTGGGCAACACCAATTCGTGGTCCCGGAACAGAGACTTACCGGGCTATGGTCCTTCCACCGCTCCAACACATCAGCCAAATCCAACCCCGTCTCAATCTCAGACGGCATGCCGTACCACACCCAATTCTCGCCCTCCTCCCTCCGCCGATCCTCGTCCTCGAGCTTCTTCCCGTCCACGTCAGGGAAAGCGTAACCGTCCCGGTGACCGCGGCGCTCAATCGAGTAGAACAGTCGCGGTCCCGCCATGCCGATGTGGACGGTCGCATCGATGCGCGGATGGACTGCCGGGTCCCATAGCTGGGGCACCAGGCGGCGGACGTTTTGGTAGTTTACGCGAATGGCTTCCGGGTGGACGAGGATGCGGACGGGTGGGAGGGGCCGAGAGGAGGATGAGGTGGAGGGGGAGGTTGAAGAGTGGTGATCTTTTGGGTTCTTGGCGCGGAGGGGCGGGAGGTATGCTGGTAGAGAGTGGGCGATTTCCCAGGAGGGGTTCACGGGGTATTGGGCTTTGAAAGGCTGCGATGGAGGGACTGTTAGCTACGAAGGTACTACTTTCGTGAAATGAAAATGCTTATTCTCGCGGAGCCATGCGCGTCGTCTGTCGTCGGTTGTGATGTGCTGGACAGTAGTCACGGCGCGGCGGGCATGGCGGGGTAGGAAAGGAGGGGCAGTCGGGGAATGGAACGGGAGCCGGGTGGAGATGTGGAAAAACGTACGCCGAAGCCAGTGACGAGCACCGTGAACTCGTCTTGTGAATCAATTTGTGACCCCATCGCGAAATAATCTGAGCCTCCGACAAGATGTCGTGGAAGTGAGGATGATGCGAGAAGAAGAAGTACGTCAACGAAGCAAAGGTGGCTTCCGGAACAAACCACGCGATCGCTCAAGACGTGGGGGAAGGAGGGGGGGAGGGACGATCCAGTCTCGCGATTGCCTTTTGTACCCTCCACTCTCACGGGCAATCCTGGGTCCCCTCCCCCATTCCTGCCGGGCACTTCCCCTCCACTGCTCTGATGCGGGTGACATCCGCTCCGGTGCTGGATGCGCTGTGAGAGGGTGGTGGGGTCTCAGCGCTAAGGCACCCGGTGCAGAAGCCGTACAGGGCCCGCGCTCGCCTGCAGCAACCTCAGCAAGGGCGATGCGGGGCACCTTGCACCTCACCTGTGGGCGCCTTCCAGTTTCACCGAGGTACGCCTGCCTTTCTGGACGACGTGCCTTGGAAATATCTGAGATGTTTTCACATTCGCCACTGACCCTCAAGATGTGATGACTTCATGCACAGAGTCCTCGAACGCGCAGTGGATATCCACCGACCACGTCGGCGATTCGAGGGAGATGAAAAACGTGGCATCCTCTCAGGTGCGCGGTCAGGCAACGTGTGGTTGCAACGGCGTGTAAGACAAATTTTTGACTTCGCAAGGCGATCGGGAGGATTCAGCAATGTCGTGCCACGAAAAGGACCGCCTGGGAAACAAACATAGTTCTTGATTGGCTGACAGCCAGACTGACACAGCTGAAAAAAGGCAATCTCAACGGTGAGGAGCTGGGATGGTGGCGTAAACATTGGATGTTGCACAAGTCATGACTGGAGTAGTATTCAGAAACTTCATTATAGCCCGTTGGGCCTGGAGTCTAATGCTCATAATCACTATGATATACTGAAAAGGCCCGTCTTCTGGCGGGCATGTATGGTCGCAATCCTATGCTGTAAGCGCAGCACCCTCTGCGGTGCGGGTATCAAGCCAAATATCATCATTTCCAGCCCACGGCTGAACCCCATCATGAGATCCTCGACGAATGTAATCAAAAGACGCCTCATCTCGAGGCTCATCGTGGCTCGTCAAGAATCTTCAAACCTCCCGTATCATCATATCCCACGCGCTCTTCATCCACAGCCCTTCGCATCTCGTCTCGAAGAACTGTCTTCTCGCCCGTGACAGGATCCCATTCCCATCCTTCACGCATCCACATCCATCGGAGACACGCCCGAAGCTCCTTGTCATCGGGTCGCACTCTCATCCACTCGGGTTGGAAATTGGGCGCTGCGCCCTTGCCGTTCCAGTCGTCGGCCCGTCCCAAAAGCTCGTCCCGACAGAAGATTCGCCAGCTGTCCAAGGCGTATTTGCCTTGCGTGAAATGGCCCATCTCCCAAGCATCGTCGGCATCTTCAGTCGAAGAAAGCTCAATTAAGCATTGCTCAGTGTCGCTGTCGGGTCGAAGTGCGCTTGCCTCAATATCTCTCTTGTCGTAATTCTTCACTCTGTGAACAATCCCCCTTGTCGGTGGAGTTTCGAGCCAAACCCGAGCATACCTCTGTATCGCTGCTGTTCGCACAACTGAAAGCCCCAGATGGCGAATCATACTCATGATGGTCGGTGTCGCCTCTGGATCGGCCAAGGCCTCGGGTGTTGGGAAGCGTTCCTTGACCTTGTAAAACGTTGGGATGGACAGCGTCCCAGCTGTTTTGACAAGGAAGGTCACTACCACAAGCAGCCAAAACGGCTCGTGAGCAAACTCTTCTTGGATGAGACCAAACTTTGATGCCGTCAGTCGTGGAAAGGGGATCGTTGATACGAGACCAGCGCCGCGTTTCGATCTGGGAGACTGTTTGGCTGGTGATGGCAGGTTGAAGAAGGGAGACTTTACGGCCGTCTTCCGCCTCGGCGAGGGGCCGGAAAGACCTAGTTCTCCGACTTGATCCGGCTCAAGTCCTCGGGGGACAATAATTCGGACGAGTTCATCGGAGACGGACTGTTGGGCGGGGATGGCCAGGATGGCGCCTCTGCCCGAAGATCCCTGGCTGTCTGCGGGCCGCTGGCTTTTAAATCGCCGGCGTCATCACCATTCGCTCCGCTAGCCGCACAAGCGGCGTTCTGGGCCTCGCTGGTCGATTCCTTCGGAGATTTTCCGGTGGTGTCATTCGGGGCCTCATTCTCAAGAGACTGTTTGCGAGGTGTGATATTCGGCGTAGCATATCCGTTGTGGATGACGGCTGGTGTGTAGGCTCGAGCTTCGTCGGAAGCGAGCAGAGCTGGGGATGAAGATGAAGAGGGCTGTTCTGGCTGGATGCGTGGCGATTGTTCGGCCGCGGAAGGCGCGAAATAGTGGGATGTGGATGATTTGGGTGCGACTTTGCGTCGCTTGACTCGTTGGTTGTTGGGTTGGGCATCCTCATCTTCGACCTCCTCCTCATCGTCCCGTCCGCGCTTGGAGACACCCTCTCGCTTGATAACTCGCTCTCGTTTGATGACAGCAGGTTGGGGAGCAGCAACGATGCCTGATCGATGAACCCGCAGAAGCGTGGCTAATTTTTTGATGGACTGGTCAGTCGCTGCCCAACCCTGACGCAGCTTGTCGGCGGCTAGCGTGGCTTCTTTCACCCGCGGGACGAAGGCTAGGAGATCTTGTGCATCGAGAGGGGATCTAGCCGGGCTCTGCTCCTTCAGTGAGGCCGCACTCTCGAGCATCAGGTTCCAATCCTCGTATCCGCTGAACAGACCGACGTCGTAGATGGCCAGCTTCTCGTCCCAGGGGGTGCCGGGTGCAGCAAGGACATCAAGCATGAATGGCTTGTCGATTTCGGGAACGTCGAATCCGATGAAGACGTCGTCTGCTAGTGCATGCGCCATTGCTGATGATGTGGATGGACTGACGCAGACGAATGAACCGGATATCGTGATGTGAGGTTTGTGTGTAGGTGTGAATGTTTGGGTGGGTGGGTGAGTGGTGTGAGTGATAGATCGAATGATGGAGTGAGAAGGAATGGATTTTTTTCGAAGTTGTGAGATGTATCTTGGGATGGAAGTGAATTGTTCCGGAGAAAGGTCTGAGGTAGAGGGTAGTGGACTAAAATTGAGTAAGAAGCACCTGAGGTTGACTTGAGAGTCCGGGGGCCGACGTCAATGGTGATCTAAAGGGGTTGAGTTTCTTCAGTTGCCTTTGAAGTGAGGCCTAGGGACCGTTGAGGACGCCATTGTGTTGTGTGCTGCGGGTGGTCAATAGCATTCAACTGCAGCGTCAAAGGACAAAACAATTAATTGCGGCAGGTGCAGGGGAAGAAACACGGCAAGGCAGGTGCGAAGGAGGGGTGACTATTCCGTCTGTCGTTAAGGAATACCTTTGCAACAGCAACGGCGCTGATGAGGTGAAGTCGGGTCTGTTTTCAGGAGAGCGTTTCTACGACGCAGAACAAAAACCTGCTGGAGGCGTGGTTGTTTAGCCTCATGCGGATCCCCTGGCGAGCCAGGTCCCCTTTTTTTCCTTTCAGCGTCATAGCCTGGCACCCGGGAGGCTTGGTTGGCTTTGACGCTGAGTCTACTCCGTACCTTAGGTAGGAAAATAGAAACACAAACCGGCCGCTGGCTCAAGGTGAATGAATTGAAACAATTGGGCTGCCCATGAAAGAAACAGGAGCTCATAAAACGGCGGCATCCGCGTGAAAGCCATGGACTTGATGGCTTGATGACGGTCTTCTTGTTGTCTGGATTTATCCAGACCAACAACACCCGACCTCATAGACATAGAGTGACATACTACCTACCTTGCCTTACTGTGTGGTAGGTACTTAGGTGCCGTGGTGCTGGGCATAACATGATGGGGAGTTCGTGGCCTGTCAATGCTGCAGAGGGCCTTGGTGATAAACCAGGTCGGCCCAGCTTACTGGAGATCGCCCACCACAATCAGGCACGGATACATGGCTCAGCTAAGACGCCTAGCTATGCTAGCAGCAATTGTCCAAGTTCCAAGTCACCCTTCTCGAACAGTTGGTTGTCCACAGGGGTGCCTCACCCAGAGCCTCCTCGCTTTCCCCAGATTTTGCGATAGCAGAGATAACCTGGTTGGCAGGCTGTTATCGCATTGATCAAGTTACGCAATCTGGGACCCAGTCTTGTGACTTGTACAAAGGTCCACTCATCGACCTTTTTTCGCTGGAGTGACTGGTTTACTTGGAATGGGCGACGGCGATCCTCAGGAACCAGTGCATGAGAATCGTCTGCTCGAGCGTGTTCCATGGTGAGCGTAAATATTCGCATTGATTACAGTAAGTGTATGGCGTGCTCAAGCTCCGGTAAGGTAGCTTCTCCAAACGGTGCCCAGCGGTGCGGTGTCAAGGTGTCTCCTCGGAGTGGTGGTGGTAGGTACTGGTACTCATGGAAGGTGTTGCTTTGGACGAATCCAACGTCCGTCCCCAAGGTATTTTGACTTCCCGTAAGTACTCGGGGAATGCAGAGGTGCCTCAAACTGGGCAAGTCCAGTCGAGGCCGGCAACCATTCCCGCTGGAAACGTCAAGACGTTAGCATCTGGCACCTACACCACTAAGCTTGCCAGCATACCAGCAAATGGCATTCCAATCTTTTGAGGTGCCTGGCCACCATCAGCGGAGACATTATCGACATGGCAAAAGTGCGCGAGTTTTCCTCAAGATTTACTCAATTACCCTAGTGACATCGAGGGTGGCAGTGACATGAGCCAGCCAAAGTCTATCCGGCGAGCGTTGTTTTAGTGAGCGGAGACCGAGATAGGCGTTCGGTGCCCCGGGTGCGCCTTTCGTCTTTCGCACTCTGCGTGTCTGCTCGCCGGGTGCCACGTCTGCGGAAAGCCGAAGCGGGTACGTACCCAGTACCTACGGTGTGCGGTGTGCCGTTCCCCAGCGCAACCTATCTGCGTGCAGGTGTGGCCTGCCGTGCCTGCTGCACTGTCCCAGTGCAAAGTGTCTCGGTGCGTCCACTCCTTCCATGACGGGGAACGCATGATGAGTGGTCCACCGCGTGACGGCCTGTGGGGCCAGCCATGTCACGTGGACGCCTTCGCCCAATCCTTGCCTCCCGCCAGCCGGTCGCCTCATTTACTGCCTACTCCCCATTTTCGCTGTTCCTAAGAACTTCCAGATCCTATCCCAACATCCGTCCATCCCTCACCACACACCCCCCCAGCGCGTCCTTGTCCTTTTCACGAGCGTTCACCAACCCGAATCGAACACTCTCAGCGTCATCCGAGCATCGAGAGATGAGTAGTCGCGGCGGTAAATTAGCCCCAGAAGTCAACCGGTAAGTCCGATTTCTTCCAGTCGCGAATCTGCCTACTTGCTAGGCTGGTATATCTTTGCATCTTTTCCCTGCCTTGGCCGCACACGACTTCCGGGCGCCGGCCAAGGTCACCCCACGGCCCATGCCGACCACCTCCGTCCGGCCTCTCCAACTACCTACCTCGATCCTACTGTTCCGTGCTCCGATTGATATCTACCTACCCTGGCCGGCGTGCTACTTGATGGGAGAGACATGGCTGACTGGTTGTCGTACAGAGCTCTGTTCGTGAAGAACTTGAGGTAAGCCTCACCAATCCTTCGACAATGACCCACGCGACGATCAACATCAATGACTGACACCGACATAGCTACAACGTAACTCCAGAGGAGTTGTTCGACCTGTTCGGAAAATTCGGCCCAATTCGGTACGCACCTCCCATCGATGACAAACACCACCTTCCTTCGATATCATTACTGACCCCTACTACAGACAGGTCCGTCAGGGCATTGCAAGCGGCACCAAGGGTACCGCCTTCGTTGTCTATGAAGACGTAATGGATGCGAAGCAAGCTTGCGACAAGCTAAACGGCTTCAACTTCCAGAACCGATACCTCATCGGTATGTCTTTGTCGATCATCTTCAACAATTGTGGATCCATACTAACTTGATGACTAGTTCTGTATCACCAGCCAGAGAAGATGCTCAAGTCAAAAGAGGACCTCGAGGCTCGCCAGGCTCGTTTAGCGCAGCTCAAGACACAGCACGGTATCGATTGACAATCCGACGGGTCTGCGGCACGCCTCCAGACACCTACCTCGTCTGCAGGCCCGTCTATTTCTTCATCTAAACGAACCACTTCTCCGGATCAGAAGACGATCCTCAGAAAGGGCAAGCCGACCATCACCGGGCGCGCACCCAGAACCGGTGTACGATTCGCCGACGGAGTACTCCCCAACTCGCTCCGGGCCCAGACTTGCGCTTGAGGTGGTGGGTCGTTGTAAAACATGACCCGCCAAAAATTTCAAGCCTTGTTCTGGTCGGGGGTTCTTACGGTGCAGAGACACGCGCAACTTTTCTTGTTCGCTGGTTTTGGCTTGGCAAACGCCCGAAAACTCACTCAACCTCTCCTGGAGAGTATCACGACCTGATATGAATCTTGTGCGATGGCAGGGGCGATTAGGGGACAGGAAACCGGATTGAGCCGTCCGTGGACGAAGTCAGTCAACAACTCGACGGTCCTCGGCGGTGTTGTTTTATATCATTTTTTCTTTCCTTTTTGCTGATTTGGGAAACGGAGGGGGGCGTATCACCTTTGCTTGTGGATCACCATCCTTCGACACTCTTCACACACTACAAGTTGCTATCAAAGAATGCATGACAACCGAGGCACCGGCCTCGTGTTCCTCCTCCTCTTGTGTCCTGGCACCGTTGGACTACACGAGCTAACTTTCGCTGATGTCGTAGTCAATATCTAGGGTCCTATGTGCGTATGCTTTCCAATGTTGTGACCACCCATTCCATGAGTTGCCCAGCCTCACTGCTGGACATGTCATCATTGGCTGTCAGACACTTTTCGACCACCTGCTTGTACAACTTTCCGGTCTTGCTACCCAATCCCGGGACCAAGACTGGCAAAATGACCCTATCCCTCCACTTCTCCGCCGAGTAATGCGGCTTGTAGTATGTTTGCAGCACCTTCCACAGTCCAATCTCCAACAGCACCAGGCCCAGGCTGTACACATCATAGCCCTTGCAGTACTGCTTCCTCCCGAGGCCAGTGCCCAGCGAACGCGGATCTCTGTGGAGGTCGAGGATGCTGGGGTTCCGCGGATTGACGCTCATCTCGGCGTCAAAGTCTGGGCGAGAGGCGTCAAAGCCGACGAGGTAGGGGGATCCGATGTCCGGGACGACGGCGGCGGAGACGGTGGTGGCGCGGGTTGCTGCGAGGGAGGCGGCGGAGGGGAAGAAGAGGATGTTTGCGCTGCAGAGGGACTTGTGGAGCCAGTCTAGGGAGTGGAGGGACCAGAGGGCGCAGGCGAGGGTTGACGCGAGGGTTATGCGGTCGTCTAGGTCGGGAGTTTTGAGGTCTGGGGAGGAGATTAGGGTGTGGAGGGTTGAGTGGGATGTTGCTGGTTGTGGCTGTGATGCTTCTGCTGCTGCTGCTACGGTGTCGGTGTTGGCCTTGGTCTTAGTCTTGGTTTTTGTGATGGGCAGGGAGTCCGAAGGTAAAGATGGTTGAGAGAGTAAGGGACAGCGGTAGACGAGGCCGTAGCGGGCGTTGTTCGCGTCGTCTGTGTAGCCTACGCAGTCTATCGTGTGCAGGTCCGGGTGGTTGGAGGAGGCCGAGTGCATCATGCGGGCGAGGTCGTCGAGACGGCGGAGGTGGAGGAAGCGTTCGTCGGGCGAGGAGGGGTCGTATTCGACCCATTCTACGAGGACCGGGCCGTGGGTTGTGTGTGTTGCGTGAGTGCGGGTTGTGTTTGTTGTTGATGCTAGGGAGAGGAGGTTCAGGGAGGAGGAGGAGGGTGATGAGGCTGCTTTTGCGGTGGAGGAGTTGCGGCGTTTGGTGCCGGTTCCGGGGGTGGGCGACGTTGGTAACGGTGGTGAGAGCAAGGGCGTCGTCGTTGGCGGGGACGAGCTGAGGTCGAGGTCCGTACGGGGGATGCGGAAGGCGAAGGTCGGGCGGAAGGAGGCCTGGGGTTCGGCGTCGAGGTTGATGCGTAGCTTTTTGAGGTTGGCGGAGGCGGTGAGCTGCGGGTAGGAGTCTGCGGAGGAGGACTCGAGGAGGGCGAGCTGGGCTACGTCGCGGCGGGCCGAGTCGAGGAGGGAGTGGCGCCAGGAGCGGTGGAGGGAGGGGAGGAGGCGGGGTGGGAAGAGTTGTTCTAGGCCGTCGTTGAAGTCTGGTTGTCTTTGGTGTTAGTTGGTGATGGGTGTGGTGTGGATAGTGTAGATGTTCGGAGCTCACATTTCAAGTCCGTCAATAGGTTTGTGAACTTCTCCTTGTCTTTCATCACACGTTGATAAGCAACCTGGAAACATGCACACAACAAGATATCGATAGAGAGAAACATACCAGCAATAACCCACTTCGCCCTCCTCGAAATCTCCCTCCTCCAATCCCTCTTCTTCCCCTCCCCTCCCTTCTCACCATCACCACCACTCGTGCCAATCTTCCCCCCCTCAATACCATCCTCCACAAACCCATACCTCTCCCTCAACCTCCCAAAGTCCGTAACGGTAGCGTGCAACTCCCTCATGATCCCCTCCGCCAGCCCCGCCATCCGCGGATCGCCCGCCTCGCGACTGAACCCGTTCAGGTGCGCCTCCAACCGGCCCTCGGCGACGCCCCACCCGCGGCCCCAGACGACGAGGCGCATCTCCTCGATGCGCACTTTGCACAGCAGCCGCTGCGAGTCGGCGTCGAGGTTGGCGGCCGCGGAGAAGTAGCCGTAGGCTTTGACGCAGCCGTCAAAGAGCTGGCCTAGGAAACCTACTACGCCTATTGCTGTGCCTATTGCCTCGGCCATGTTCGCGACGGAATAGGGAGTTGCTGGAGATTTCCCTGGGTTTTCCCTTCTTTGGTTAATGTGTGATAGTTTCTCTGCTTTTTCCTGAGTGAAGGGGCTATTTCGTGTCTTTTTTTGTTTTGGTGCTAGGTGATCTTTCCTGAGTTTACTTCACAACATCGAATATTACAGGACTTTGGATGTCGTCTCTGAAGTAGGTTATTTCCGAGCTCCTGCGAACGATTGTTAAAGTTGGAATCGTCGTACTACGTTGAAAATGGGTCAACGATCTCTCAATATGGGAACACGGAGAGGAGGGGTCAAGTTGAGGAGGTTACACCGCTTTCTTCAACGACGATACGGTATCGAGATATCCCACGGCATGGTCTAATCTGGAGCTGAAATGAGCAGATCCAAGACAAACCGAGTAAGTCCTAACTTTCAGCTAGACCTCTCCAGAAAAGAAGCTTAAGAAACAAAACGTCGGAATTGGTCATAAAACCAGATGAGGATAGTTGAAAAGGAACAAAGTAAGCAACGGGAACGTATGAAGCCAGTCCCTCATCATCCTGCATACGGGTTCCTAGAGGGGTCGTTGAAGACCTGCATATGATCCACATCAAATCTCACCCAATCGCAAAGAGTCTACCCGAACGGTTGTGTTCCCCTCATTGTTGTAGCCACCCTTTGATGCAAGTCACCTCGACCGAGTAGCCAATTCCAGCCCCCTTCTTCGCCTTAGTGCCGGAGCTTGGCGGACGCCTTCGACCAGGATTAGGGGTCAACAGTTCACACGTTCTCAAGCTCCAGCTGACGGGCTATCTGATAGATCTTCAGCAAGACATTGAGCTGTAGACACGAGGTGAAAGCGGATGCAGAGACTTGTATGAACTTGAATATATCTTCTCCATTTCCTAAGCGCGCTGCTTAAACTGTCCTTTTCCCACTATTGAATCCTTTCTGTGTCTACCCATCATATATGCGGCGATGGGATCCCGTTGACCCAACGCCCAAAAAAATGCAACTGCAGTGCGGGAACAAGGTTGCAAGCCTTTTGAATGCCGTTCGTAATGCCAAGAAAGCGACTAGATGATATTGATCGTCTTTTGTCTTTCTTTTCCCCAAAGGTATGAGATCAGCCCTTCCGAAACGGGGCTTTTGTGTTTTTCCTCCTCAGGAGTTCTTCTCCTAGTAAACCTTCTTCTTCTCGTCGATGGAGAACTGTCCAGGTCCGGCGTTGACGAGCAGGAGAAGACCGCCGACAATAGAGAGGATCTGGAAGAAATCGTACTTGGCGAAATCCTTGTGGGGGTGGTGCTCGTGGAGCTACAAATCATTAGCATATACACGTAGGGCAATGACAGTTGGCGTTTGGGAAAGCTTACAGTCCAGAAGTTGTTCACAAGGATGTTGAAAATGCTGAGAATCAGGACCAGAAGAGTGGCGCTGAACTTGGCCTTGAAACCGACAACAACCATGACGCAGGCAACGAAGCCAACCAGGGAGGTGATGATGCGCCAGACGGACCAGGAGCCGCTGAAGACGAAGCCGACGAAAAGGAAGATGAGCAGGACACGGCCAGCAAGCTGGAAGTACATCTTGCGGTCCTTCTCGTCAAGCTGGGGCAAGCCAGCAAACGCCTTGGTCTTGCGAACCCACGAATCGGAGAGGACCATGAGAAGACCACCAATGACTGAGAGGTTGCGAAGGAAGAAGTTGAGGTCGAAGATCAGGCCGTATCCTAGAGCCTGCGTGACGACGACGCCCATAAGGCCGGCGACCGCGTAGTCGGAGTACTTGCGGATAATGACGAGAGTGGAGCATGCGACCATGGCGAGAACGTTAACGATGAGGAACAGGTGGGTGATGCCCGAGGGAACTGTACAAGGTTAGCACATCCAATTATTGGCGCAGACATTGTTAGAATTGTAGACGTACTGTGGCGGTAATCGTGAAGGTACAGGAGCTGGTCGCTCCATTGCGTAATGATTCTAAGAGCATCTTCGAGGAAGGTAACAACGATCAGGAAGCGACCAATGGCGGGCAGGTAACTATCGAGCAATGTTAGCCAACATGGCTCACGCGATGGTGAGCTATCCGACAGCTCCCTGTCAAGATGCCGAGGTTCCAACTCACGGCTTGATTGGCTCGCTGAGAGTGTCCAACATGTCCTCAATCTTGCTCGTCTGTTGACGGATCATATCCAAGGGGCTGGACTCGGAGCTGTCACCACTGGGACCGCCGAAAGAGGCGGAGGGGCCACCGGCACCCAAGCCGTAGGAAGGGCCTCTCTGTTGAGCCATCGTGGGAAGCGGGAGATCGACGGAGGGAGTGAGGTCGTGGGAGAGGTAGACGTGGCTGTTGCACAAGAAGGTACAGACAGACCAGCTGTTCGATCTGGCGACTTTATTTCTTTCGAGTCGTCGTTGTGGTCGTCGAAATTGACGGAGTTTTCTGGTGGAGAGACGAGGGTCTGAACCGTGAGGCGAAAAAAGAGGGTTGACCGCAGTTGAGATCCGAGGGCTGGCCTTGACCTTGACGTTTCGGCAAAGGTAATTGGGGGTGGGAGGGTTTGCGACGAAGGAGAAAGACAGAGAGGCAGAGGAAAGGATTGACAAAGGTAGACCGTTGGCGCTCTTGGGAGAAGAGTTGTCGTGGCAGGGCCGTAAGCTGTGGAGGGTCTTTGGTTTGGTGTGTCGAAAAAGAAGGGGAGCGACTTTTGAGTGTCGAAGGGAACGAAATGGAGAAACCGGAGGGCAAGCTGGCCTGAATGGCGTGGATGACTTCAGATTTGGTACAATGTGTCCTTTCGAGCCTCCCGCGATGGCTGCTCAGTGCTCAGAGGTCCGAGGTACCCACTTTTTAGACCAGAACACCCAGAACGGGTAGGTCGCTGGGATGTACCTGCACCTTCCTTCGGTACATGGATCTTTGCCGTGCTTGCCCGCTCCCTCATAGGTACTCAAGAGGGGTAGAAGTACCGGGCACGCACACCTCACACAGAATTGGGAGCCTCCGTCTCCAGCGGCACCAGCAGTAACCTCCACTGTATTTGCACCTTATTAACAGCCACCTCTCCTTCAAGCTTCAATGTACCCGCCCACGAGTTTACGGTTCGAGGTACGTATCCGCAGGCGGTGGACTGCAACCATCCGTTTGAGCCACTGAGGCCTTGCCGCTTGCCCGTTCTAAACTACCTGCGTGTGGGCGGTTGGCCCCTGCACGGCTTTGTCCCTGAATTTGGCACGAACGCCTAATTCTTTTTTTTCCCTCTTTTCTCTGAGTGCCTGGGTAGCTCCAGCTTCAACCCGCTTTTAGCCTCCGTGTGTTTTACATTGGTTGCGAGCGTGGATTCCGTTCATGGTGAATACGAACCCTCAACCTACTGCAAAGAGTGAGTGATGGCTTCATATCTTGATACTGCACGAGACACATTACAGACCGAAGAGCTCTCAGGCAAGGGACTTGAAGGTGGTGAGTTGTCAACTTTCAGCTTGCTTGAAGCTCTGAGCTTCCATCACCTGATTGGCAGGCCATCCCTTGCCTCACTTGCAACCTTCCTTTACTGGTTGGCGGCTTCTCCTGGGGAGCTGTTATCAAGGAACACAGCTTAGGGCCTTATGTGCATGTTTTCAACAACTGCCCTCTTCATCATCGCGCCAATTTATGTCCACTCGTGAACATTCGAACGGCAGTCAAGCCGGAGGTTCGTCGGATCTTTCGGTTAGAAGAGGGTGCGCATCTTAATGGCATAGTGAGGCGAGTCAGTCAAGCATGAATCTTAAACCACGCCCGGGCTTCGTTTCTCAGCAGAACACATGACCTGGCCAGTTTGCAATTGAGAAATGATGGGCAGAAGATACTGCGAGGTATTTACACGCGGAATGATGAGATGTTCAAGAACAAGGCGGACTGAAAAGCACGGGGAACCATCCAAACAGCTCACCCATTTCCGATGGGTGAGTGCCATTCGCAAATAGCCTGCCAAAACTGAACGAAACTCCAAGTCATGAAAACCTCCATCAAAGCTCAACCTCCCTCATTCACCGCCGGCTTCCTTCCCCATACAGAATACCTAATTTCAGTCAGTGAATCCCTTCGGAGCTTCAGAACCGTCAAACTCACACTGAAAAGTACGCGTGTATATTCCGATCATTGATGTCCTTCCGCACATCGACGAGAAACACGAGGACCGCCTCTCTCGACCACCCGTGGATCCGCGTAAAGGGCGCCATGATGAAGCCCTCCATACCCGCAGTCAAATTCTCGTTCTGCCAGACGCCGAGCTCCTTGTACTTGTGATGCCGCGGCCAGGAGTTGGTCGGCCACTTGTACCTCTCTAGGACGACGTCGCGGAACCCGATCTCGACCGTCATGTCCTTGAGCTCCGGTATGTCCTGGTACGGACGGCCCAGCTTCCCCATGGCTTCACCTAGGAGTCTCAGGGATTTGGTGAAGGCGAGATCGTCGGTGAGGGTTCCGTCGTCCGAGGTTGGGATTAGGTCCATCTCGTTCAGCTCGAGGTAGCCGCCAGGTGCGAGGTTACTGAACATGTTAGTTGACACATGTCCCGGATCCTGGATTCATGAACTGTGTTTCGCTCACTCGTAGCAGTTTTGCAGATATTTCCTCCAGTCTGCAAGGCTGGATGTCATGAGACGACTGTGTATATAGTCAAACGGCCTCGAAAACGTCCATGGTTCTTCGATATCGTCAATCTCGAACTTCACATTCGGGGGTACGCTGAGATGGTCAGTTCATAATCACAGCTTCACCTAACGGCGTAAATCAAGGAACACGCACAACTCCGGTTGAGCAGCTGAAAGATCGATACCCAGAACCTGGAAGGCGTCAGTTGGTGTTTTGATCAAAGACCTTTTTGGACTCACTTCAGCTTCTGGGTGTTCATCGCCAAACTCGATAGCCCACAATCCTGTTCCAGTACCGACGTCTAGAACGCGATTGACGGGAAAATTTGGGTCATTCGGCGGCGCGGTACCCAGGCGGTTGTCGAAGGTAAGGAGCCACAGGTTGTGCTGCAAGTCTACCTACGTGAGAAGCCGCTCTAGAAGTTTCACAGCAACAAAGACTCACCCAGTCTGTCGTTCTCCCTCTCGTCGTTAGGATAGCTGTATTCTATACATCCGTCAGAAGCCTGTGCACTATAAGGTGTCTCGATGGAGCAAAGCTCTTACTCCCATCTTTGTACCGATGATATGTCCTGCCGTTCTCCTTCCTATAGTCGAGAATAGAGGCGCTTACACTCGTCGTGGACGATGCGGTACCCTACATTATCCATCATCAGCATGTCTGACAGATATTTGGGGCAATGCCAAATCATCGTACTCCGTAATCCGATGTGGCATCATCGGCAGCCTGCAGGTTCTCATATCAGTATATCTGCACTGCGAACAACAGGTTGGATCTCATGACCTCCTCTGCAGCCAGTACCGCTTCATTCTCAGTATGGTCTTGAGGCGACTGAGGCTGGGCGGGACTCGATGACGCGGGGCTCCTCCTGGGCGAAGGCATGACAACGATTCTGTGAAGGTTTCAGGTTTGCTTTCTGCTCACTCAGGCACTCTTCATGCCTCAAGAATAAAGTTTGACTTGTGTAATCACAGCCAAACCGCAACAGAGAGACTCCATAGCTTTCAAATACCCCTCTTTATTTTCAACTCAAGACTGTTCGTATCAATGCGACAGCGAGAAGTCGGTGACCTACAACCCGTAAGCGACAGCGAATCCTTACCCCGGATGCCACTGTCGCAGTGCCCGACTCCATGACTCGAGACCCTGTCCTTGGACGGTCCTACCAATCCGCTCGCGGGACGATACGACCAAGTGGATTTTCTTCAGACGGATCAGCGAAAATAGACAGATGTTAGTCCTAGGGCTACGACCAACTGCCGGTGCCGGTGTACCTTATCTGACTACGTGTGTGGAATGTGTGGAAGAGGACCTACGGACAGATTGGGTATCGCTCAATGGAGCGAAAGACATCCCTCCATCATAGGAAGCGCCCGGGTGTAGGAATTGTTCAAATCAGAGCAATGGAAGTACGAGGCTTTCCCTCCTAAGTAAAGCAAGCTCTGTCCCGGGAAACCTTGACTCTCGGAGCCGCTCCGGCCCCCGGACTCTACAGTGGATCTCGGCTTCAGAATGACTGACCCTCAGCGACGTCTTCCAGGTTACCGGAGTGTAGCCTTCGAGCTCATCAGCATGCACGACATTGTCCTCGTGCAGCACGCCACCAGCTTTACCGTTCGTAACTCCCTACAGGGGCCTGTAGCTATGGAGACTACACCGATATACCATGTCATCCGGGTGGACGGATTGTCCCACATGAACTATGAATTTGAGACTCGATAGTAGGACATCTTGTCAGATGGGTTACTAGGTTGAAAGATGTTCAGAGCTTGTGTGAACAATGACACTCGTAAGGCGTTCTGAAGCACTCATGGCTATGACTTCTTACCGCTGCGACGGTCTTGCCCAGACAGCACAGGAAGGCTGGTGGTGGAATAGATCCCTCATGCCAATGAGGAATTAGACTGCCGTGAAAGGTGGCTTGGCGTTCATATTTATTTGAAGACGACGTTCGAAGTAAAAGATGAAGATATCGATATCCGATGGTGGCACCTCACAACAATGGATGTAGAAGGCACGTCTATCCCTTCAACGTTGACCAGATCTCTGCTCTCCTATCACTGTTTTTGCCACCCTTTTCCACTATTGTTCATTCCGAAATGACTCTTTTCTGCTGAGGTACGACCATTCACAACTCACCGGTTCTAAGTGGTAACAGAGGAGGCGCCCATCGTCGACTCAACTATAAGGCATCTGGAACCTTTGCTCAGCAAAGATGATAAGGAGAGGGGACCGAGGCCTTCTGAATGGAGAATTCAATCATGAATGATCTTCCGCGAAGTTTGCAGCTGAAATGGGAAGCAGTAAATCGGCCAGTTTTGGGCCAGCCAAGAGGCTTAGAGGATAAGGGCCTTGCATCGGCGTCGTGAATCGATAGACGAATGGCGTTCAGTAACATTCATTTACCCTACTCTCGGATGTTGGGGACTCAGACTTTACTGATAACAAAAAAATTTGACTCTTAAACCCAGCTCTTTCCACGTTTGTTTCCTCTGTTGCGTATGGATCTTGTTTGATGGCAGTGTACAGGCAAACGAAGCTCGCGAATCAATTGACGTCGTTTTCACACTTATGACATCCCATTTAAAAGCTAACCACAGGAAGATTCTGTATATTAATGCGCCAAATCACTACTTACTCACACATAATCACGACTGTCGGCCGGAGCTATGAATTGGATGAGGAACAAGCGTGGATGCCAGTCCTTTCCCGCCAGGGAATTGGCGCCCGTTTCACTCCGGATCCTTTACTCAGTGACAGACAGCATCAGCAATCGCACAGTGAGAGTCTTAGACATTCAGGCTTTCGGTTATTGGCCGTCTGGGCCCATATGTTCACTAAATGTATGTAAGCTATTGATCATACTTCACGACATGTCGTATTTGGTAGCTTTGGTGTGATCGTGATGAGGTCAAGTCTAAGGTCTCAAGCAGAATCTACGAGACTTTTTTTGGGGAGGAGGCTGCACCCCCATGAACCTGATCGCTTTATAGATTAACATAGACAGAATCGTTCTGTAGTCTACTGTCCAAGATTTGATCCAGTGTCTTTGAGATAACACCGTAGACGTTTAGCAGTGTAGAGGGGGCGTGTTCATAGCCTAGGATAACGTCGTGTCGATAGGATTATTTGCGTCGAAAACGAGCTTTACTGGCATGTACCAAGCTCAAAGTGACGGGATTCAGACATCCGACTGAAACGCGGCTATAGAGGCAACCGCGATCAGTTTTAACCTTCAGGCTTCAGATTTCAGACCTCTCTGGTTACCCTAGACTCTAGTAATGTTCTTTGTCTTAAGCTGAAGCCAATTGGCGTCTTAACTAAGTCGTGACTTTCGGAGTATTCCATCCTGTAGATGACTCGAGTATGGATGGAAAGGCGGTGGTATTGAGTTTCGATTTATCGACCTTGGGCCCTCTTGCGTACCTCTGCGTGTACTTGTTCTGGATTATATGTGACGGCTACAAGTCGCTCCTGAGCTGGAGGTCTTTCTGAATAATGCCTTGCACACTGCCTCAAGTCGCAGCAATGTTACCTTGGTCCATGCGAGAGCTCGAGCACAATGTCCTGCTTGTTCTTTATAGAGCATAGAGAAGCTTAAAATGAGTGGACACAACTTGTATGTCCTAAGATCATCTGTCACATATTACATCGGGAAGACTTGAAAGAAGGGAAACAGTTCACTGGATGACTTGGTCTATATCTGAATTTAACCGACCCAAAACAGCCTCCAAAACAAACTCAATGCCTTGGACCCTCAGCAAGCTAGAACGAAAATCCAGGCTTCCAAATGCCATACACAAAATCACGCTCCCATTGGCCATCCTTCGCTCCCGCTTACTCCGCAGCCTTGACCGCCGGCGTCAAGTGCACCATCAGTGGCGGCTTGTTGTAGAGAAGGTAGACGTCGTGATCGATCCAATTCTTACTCTGGGCAGCCAGCTGGAGGTCGAAGTTCCAGATGACCTTGGCGAGAATCATCTTCATCTCGGCGTAGGCGAGGTTCATGCCCAGGCAGTTGCGGGGCCCGATGTGGAAGGGCTTGAGGGCCTCGAGGTGGTCGTCGGCGAAGGCCGGGTCTCCGAGCCAGCGCTCCGGGTGAAATTCGAAAGGCTTGGAGAATATCTTTTCGTTGTGGTAGAGGGCCCAATGAGCGACGCCGATTGTGGTCTGGAGGGGAGATATGGGTGTTAGCTTGGTTGAGGAGGGGAAAGGGGGAGGGTACTTCTGGGAACCCACATTTCCAGGGATCCATTGTCCAAGAATCTCTTGTCCAGAGGGCGGCGTGATACGTGGCAGAGCGACGGGAACGGGAGGGTAAGACCGCAGAGTCTCCTCGAGGACGGCGTGGAGGTACTCGAGCTTGGCGGTGCTGAGGAGGTCAATCTCATCTTCGTTCTGGAACGAGGTCCTGATCTCCTTCTGGAGCTTAGCCAACTTGTCCGGGTTGGTGAGAAGGAGGTAGGTGCAGCCAGACAGGGCCGTCGCTGTCGTCTCGGAGCCGGCGACGATGAGAACATTTGCGTTTTCGTACATCTCTGGCATGTTCATTGGCTAGAAGATATCTTGTCAGCTTTTGAAAACCTAATAAGGTGGAATCGCTTCATCGTCTGTGCAAGGGGGTATAGCCAGAGACAATGAATGGAGTATGTACTCACCTGAGCTCCCTTCTTGAGCATGGTTTCCGCAAAGTCAGGCCGCGATGTGCCGAGAGATACTCTCTGGTCGACCTTTTCACGGACGAACAACCTGTGAGACATGCCTTTCTTCATGACTTCCTTGGGGATAAAGGCCTTGAGGATAGGTTCAAGGACCTTGAAGCCCCTGGCAATGTTGACATAACAAATCATCTTGATGTTGGTGAAAATCAGCTTGACCCAGGGGTGGTAGTCAGACTTGTCGAGGCATCCGAAAGACTGTCCAAAAGCGAGATCACCAATAATGTCAAAGGTGGTGTAGTTGTACCACGCCACGACATCAACAGGGCCCTTGCTGCAGATACCGTGGAGTCGCTCGATCAGGAGGTCAATGTAGCTCTTGATGATGGGCTGCTGCTCCTGCATGCTCTTGGCAGAGAAGCCGTTGGACAGGATGCGGCGGTAGCGGGAGTGGTCCTCGCGGTTGGCCGAGATGATGTCCATGTGGTGCTTGTCGATGAAGTCTGGGTCTTTGGCGTTCTCCTCGGTCTTGCCCTTGCGGTGGCCCATGATCTCCTTCATTGCGTCCGGGTGTTGGAAGGAGAGCTCGTTGGGCGAGACGCGAATGATCTCGGCGTCGTAGTACTGATGGAGGGCAAGGATCTCCTTGTGCGTCTGGCCGCGGGCACCCATCAATGCGTAGGGGATACGGGTGGCGGCCCATAGCTTGGGGCCTGGGTACTTGCAGAGAGGATGGAGTGTCACGTTGTAGATTATTTGAAGGAGGAGACCGACAACGACCTGCGAGCGTTAGGAACGCGCTCAGCTCTGTGGTTGTAAAAGAGAGAACAGGCTATGAGATTAGCATGCTTAGAGAGACGTCGACTTACTAGTGAAAGTTAGGAACGCGCTCAGCTCTGTGGTTGTAAAAGAGAGAACAGGCTATGAGATTAGCATGCTTAGAGAGACGTCGACTTACTAGTGAAATTGCTACTAGAGGCCATAGGATAAAAGGCGAGGGCCTTGAGCTCCCGAGTTGACTTTCTGACAGCATCTTGGTCGCGCCTTTTCTGAGTTGAGTGTATAGAAGAGAAGAGAAGTCGCCACGCAATCTGTAAAGTATAGCCCAGTTCCCGTCGCTGGACCCTGTGGGAGGTTTCAGAGAGAAGAGCAGTAGAGTATGGTGATGGAGTTCTATCAAAATCTCAAACACGCAGGGCATTGGAGATTCTTATATGCCACTCGGGCCGCCTTCGTTGACAAGAACTTCAAAGTGTTGCAGTACGACATGACAGTATAACCCTCAGATCCCTACAGATTACAACGTCACAATGTTTACTATACACTCACCGGTCATTGGCAACGCATGGTATCCGCAGGCCAGGCCATTGGCAGGCAAAACTTCAAACAAGGCGCAGGTTCTTTCTTTTCCCCCCTCCCCCCTCCATCCCCACGCGGAGCCGTCAAGAGACCGTCTTGCATAATGCAACGAGACGCTCAATGTACAATGGTGAATGGGCAACCTCCGCGCCTGTCAGTACGCGAGAGGGCCATCTTCGCTACGCACTCACACGAATGCGAGGTAGGCTAATGTCAGCGCCAGCGACCACGGCCCGCCGCGCGTCATAGTTCCCCGGCATGGGTGATCGACTAGTGCCCATCTACAATCTACCACTAGGAAGCCAACCTTACTCGTCGGAACTTATTATTCGTCCACTCTTTTTGAGAGCGAGAGGAGGCTTGGAAGGCCATGTCGTTCCCGCCTGGAAACCTGTCGGTAGTCGACGTGTTGCAGGGAGGGGCGGGTGAGAAACGGGTATGCCTGATCCTTCCCGCATCGTGCTACTGTTGCCCCCCATGGTTTTACGATGAGTATCATGACAAGTCGTCTCTTTCTAGAGAGGGCAGTTCGGCTCCGAGACTCGTAAACTCTATGACACTGATAATTCTGGGGCACTGGGGCTCAAGTTGAGTTACTGGAGTCAGTGGTCTGTGGGCCACCGAGTTCATCTTGGCACGGGGATCTGGACCGGCAGCGCTTGCCGGGGTATGAAGTCAGTCTAAGATGTTAGTCGACCGTCCAAGAACTTTTCGAGGCACTGACAGGTTTTTTTTCCTCTCTTGACAAGTTGACACACAGCGACACGGATATGCACGACGTTGCCATGCTTCGACGTTGGACGTTGCACCGCAGTGGCGTTTCCATTGTTTCCAAGAGTGCAGAGATTGTCTCAGAAGCGACACCACGCACGCGCAGTCCCGCCTATGCACCTCTGCGCTCTCTCGTTCGAACGGGCAGATGAGCGGGCATATGGCGTTGTCCCGGGCCCCGAGAAGCGGCATCCCTGCTGCTCGCCCGTTTTCGCTCTTCGTCCATTGTCCGCGTCTTGGCCCGCCTCAAGTCCGCAACGGGCGGGGATGAACTTGTAAACCATGGCACGGTGACACAAAAGGCGGATATCTTCTCTGAGATTTGGGTGTGGTTGGGGGCCAAAAACCTGCCGAAGACCTCGCGGTCCCCCGACTTTTTTTTGAACCTTGGTCTCTGGAACTCCGCCGTTTCTTTTTGCTGCGCCGCCGGACGGACGGCGAGGGCACGGCTGCTTCTGCTTACTCTTACGGCGCCGGCTTTTGGAAGCCTTCTCCGGAGCGATTGTACAGTCAGATATCATCAGAAGGCGGACGGCCGATGTGACAAACGCTAATCTGCTGACAATTTCATTCCCCCGAACCGGTGGAGGATAGCTATATCTCCGTACCATCGGCGGAGTGTTAGGCAAAGGCAGCTTCTTTCTGACACTTTGCGAGATGGTGTGGTGGTCGCGTATTGTTCCCCCCTCATCAACGTGAGGGTGTGGGAGGGTTGAATGGGCAGTAATTAGCGGTCCGATCATTGGGCTCAACACAGGGACGTTCGTTTCATCTGCCAAAGAACTCTCAAAGTCGGTCGAACTACACTTCAGTGCTCTAGTATGAGATTTTGCTTCGCCCAACATACTTGACGCCGAGGAACTTCACAAATTCCTGACTCAAAGTCTCAACGTGATACGGCGACGAGAACTGTAAGCAACTCGGGCAAAGGATACCGAAATCACGATGAATCTCTCTACCTCATGTTAATACGGAAGACCCCTCGCCCATTCAATAGAGATTGCCCAAGTCACATTTGATTTCTTCGTTGAAGCCAGCATATCCCAATGCAACTTGACTGCTGCCGGAATAAACACAGCCATCTTTGCTGAGCTCTCGAACAACCTGGCAATATCTTGTCGAAGACTCTTTCATTCTCTCTGTTGGGCAGGAATCCGTAAGTGACGTGCGAGCGAGTGGTCTACGATAACCGACACGATGCAAGATGTCAATGCCAGCCTGCCCAAGCTTGTCAACTGATCGTCCATCTTGCATCGGCCCTGGCGCAAGTCGGCTCCGAATGATACCCCCACCTGCCGGCACGGTGAAGCAAGTGCGGCTTGAAGCTATCTTGATTCGATGAGATATAAAATGGCCTGACTATGACGATGTCCTACATATCGCGAGGTGCTGCCCTCTTCTGTCAAGAGCTCGGCGTATTTTATAGGCTTGGCAGCTCCCTCTTCTGCTACTCGAAAGACGGCCTGATCAAAAACCGTTGTTGTGTAACTCACATGCACTCTTGTAGCTTTTTGCCTGATTAGGTGGCTTGCATGGCTGAGAGTCCAACAGCAAGACATCATGAATCGCCTAAATGACTATTCTCGAGATGCAAAAAAAGAGGGAATGAATAGGTCGGATGGTTTGACTGATGCTGCTTATTTTCGCAGACATTTCGCATTGAATACGATGCTGCAAAATTGCGGGCAGAGACGGCTTATGCGTTCGAACCGGCAGGTCATCCCGAAGGGAGGCCACGCCGAGGCGCCGAGGCGAGGCATCCGAGATCGGGCCACGGAGACAGGGGACCGATCGGGATCCCCACAGTACAAAACTATCGGAGCGTCACCGGCTTACTCCCGTCCGGACCGAGACTCGTACTACTTCACCCAAGGCCTTTTCAGTTCTTTCTTTCTAACAGAAGAAGATTCGAGGATTCGTTTGACAGAGGACCATCAGAAAGAATTACTCTCTTCTCGAATTCTCAAGCAATCACTCATTGACAGTCCATCGCATCCGCAACCAACATGGCCTTCACAGTCCTCTCAGACAACAACGTCAAGCAGCTCTTCCAGGGCTTCGGCCCAGAAGACGTGGCCCTAATGTCCGACGTCCTCACCGACGCATTCCTCTCCTATTCCGTCGGCCCCGAAGCGCAGTACCAGCCCCACCGCGCCGCCGTCGTCAGGCCCGACGGCACCACCGGCCTCTTCATGCCGGCCACGATGGAAGGCGGCATGTCCGTCAAGATCGTGGGCCTCCCGCCGCCCAACTCTGCGACTACCGACCTCCGCTGCGTCCTCACGATCTGCGACGGCACCGGCAAGGCTGTAGGGATCATCAACGCCGAGGAACTCACGGCGTTCCGGACCTCGCTCGGCTCTATCTTGCTGTATAGGTACCGCCAGGCGACGGCAAACATCGTAGTCTTTGGCGCCGGTAAGCAGGCGCTGTGGCATCTTCGACTAGCTCTCGTCCTCCGCGGGAAGGACATCAAGACCATCACCATCGTGAACCGCTCAAAGGAGCGCCCGGCGAAGCTCATCGAGCGGCTTCAGGCCATGAGCAAGGCCAGCGGAGTGGGCAACACCGACTCGGTGACCTTCACCGTCACTGAAGCGACACCGGACAGCGCACCAGGCAACGCCGAGCTGCGCTCCGCCGTGGAAGAAAGCGACGTCATCTTCTGCACCACGCCGTCCACGCAGCGCATATTCCCGGCCGAGTGGCTGACCTCGGAGCGCGGCTCGGCCAAGGCGCGGTATATCTCGGCCATCGGATCGTACAAGCTCAACATGAAGGAGCTTGATCCGGAATTCCTCCGCGCTGTCGTCGACACGCCTCTCGGAGCCTTCACTTCCGCTGGGGGCGGGGCCAAGAAGGACGGCGTCATCTTTGTAGACAGCCGCGAGGCGTGTTTCTTGGAGGCTGGCGAAGTGGTGGAGGCCAAGATCCCCGCTGAGAAGATTGTCGAGGTGGGTGAGTTTACTGACAAGCTTCGCAAGGCGGATGAGGGTGAGGCGGGGTTGCTGCGGGAGTGGCTTGAGAAGGGGTTGATTGTGTACAAGAGTGTCGGTATTGGTATCATGGACTTGTCTCTGGGCAAGGTCATTCTCGAGTTGGCGGCGAAGCACAAGGTTGGCACGATATTGCCAGAGTTCTAAGTTGTTTTCAGATATTAAATACAATAGAGTCTCAAATAGTCCGTAGTGTACTTCAAGTTCCTCAACCGTAATCGTGGCGGTGAGCTTCAGTCTTCAACTACCTGAATCCCTCTGTGACGTTAGGTACGTTGTTGCCATGTTTTGCTCATCTCCTCCAGGCTATGTATGGGCTCTCCTTTCAAGGAGTCAAGGTAAAGAGAAGCTAGAGGTGCAGGCTTAGTATTTATACAAGAAAACCTATTGCTCATCGAGCGGATGTAAAAGGCAGCCATAAATTATTGGAGACAATGCTTCTTAACTGCCGGGCATAAGGAAGGTACCAGGTTCCTCCGTACAGCGTCTTAGACTATCACATAACGTTGAGTCCAGATCAGAAACACCGACGGCTCATATACCGAGAGTACCACAATCGCGTCTGCGATGTGACCATCCACGAATGGGCCTCCTGATTGTTTTTTATTCTCCTGGTGACCAAAGAGGAGCCACATAACGTACCTAGATGTTCAATTAGCTACACCCTCTTCTCTCTATGAAGCATGGGCGGTTCTCGTCAACGTATTCGTTAACGAATCGAATGGGCGAGATGAGTAAACACCAAGGATATATATTTGAATTAAAGACTTATTCAAACTATCTCTTTAAATAAAATACGTTTATTCCAATCGTTTTTGTTAAGCGTAGTTGATGGTCCTTGACGTATTCGCAACCGAACAAAGGCGACATAATAAGTCGTGAAAGAAGATGAACGTACTATATGCAAGTTGATGAAAGAGGTTCCTATACCAGATATAGTCACTTTATCAACAAGGACAACATGTTCGTCGCCATTCGCTGTCAGCACAAGGTCGCCTCAAAATGTCTGCCGCACACGGTCACTCATTTCAATCATGGATTAAGTAGATCAAACCAATTGCGACTTATCAACACTCTAACAAGATTCTATCGAGGTGCCAAGACCCCTTGACCAGGGTTATCTTTCCATCAATCGCTGGGATAAAACTTTCAGAGGCAGATGGGCTCAAGTTTTATGAGACACTTCAAAATCAACGAGCAGGAATCGTGTAAATTACTCAAAATCGATTCCAGGACTCTCAAAAGTCTAGCCATCTATCAAGACTCAGCGTCCATCTACTGGATGCTTCTCTCTCAACCTCGAGGCGGTGGTCTATATATCTGTCTTGTCTGGGTTCTACGCAGACTACTATTTCCTCATCTCGTCTCTTATCTATACCCCCTTGCATCATCAATTTTCCTTCTAATATCAGAGCTTCGCGCCCTCCTTCTTCCGACCATGTAGTCAATGCTTCCTCCGCGGCGCCCGGTGGTACTGATTCGCCCACTTAATCCTCACCCCAATCTCGTCCGCAATCTTATACACGAAATTCGGCTCCCGCAAAAACTGCCTCGCCACAAACACCGCGTCCGCCTGCGTCACCTGCCCGTGCTCCTCGTCCACCTCCAGCGTCGCCGCATTCCCCTGATCAACACCATTATGCCCATTCGCCTCCGCGGAACCAGAGCCCCGGGCCTGCACGATGCTCCGCGCCATCTCGCCGCTCGAAATCATGCCCACGGCGCCGATGAACAGCTTCTTCCCCTCCGCGGCCAGCGCCTCGCGGATCTTGCCCGCGATGCTGACCTGGTAGTACGGCGAGATCTCAATCTTTTGCGCCTCGTTGTTGCCGCCGGAGGAGACGTCGAGCAGATCGACGCCGGCTTCGGGGAGGAGCTTGGCGAGCTTGATGGAGTCCTCGACCACCCACGAGGGCTTGCCGTCGTACTCCATCCACTCCGTCGCCGAGATGCGCAGGAAGAGCGGCATGCCGGACGGGATGACGTCGCGGACGGCCTTGATGACTTCGAAGAGGATGCGGGTGCGGTTCTCGAAGCTGCCGCCGTACTTGTCGGTGCGTTGCTGGAGTTATGTTAGTATTTTCTGTGCCGCATTATCTCATTATGGGGGGTCAGAACTTACGTTGGTCAGAGGAGAGAGGAACTGCGTAATCAAGTAGCCGTGCGCGCCGTGAATCTCAATGACATCGACACCCGCCTCGACAGCCCTCTTCGCAGACTCGGCAAAGGCCTTCACCACGCCCTGAATTTCCTCAACAGTCAACTCCCGTGGCGTAGCCCATCCTTCGGTAAACGGAATCGAGCTCGGCGCAACACAGTCATCAGGCCACCCGCCCTCGCTCTCCAGCGCAAGAGCTTTGCCCTTGGTCTCCGTAATCCACGGCGCCAAAGTGCTCGCCTTGCGGCCGGCATGAGCAAGCTGGATCCCCACAGCCTGGTTCTGTGAATGGATGAAATCAACCACGCGCTTCAGCGGCGCGACCTGGGAGTCCTGCCACAGACCGACGTCCTCAGGGGAGATGCGGCCGCGGGCCTCGACGCCCGTGGCCTCGATGATGGTCAGCGCCGCGCCGTGCAGGGCGAACTGGCCTAGGTGGACGAGGTGGTAGTCCGTCATGTGGCCATTGTCGGCGGAGTACTGGCACATGGGCGAGACCCAGATGCGGTTGTTGAGGGTCAGGTCGCGGATCTGGAGGGGCTGGAAGAGCGTCGGGGCGGCGGGGACGTCGACGGGGGTGCCGGCGGGGGGCTCCTGGGCCGGGGTGTAAAACGGCACGCCTGGGGCGGCCTTGTTGGCGGTGCCGGTCATGGTCGTCGTCCGGGGGGTTAATGTTCTTTTGCCTGGGTAGAGGAGACCAGAGACGAGGGTGGTTGTGCGGGGATAAGGTGCCGTGTTTTGCGGCGTTTTCTGGCGATGCTTCGTTTGGAAGCGGAGGGGGTGGGACGTTTGGCCAGTGGTTTCGAGTTGATGAACTGTTGACAGGCAAGCGGGCAGAAAGACAGATCTGAGAAGGGTCGTCAAGGGGTTTTATCTACAAGGCTAAAAGCGCCGGATCGAACCCCGGGAACCTATATTCCGTGTCGTCACAGCAGTCGAGTGAGACTTGTCCTGATTTGTAAAGCTGTCGATGCGGGCAGTGGGCAGGGTAAGGTCGGTTGGTAACAAACACCTCGGCATCTAGAAGGCGATATGGAGCATGGCGAGCAACAAATCAAACGGCTATTGGATCGAAACCTCTATCTCTAGGCTCAATGCTCCAGGACAGTGGGGGTGTCTATTGAAGCAACATGTTTAGCAACAAAGTCGATTTATCAGCGCGGTCTAAAGTGCGTCCATCTCAAAGCCCGCGGTGTTTCCTACCTTATCCGACGAAACGCCCTACCAAGACGCCCTAAAGCCCACCTTCTGAACAGCGATTGAATTTTAGTAGGTATGTTGCTCTTTCCTCAATGAAGTCATCTTATGCTTGCTGAGTAATTGCAGAATGCCATGCGTCAGTCCTGCTGCACTCTGCAGGTCCTCACCTCGCTCCTTCCTGTTGGACGGGAATAAGTTTGAATCGAAAACGGCCTTAGTCCGGAGTGGGTCCACCCCGAGTGGCGTCATTCCGACTTGTTCCCCCCTCCCCTTCCTCTCCGTGGCACCGAATCGGCAGCCGTCCAACACCACCCCAACCTACCCCTCTATCCCTCTCCCCTTACCGGCCCTCGCCAAGTAGCGAGCCGAGTTTCTGGTTAATGAAGCGCCGTTTCTTTCTCGAAGCCTTCTGCAAAGACTAGCTCACCCGGCAGCGGGGGTTTCAACTTTGCAAAGTGTCACTATTGACTAGGACATGCGACCAAGTACAGCGCCCCAGGTCGCATCCGAATGCTTATGCCTGTAGGTAAAACCGACGTCCCTTGCTCATGTCACCCACAAACCCGTTGGCAACGACCCCAAACTCGGTAGCCCAGTATTCGTCTGTCGGAATGGCTTCAATTGTGCCACATTCCTTCTGCTACCTTACACAATCACCATAGTACGAGAGTGCGACGAGAGTGTTTGAACCTTGCAATTTCATGTATTCATGAACATACTACATTAGACCATGGCCCGTTAAGGGGCTCTTTGAGTCTATATCCGTTCAGGACCCATCCCTGAAAGCGGTATCTGTTGAATTCCTTACTTTTCCCTGAGTCCCAAACCCGCTTGCAAAACGCCGTGGAGATGTGTTGAAAAAAGAACGCCTATGTTGAATTTGCCCGTAACCTTCCCCTGTTTTTCCGGTCATCCCCGCGGGTATTGCCACGTCATTGTCTGTTGAAAAGACTTATCGATCCCACCCAACACCTAAATCACACTCATGTACACCGCATCAACTGCCCAAACTTAGTTGGAGTACTTCTGGCGGAAGTACTTGGCAGCGTTGACCATGTTGACCAGAGCGGCCTTGGTCTCAGCCCACTGGCGGGTCTTCAGACCGCAGTCGGGGTTGATCCAGAGCTGCTCAGGGCGAAGACCGTTGTTAAGCATCTCCTCGATGCGGGTCTTGATCTCCTCCTCTGAGGGAACACGGGGGGAGTGGATGTCGTAGACACCAGGTCCGATGTGGCGGGGGTAGGCCTTGTCCTCGAAGACACGGAGGAGCTTGGCGTCAGACTTGCTGTTCTCGATGGACAGGACATCGGCATCCAGCGCGGCAATGGCGTGGAAGAAGTCCTGGAACTCGGAGTAGCAGAAGTGGGAGTGAATCTGGGTGGAGTCCTCAACACCGGCGGTCGACAGCTTGAAGGAGTCGACGGCCCACTTGAGGTAAGCCTCACGCTCGGAGCCGGTGCGGAGGGGAAGACCCTCACGGAGGGCGGGCTCATCGACCTGGATGACGTAGATGCCAGCGGCCTCGAGGTCGACGACCTCGTCGCGGAGGGCCAGAGCAAGCTGCTGGGCCTGGACGGACTGGTGAACGTCGTCACGGGGGAAAGACCAGCGCAAGCAGGTGATGGGGCCGGTAAGCATGCCCTTCATGGGGCGAGCAGAGTTGGCAGCGGCGTACTTGGACTCCTTGACGGTCATGGGCTCGTTGTTGCGGCGAGAGATATCACCGACAACGATGGGGGGACGGACGCAGCGAGAGCCGTAAGACTGAACCCAGGCGTGGGTGGTGAAGACGTAACCGTCCATGCGCTCACCGAAGTACTGGACCATGTCGTTACGCTCGGGCTCACCGTGGACGAGGACGTCCAGGTCAAGCTCGTTCTGGATCTTGATGGTCTCCTCAATCTCCTTCTCGATGAACTTCTCGTACTCTTGGGCAGTGATCTCGCCCTTGGTGAACTTGTTGCGCTGGATACGGATCTCCTTGGTCTGGGGGAAGGAGCCGATGGTGGTGGTGGGGAAGAGGGGAAGCTTCAGGTGCTTGCGCTGAGCCTCAATACGGGTAGGGAACTCAGACTTGCGGTTGTGCATGGCCTCAGTGACCTCAGACTGGCGCTTCTTGACGTTGGGGTCGTTGGTGCGGGCAGAGGTGGCGCGGGACTGGATGTCCTTGGCGTTCTCATCGAGCTTGGCCTGGACGGAGGCAGCATCGGTGATGGCCTTAGCAATGGTGGCAACCTCAGAGGCCTTCTCGGAGGCAAAGGAGAACCAGCGGTAGACCTCCTCGGGGAGCTTCTTCTCGGAGGCGAGAGTGTGGGGGGTGTGGAGGAGGGAGCTGGAGGTGGAGACGATGACACGGTCCTCGCCGACCTTGGCGATGGCCTGCTTGACGGTGTCAATGGCACGCTGGAAGTTGGTCTTCCAGATGTTACGGCCGTCGACGACACCGGCAGAGAAGATCTGCTTGGGGCCGAGCTTCTCGAGGACGGGGCCGAGCTGCTCAGGGTTGCGGACAAGGTCGACGTGGAGACCGTAGACGTTGCTGATGGCGGGGAGAACATCGAAGTTGTGGACGATGTCACCGAAGTAGGTGGCAAGGACAAGGTTGGGGAGGCCAGCACCAACAAGCTGCTCGTAGGCGGGCTTGAAGGCGTCCTTGGACTTCTGGGGAAGGTCGTAGACCAGGATGGGCTCGTCAATCTGGACGGTCTCGGCACCGGCAGCCTTGAGCTGCTTCAGGAGCTCGACGTAGACGGGGACGAGCTTGTCGAGGAGGGAGATGGGGTCAACGGACTGGCCACGGTCGGGCTTGCCGAGGTGGAGGAAGGAGACGGGTCCGAGAAGGACGGGGCGGGTGGTGATGCCAGCGGCCTTGGCCTCGTTGAACTCGCGAACGGGCTTGGGGTCGGAAGCGAGCTTGAAGGTCTGGCCATCCTGAAGGGTAGGCTTAACGTAGTGGTAGTTGGAGTCAAACCACTTGACCATTTCCTGTTGATGGACCCATTAGCACATGGTCCAAGCTTTTTTGGATTTTTTTTCTGTGTCGGTTTTTGCCAACAGCTCAATTGTTTGAGCGGGGGCGGGGGCGGGGCTTACCAGAGAGGGAACGTCGATGCCATCCTTCTGGTGGCCACGGCCCATGGCGAAGTACTCGTCAATGGGCTCGAGCTTGGTCTCGGCATAACGGGGAGGGACAGCCTGTTTGTTTCGTAAGCTTGTGATTCTATGTGGTATTGTCATGGATGTAGGAGGGGGGGACGTGAGTCACGTACGTTGAAGAGCTGAATGTGGTCGAGGACGTGGTCGTAGTGAGCAAAGTCGTTGCTGGGAATGATGTCGACACCGGCATCCTTCTGGATCTGCCAGTGAGCAAGACGAAGTCTCTTGCCCTCAGCGAGGAGCTCATCGCGGGAGAGCTTGCCGCCCCAGTAGGCCTCGTTGGCCTTCTTGAGGTCACGGTTCACACCCATGCGGGGGAAACCAAGGACCGATGACTGAACCATCTTGAATGCTGTTGCTTGTCTGTGCAAAGTATTCAAATGTGACTGAAATGTGCGTTGTGTAAAATTACCTCGCCGACAAGAAGCAAGGTAAGGAAGAAAGAATTTGGAAGACAGGTCGGTTGAGGAGGGGAGGAGGAAGAAGGGAAGAGTGAAACGGATGGGAAGAAGGCGGAGGAGGGGTTAATAGAAGTAGTCGGACGGACAGGCGAGGAGGGTGAGAAAAAAAAAAAAAAACTCTACCAGGTAGGTGGCCGAGTCGGTCGGTGAATTGGGCAATTGCGTGCGAAGGTACGACGGAAGATGAGGAGGGGAGCAACAGCACAGCAATGGAAGCTCAGTGGCTGGGGTGACGGGTCCCGGGTCCAGTCAATTGAGAGCGAAGTCGGCTTTGGATCTTCTGTTTCCCTTTGGTTCCCTTTGGGATTTCCCTTTTCCCTTTTCCCACCATACGGAGACCTTACGGAGACATAAGGTACACACTACGGATACCCTACGATCAGCCATTGACCCGGTGATTTTGTCTCTATCTGCTTGATTTACGAATTTTCTGCCTATGCCTCTCCCTCGATTTCCTTTCCTTTCCTTTCCTTTCCTTCCTTCCTAACTTTCTAAGCTCCTCCCTCCTCTGCCTAGTATGGTCAATGGTGGTATCATGGTCGTTCCTACCTACCCCTCCATTGCGTATGCCTGGTGCTTGCCCAGGAAAGAAAAAAAAATGAGGCGAGAATTCTTTTCCCACCATGGTCCCTTAGCGTTAAGGTGGGGTAGTTTTGCAAGGGAAGGAGGGGTTGTCGCAGATTGCCCTTGAGATACTGCCCTCTGACACGCCCTGAGAATGCAGCGTGGCGTGAAGCTGGAGACTCGATTGGGGAAAGGTCTTTGGACGCATCCACCCAAGCAAGAAACATTTCTGGGCTGCTGATGGCGGGGTACAACAATTGAACAATGTCACTACCTTACCGTGAGCTATCAGTAGCTATCGTGTTTGACTAGGAGTTCCCAGCGGCAACACACGAGCCACCCATTGTTCTCTGTTAGTGCCCCTCGGTTCCGCACCTGAGAGGCAACGTACACAGTAAGACTGGACCCGAGTTGTCACCGTCACTTTGCGTTGCGCTGCGTTGAATGATTATCATCTTCTTCTGCCTTCCATTTTGCAAGCTGACGTGCCGTGCCTCCCTCGCTTGTTCACCCATTGCGTCGGTGTGCCTGAGGATAATGGCCCGAATGGTCTAGAATCTGAGACTACTGGCTGTACGTGCCTGTTGATGCATGAGACGACAACTCCAACATTGCCTGAGCTAAGGTAAGCGCTTTAGGGCAGGGCAAAAAGGCAAGTTGAGATTGTCCATGTACATGACAAGTTTGGCAAATGTGAGAATAGCAACCCAAAGTCAAAACAATAAGACGGGAACCTGCGAGCACAAGAAACTCAAGAAGGAGGGGCAGACGTTTCCCTATTGGCTGAATCCTACTGGAGTGCGGCAGGAACGCAGGGGACCTGCCTCGATATGGAAGGGCGGTGTGGGAAGTCGGGGAATGCACCTCCAGCCTGCGTGCCTGCTCGTTCCTGCTCGTGCGGCGTGCGTGCCTGCTGTGCCTGCCTGTCTGTCGTGAGAAGTTGAGAATATCCGTCGGTACGTATAGAAATTCGAGCCTGAGGGAAAGAACGTTTTCTCATCTTCTTACCTTAACGCCTTGGGCTTATCGTGCTCGATGCTGCCCGCGGCACGTGCGCGCTCGATGCTTTGCCTCAGGTACGAAAGTAATCCACTCGAGCTTGCCTGGTCCCATTTTTGTCGCTATCATCTCTTTTCATTCGCTCAACCCACCGCCTTACTGGAGCCGCCGCACCTTTTTTTCTTCCCCTTGCTTGAAGCTGCTTGTCGGAGACGTGCTAGGGTGACCTTACTCGAGCGTGTTGAGCTCTGCGCGCTTCAGGAACCTCCGCCTCGGATTCCATGGACATCCTCACCGGTGTTGACGACCCCTTCTCGACTCTCGCGGCTTCACTAGCTGCGCTGAGTTGTCACCTTGTCTTGCTCTGTTGAGAAACTGATGCATGTTGCATTCCTGAGTTGTCTACTTCTGTCAATCAATGTCTCACCCTCACGCGTCAACTGTCTCCCTCGATTGGACGAGTCTTTCCTCCTTCAACTGAGGCCATGACGGCAATTGCAGGTCAAACGTCGAGACCGCCTCGAAGCTGTTCTAGCTCTCGCATTGTTTCTTTTTCCTCGACAACGGTAGCCAATAGTGAATCAGCCGCCACTCGTCACCGCTTCTTATAACGGCCTCCCTCGATGCACCAAGATTCAAGACAGACTATGCCAGTCTGGACCGACAATCGTGTCGCTCGCTTTGATAGTCGTAGAAGCAGTTGAAGCTTCCGACGTCGACTATTTCGTGATCACCAACGCTGCTCATCCGCTAACATCAGAGCGGCGTGGGGCCTTCACACGGCCGCCATCAACGCATTTTTCGATTCTGGGGCAGTCCGCAATGGCGTGATCGGCGGCAAAAAAAGATCCAGGATCCAGTCAGTCAGTCTGGGACCTCTGGGTGACTGGCACGAATGGCACCGACTGCCAACTGGGTCTATGGCCTGCCTCTAGGCTCTTTTCACTGGAGCAGGTTGGAGCACACTGGAGCAGGAGACTGGAAGCATGGAGCACGCAGAAAAATCCGCGCAAAACCCTCCCAGCGAACTACCCTGGCTCCCGGTTCTTCCTCTTGTTACGGGTCGGGGTCTCATTCTCGAATCTCGAATTCTCAAACCCCTACCGCCAACCCCCACCTCTCCATACCCGTACATCGGAGCCAGCACGCGCCGATATTGCAGGTTGAGAATGGCCGGGCTTTTCAATGGGCACCGCCTCCAACGCTGCCGCCCGGCCTGGCCACAATATGCCCTGTGCTCGACCAAGCAAGCCTCCTTGGCCCCCTTACCAAGGGCAGCGGGCTCAAGGAGACTTTTTAGACTCTTTTTCGCGGGTCGCCTAGCGTCGAATCCGGCCGAGACCCAGTTTCAAGTCTCCGACTCTGCACCTCGTATTATACGGGCCTTCACTTTTTCCATAACCTCTTCCAGACTCTCAACTCCACGACTGAAACCAAACGTCCCATGGTAGCGATATAGGTGCCCGGGCCTTAGCATCCCGTCTTTCTCCTCCATGAGCAGCAGGATTTTCCCGCCCGCGTTGCACTGCCTCGACGATCCAAGCAGCATCAGACGGACACTTGGGTCTTGGAATGCAACAACGCGGCGGCGCAGTCATCTTTTGATTCCTCGAGCTTGGAATGCCGTCAATGCCAGCTACGAAAGCTAGTGCTTTGGGCCATTGCAGTGTCCCCCTTTGCAATGACGCTGGCTGGCGATGCCTTCAGCCACGATCACTAGCCAAGTTCAACAGGGTTAAGCAATCGCGATGAGCCTACCAGAGCGAGTATTCCCCGCGCGACAGTCCGGGATAATGGGTGGCACCGAAACATGATCCTTCTTGTGGGCTTGTCTAGCTTGTTTACTGGCCACAAATGACAAGGAAACGACGATTCAAGACGCCTCATGTTTTCATCCGACACAAGACGCTCATCCCAAGGCATCAGTTGAACTGCCTTTTTTTGCCGTGTATATAAAAAAAGGACGACGCCACCAAAAATAGGAGATCAAGAAACCATCGTTGCACTGTCTGAGGGTAGCTTGAGAGATTATCGAGCACCTTGACTTACCAAAAAAATCTCGCCAAACCTTTGATTGCGACTCCGAGCCAGGTGTAAGTAGGAGATCGCCTGCACAGACGAGACAGTTCATGACAGGGCTCGGCGGGAACGTCAAGAACTGCATCCAAGCACCGCACCCCGGTCCTATATCAGCCACGGCTAAGATGCCCCAAGCTTCCGCTACAGCCGTGTCCCACGAGAACACAGCCAACAACCCTGTCGCCTGAGGCAGTTGAGGGAGCACTTCGCGCGGCACGACTCCCACACCAATGCACTCAGTGCGTTTGACAATGACGTTTGAAACCAACACCCCTACCATCCCAAGCAGCATCATCTCGTCTTTGACGTGAATCGCTGCTCCATATCAGCATTCTGTTAAGCTGAAGATGCAGCAAGAGTCCCAGCAACTCCCGACAAGCCCCAGCAAAGCCCTGGCTGAGCACCGAGCCAGCCACACCCTTATACCCTCCTTTCTGAAACTGGCTTAACAACAATTATCACGTATAAGCTTATTCACACACTGCACTTGGCAGACGACACAGGGGCCATGGTGTTAGGGAAGCTCGTGTGTGACCATGTAGTTCCCCATATCTGCGGCACCTCTACCCTGCCAAAGTTGCATCCAGACTTGGAGCAATTGATAATGAAGAGCGTCCTCAGATCCATCTAGGACTAGTTCTGGTGAGCTCTCTCTTTTCTCTTCTCAAGCTCTCTGGGAGAGTCAAAGGAACAAACGAAGTCAACGGCCTTTCATTATTAGTATGCTCTGGGTTTTCTGGATTCTTCAAATTTTCTAGTACTTTCATCTACTTTACTTTCTCGTCCAGAGCTGGCTCTTATACCAAGTGCTGGAACACTATCTTCACAATGGCACCAATGACTAGACCACAGGGCATCTTCCACAGACCATCGGCGTCAAATGTGTAAGTCTCCTGCAATACGTCAATGACCCTCAACCTGGTCTAACCTTCTCTTTCACAGATCATCACACGAAGATGATAACCTGGCGCGCGTATTCGTCGGTCGAGGCGAGAAGATGAAGGAATTCCGTATCAACAAGCAGAAGCTCAGCAACGCTGCCCCTTTTTTCGAGGATCAGCTGGACGCTACACCAGCTGGCGTCAAGGTGACGCCGAACCAGACACCAGTGCCGGTATGGTTGCCGCAACAAAAGTCGACTATCCGCCTTCCCAACGAATCCGCCTCCATGTTCGAGCTCTTCGTAGTATGGCTGCATCAAAGAGACGGCTTCCGCAGACACCTCGACGAGATGATCACTCTCGTCAGTGATGCCCCTGGCGTACCGTGCCAACGACTTCACTGGGCTCTGGTCCGCCTTCACATCTTCGCTGCTCGGCTCGATCTGCATCACCTGCAAGACCTCGCGATTGATGCCTTGCAAGACATCTACCTCCGCTGCGACTGGGATGTCACACCTCGCTTCGTCCAATACGTTTACGGCCAGTGCGATGCCGAGTCTTCGATGCGAATTCGGAGGTGGACCGTAGCGATGGTGGCCTGGTCCGTTGCTGGAGGTTCGTCGTCAATCGTGAAGGACGATGGCGGGCTCGAAAGGTTTCAGGAGATGTTTGAACGCTTCCCCGACTTCGCTACCGAGTTCACCTCGCACCTGCGCAAAATGAAGTCGAGCAAGCTGGACACACGCATCAAGAACCCTCAACTGCGCATCCCGGCTAACAAGCTTCGTAACGAAGAGCGCCAGTTCGGTTTCCGGCAATGCTCATTCCACAGCCATCGGGCTGCCGTTGGCGAGCGTAGATGTCCTCACACCACGGCCAGCAGGGAGCTGGATAACTTTCTGCTTGTGCCGTTGGTAATGGAGGTCGCCCCAGAACCAAGCCGTGGCCATTCCCGTCGCGATATGCGGATACCACAACCACCTTTCCGCCGAGAGCGGATACCTTACACCGCGCAGGTGTTTTAAATGGACTGTGAACATCGCCAACCTCCACGGGTGGAGGGTGCCCCGTCTAGTTCGGCGGAAAACCAAACTTATAAAGACACACACCAAAATTCTAATTCTTCAACTCGTCATTCGAAATAACCTCTTCCTCTTCACAGGTCCTCGGACTCGGTCCTTCTAGGGACCGGGCATCCATGAGCCATGAAGACACCGAAACCGTCTTTCGGCTTCGATGCCTGGCGGAAGGCGACGCGACTGCGTCCCGCGTCGGCAAGCTCAAAAACGAAGCTACCGCTGCCGTCGCACTGGCCGAGGTCGATAGACTGCGTTCCAGGCTTGACCAGGACGGTGCTCAGAAGATTCTGCTTCTGTCGTACGGAATCGTCCCCTTCGTAGCTGGGGACGCGGAAGACGCGCATCGTGGTGGCGCCCTCGCGCTGGATCAGCTCCCAGCTTTCCGAGTCCTCGGGCATGGTGAAGAGGAGGCGGCACTCGGTCGATTCCTGTTGCCCCTGGACGCCGCCAAACGTGACGAGTTGCGCGACTCTGTTCGCCTTATTTCCTATAAAAGAGAACCGTTTGAGTACATTCATTCATTCATTCAGAATCTCCTTTGTCAGGGAAATCATACACCAGAGAGGCATATTTGCCAACCCAAAAAAGGCAAGAAATTTTTTAAAAAAAAGCACCAAAAAAAGAAAAAGAAGAGGTCCTACCTGACGCGTCAATATCTTGGTTGACGTAGAAAAAGGCGGACGGATCCTCCTGTTCGAAGGGTTGATCTTGCAAGAGCCAGGTCAAGGAGGTCGGGGCATTGACGCGCGCGCAATCCGTCATTGCGTCGTGTTGTTGCTGTTTGCCGAAGAAGCTCGCTCTGCCGAACGCGGTTCCGGAGAGCGAGAGGACGAGCATGGAGACGATGATGCTGGGACGAGCCATATTTTTTTGAATGTACATATTCAACTACCCAGTAGGGGGGGATGGATATCCTGGATTACTTTTTTCCAAATAAGAACAAGACACTAGATGTCTTTTGCTGGAACTTTTGTCTTTCTCTTTCGATCCCCTATTCTAAGCTGTGACTGTTTCCCACGAGCCGGTAATAAAAAGTTAAACCGGTGTACTGAGTAGGTGAGAGGGTACCGGTTGGTTGGATGATCGGCGGTGATTTGAGGAAGGGGTCCAGGTTATCCGTGGAGGTGGGATGTAAGTCGAGTACACACTATCCGAGCACCAGTGGGAACACAACCGTCGTCGTCGTTATGTCGTATTACGGAAGAAAGCACAAGAGTCGTTCAAGAGGAATGACGAAAAGGATAAGAATAAAGCCAAGATCCAGGTTCAAGAGGACGGAAGGACGGGAGGAAGGGGCAGGAGGGGAACGGGTGGTGCGGTCTGACACGATATTATAACTCTGGACGCACCCAATCCCGACTTTGACTTTTGTGCTCTGATCTGGGTTAGGTACCATGTAGGCAGCCGGGCGTTCTTGGTGGTGGTGTGGTACAGGGGTTAGTTAGAAAGGGAAGCTTTTTTGTGCTGCTCAGAACCCTTTGGTTACCTTTTGGTTGCAAAAAGCTTGGTCTCGCTCTTCTTTTTTTCTGCTTGTCCGGGTCATCAGACCAGGTACGAAAGTACACACTGCTGCACTCTAAGGTGTTCAAAGTGTAAGTCTCTGAGTTAGCGAGGTATTGTACGTTTCTCCTCCCCCCCTTCTCCCCCCATTCCCGAGCGGACTTGTGACACCCGGGTCTGACGCCGCTTTGGGCTTCTTTTCGGTTTGCGTTTTGGTTGCTTCCCCGCGACGGCGCTGACGCTGACAGAGCGAAGTTTTAGTGACTTTGCTTTCGGTTGTGTTTCTGTCTTGTGTCCGCATGCCTGTCTCTTTTGCTGTGTGTCCCCTGTATTGATTCCCGTACCTCCCAGGCGAAAGCTCAGGTTCCACAGTCCGTCATCAGCATCCCTTGCAGTTTCCCCCATCCCTTTCCCCCGATGACCCCCCTCCTTTCGTTTCTTTCTGTAGGGTACGTAAGGGGCGATGATGCAGATGATGATGGGGTTACCTACTGGATAGTGAATTCCCCCCGTTCCCGGAACATGTGTATTCGATATCCCTTACCTAAGTAGGAAAGAAACGAACGAGGCGTGGTTCGGTTCGTGCCAAGGGGGGTACCACGGGGCGAAGAGCCAAGGGGAAAAAGTGACATTGGGACAGAGGTACAATGCCAGAATGTTAAGGTCCGGCGAGCAGGGGGGAGCCCGGGGGAGTCTGGGGACGGGGAGGCGCGGGTGCACAGCTTTCTAGGCAGACGACAGTTTTTGTTTTAGTGCGGTGTAAGGCAGACCTTTGGATCGAGAGGTATTACTGCGTACCTAGGTATCAGCTCACGATTATTACCTGCTGGGATTGGAGCTGTACGGACAGAGTGGTTTCCTCGGATTCACACCCAGCTTGCTCGGTGCTGGCCGTTTCCAGTTTCTTGTTCTCAATTTCCTATTTAGGACAAGGTTTTTGGGGTTCGTTCGGATCACGGGTTGTGTCAAGTTCGTGGAAGGTTCGGGGTATTACTGCCAGTGTTTGGTTTGGTTTTGGTTTTGGTTTTACACTGGTGGGACTATGAAATGTCTTTGACAGACATTGGACGGCCCTGTTGTTCGATTTTGGGAAACTTGAATATGTATTGGCCTGCGTACACCGTGAGAAATGAATAGGTCGACGGATGCGGTGGTGCATTTCTGGGTACCTAAAATGCCCCGGATGAATGCTACATTATCAGGCAAGGGATGACAAGAAAGCTAGGCTGACTGACGATCGAAGGAGAAAGCAGCACGAGAGGTATACAGGAATTAGGAATAGAGAGAGAGAGAGGCTCAGCCCTGGAGGGGAGCCATTAAGCCAAGACCACGGGCTCCCGTTCACGTCGTCTTGTTCCTTTTTGCGCAGCGAAGCTCCAGGGCCTCATCACCCCCTAATCCCAGAGATCCAATCCCAGCTTCGACGCGTGCAGACAAGGGCAGAGCCTGAATTTGAATTAAGGTGCTAAATTAGGGTAGCTCGTGGGATCTTCTTTCTTTGGGGAGAGGGACGTCTTGGCTTTCGGCGGATCAATACCGTCATGACGGATCCTACCCATCCTCCAGGCTCCCTCCCCTACGTTCGTTTCTCTTTTTGTGTTTCCCTCGGGACTGGGTGGACTGTCAGCGCAGGGTTCTGGCTTGAATGCGCGGACAGCGCACTTACACGCGCGCGCCGGGTTGCGCGCACGCGACAGACCCGAGCTGTAGGTTGGATGAACCCACACGTCTTCCCATCCTCTTGGGTTCGTTCAGGATCTTCAGTGAGCCGTCCTCTTGAGCACTGGACAAGGGCTGTAAGCGTGTTGATGGATGAACCATTTACGAATTTATCGGGGGAAGCTTTACAGAGTTAATTGAGTTATCAAGACTGGAAGACGCATCGCAACGTCTCGCAGCTCAGTTGGCTCCTCACGCAGTAAGCACTTTGACGAACGGAGAAGATGCGTCTGCGCTAGTCCCCTGCCTCCGTCTGCCGTCTGCGTACATTGATCCGCCGGGCCCTTTCATGTCTGTCCTCTCTCATCCCCCATCGTCCGCCGCCGGCGCAGAGGCTTCCGTCCGGACGAAGCTACGAGGGTCCAAGTTGGGAGCTCATGTCATGTGCCATATGGATTCACGTTGTTCTGCGAAATTGCCTGGATCTGAACGGACGCAAAGTCCCCTTACCTAGCTGAAAACGGGCTAGTATCCATCCGCAAGAGAGGTCTTCCCCAACTTTTTTGGGAGGCCTTTTTTGGTAATGGGAAATGAGCTCTCGTTGGCCTTATGGGGCTAGACGGGGGGGGGGCATTTCTCAGTGGTAAATACGAGCATAGCGTGCGAAAGTAGTGACGATCTTTCTTCTTCACTTCTTTTAGCCCTTGGAGTTAGGGTAGTTTACGCGGGATGGCGGATTCCTTCATTCCATGTCAGAGTGGACAGGCAGAGAGAGTTGTGGGAGTCCCGAGCTAAAATAGCATGGAGATCATTTTATTTTCGTATTCCCTGGACCTGAAGCCCCCCGTCTCTCTTCCGGCCCATGTCCCAATTATGTCCCTTGTCTGGAGGTGGGTATTCTCGAGAGTTGAGTGTTGGTTTCGAAAGATCGTGAGGTTACGGACAAGAATGTTTGGCGCCTTGACATTAGAGACGGGTTAACTTGGAGTTGAGGTCACCTCATCGGCCGGCTTTCTATGGAACCAGCGCATGCGCAAGTGCTAGGGAGCGTTTGCGCCTGAATGGCTCGGAATGTCAGCCCCGCCAGTCCAACGTCCTGTTTTAAAGCGCAACTCTTCCATTCCGGAGTAGGCCTCGGATAATGCAAGTCTTTGGATTGGATGAAGGAAGAGTAAGTAGCAGCCAGGCCAGACAAATGCGTGATGGAACATAGTCTCGGAACGTCAATGACATCTTTCTCCTCGCCCGACTGCTGCGCCGAGCCGCGACTTGAACCAAACCCAGGGAGACCGACAGCTAGCAACAGGGGTTCGGAAGAGAGACAAAGTCCATTGTTGCCGGTATGGACACACTGCATACCTAGTCACCGGCCGATATGTCCGTCTTCCGTTCCCCAATCCCCGTCCTCCTCGCGTGGTCTACGCCGCCGCCGTCAGCAGCACCAAAGCCGGGCGTACCACTTGGGGACAGCTTTGCTGAGCCTCTCCGGTGGCATCCGGGGAGTGGAGTCAAAGAAGGGACTTGAGTATGGAGAGTGTGATTTGGAGAAGCGGCGCAGCTTCTTGCAAGAGATCCGTTTGGCTGCGGCCAGGACATTGTGACGCTGGCACCGATCGAGAGAGACAGACAGCATGTAAACCCGCCCGACGAAAGGATCTTTGGGGATTCAATAAGCAATTTGGCAATGCAGTGACCTGCCCTGTCAGAATTTAGCAAGAAGAGTAAAAATCACACAGTTCCAGCTAGTCTCACGTGTAACTAGTTGGCTGGATACATCAGACCATGATACTAAAGCTCCGCACATCTCGACATCATGTGCTGATCCAAAGTCTGGGGAAAGAGGAAGAGCCACATCTTTAGCGTGCTCTCTGACGATCTTCCAAGATCAGGCGGCACGTAATGATTATATCGTTGACTTGCTCATGACAGCCAAGTGCTCAATGGACAGATCGAGTAACATAATCTATGCAATTCGAACCAACAGAAGAGATGCCCTGCTCTAAGAGAAGGCGTATACACCATCGCTCATTTACACATTTGGCGAGCAAGGATCGAGTCCGTCGCCGGTGCGTGTGAGCTAGCGCCAAAGACGGCGCGTTTCTTCTTGTTCCCCCGGAGCTGCCAACGCCAACATGGCGGACCTGTCGGTCTTGAAGCTTAAAAGCCTACAAGAGGGGAGAAACCCTATCACCGACGCCAATTCCCATTGTAGACGTTTGTCAGGCGTGTTTGGACGCGCGCGCGCGCGCGCGCGGGGCACTGCAGATAGATGCCTTAGAGCTCTCAAAAGGAGTAGCATAATGTCGGAGGGTAGGTACTTAGACCATCAGGACCATTTGGAGCCCGAGGCTCGGACGCCGGGGCGCTCGCGTGGTCCGGATCGTTCGGGTCCCGCGTTGTAAGCGCAGGTGGTGTATCTCTTTTCCACTCGGTACACTTACGACTTCTGAAAGTAGTTGTTCAAATTCTTCATCTGCCACAGACTGCGGCCATGTTGATAATGAGCAGCCATATCATTACATGAGTCTTTCCATGGCGGACACTCCCTCGTTCCTACGAGAATCCCTCCAGCCCGGGATTGTACGAAATGAAACCAAGGGCCTTATTGAAACAAACCGAGACGAAGGGGGGAGCCTTTGGAAGCAGCCGCGCAGCCAGCCCGAACACGTGGAGGCGCTATAGGGACGGCCCCTTCAAAGTTTGCCGACATTCCAACAACTTCCTCCACGAGGGAGGGGAAGACACTACTTTTTTTTCCAATGCGAAAGCGAAGACGACGATATGATGGCCTCCAGTCTTTCCGCGACCAACGCAGGCTTTCCGCAAGGCATAGCCTCGAGAAACCCAAAGGTAAGAGAGACTCTTTTGAAAAGTATCGAAAAAAAAAAAAAAGGTCTCGCCGGAGATCCGAATGCAATTGTTTCCCTTCACATTCCCCGGGACATCGGGACGCCGGGACATGCCTAAAGCACGCAGGGGACTGAGCAGCTCTCACGATGAACCATTGGCGAATTCCAGCACGGGACACTCGGCCGAGACGCAGTGAAGCAGGCACCTTTTTCCTTGCCAGATTTGCCATACTGCGTAGTCAATTCCCGACATTGAAGGAACGCAAATGACCATCCTCTTCCTCGTGTAGAACCACACCGTTTCTCATTCCACATTCCTCAACCGCTCATCGAAATCTCACAAGAATCCGATATCGAATTCCACGTACACGCGCTAATTCGCATCCCAACATCAGTCTTCTCCAATCGAGCGGTATCACTCACGATACCTTCGGAAATCGGCCCAGTATGTATCATTAAGCCCCCCCTTGAAACGAAACATCGGCATCTTATCACCGAGCACCCGCACCATATCCCGTACCTCAATCCAAACGCACATTCCCCGACTCGCGTGCATGCTCCAGGTACCGCCCAGACACGAGCGGCACGTGAATCTCGGCTGGATAATTCGGCCCCGAGAGCCAGTGTCGAAACTTTGGCAAAAATCCTTCCACCCCGCCAGCCATGACGTTCGTCTCCTCTCACCAACAAACCTCGTCATGAATTTGCAAGGCCAAAGACACAATTCCGATCATCGCTTGTCTCCCTCCTCCCTCTACTGCTGAACTCATTCTCTACTGTCTTCAAATCACAAGGTACAGAGGCCAAGAATATCTCCACCTTCCAGTCCTTCAGACAGCCAGACAGCGCAATGGCTTTCTTACGGATCCAACATGTCGTTCGTCGAAATGCCTGGCTGCTTTCAGTCACTCTAGAGGCGTCGTCCACTTCACGTAGCGTCAATCCATCACTCCTCTGGCGTCTTGGCTCTAGGTGAGGGGCAAGACATCTCGTATTTCCCTCGCCTCCCCCGCATAGGATCGGTTCGAAAACGTCTCCATGCCGTATGGGGGAGGCTAGGTATTTGAGATCATCGATGAAAGATACGTCAAAGCAAGGCAACTTCGGTAAGAATTCGCGTCACCTGACGTCAGGTACAATACTTTGGAAAGAGAGTAATGCCTCACATCCATTTGTCTAGAAACGACTGTTTTGTCTGCCTCTTCACTGAGTTTTTTTCTCTTTTCTGTTCCATTTGAATGCCTCATCTTTGAGGTGAGTTTCCCACTCAAACAACGCCCCGGAACCCCATATGAGGCCCGGTCGTCGATACGTACATAATATCCGACGTCCTTGCCGAATGTCGTTTCATCATGTCCATCGTCAATAAGAAGCCGAGCTGCGGAGAACCGACAGCTGTGAACAAAGACAAAGGAGATGTCATCCACATCGCGAACCATCTCAAGCAAAGTGGCCATTAAGTAGTCCTCCAAGCCAGGAAGGGTATCCTCCTCTCGATATGTGAAGCAAATGTGTCCGTAAGAAGTGAAGCAAGGAAATATCGGGGCCATCATCAAAGCGTGCTGTCGTCTATGTACCAGTCGAGGGGTATGTCCTTGCAGGAGTATCTCCACAGGGGTATCGAGCAGATAACTCGCATGGACTCATAAGTCGTGAGAGTAACGGGCGTAGCAACATGTACAAAGAAAATATTTCACTAGAAAGGTGATTCAGACCGGCGGCGATTGCTGTCTCGGCGTCTAAAGTTGCGAAGACGTTCGTCAATGTAAGCCAAGCGGTCAGCCAGGTTACGAGGAGGAGCAGAGCCACCATCCCCGCTGGCTTGTTGCTGGATCGTAGCAAACGGGCGAATGGTGCCATGATCAAACTCTTCTGGCTGTGTGAAACGATTCGGGAAGGAAAAGCTAGTCTTGGTTCCAGGAAACGGTGATCCGAGTCTCGCAGGAGGTGCGGTTGGTGCTGCCAAGAAGGGATCAGGTAGGTTGGCAGGCTGAAGCCTGGACGCAGGTATCTGCATTGGGGCTGTGAAGAGCCCACTGAGACTTGTACGAGGTACAAAAAGGTCGTCGTGTGAGTTCCTATCCGTGGAGCTGAATTCGACTTCTGGTTTGACCGGTGTCTTGGGTAGACTCTCGGAAGGCATCGGCTCAGTCCAGAGGTCGGAAACAAGACTGGGTCGCTTGGTCTTGCGCGGTTCATGAGATGCTTGTCTGGGTCGGCCAACTCGCTTTTGCGTGTTCGATCGACTTCTGGTCAGACGCGCCGGCGACTGCAACGTGCGCCTATGGCCAAGACTTTGGTTCTGTCTTTGAGGTACCGAAGAGACAGCAGCAGCCAGCGCACCTGTTGAGCTGGGCCCGTAGCTGTTGGCCATGAAAGGTGTCCCCAGTCGCGGGCGGTCTTCGAGAGGAGCATCCGCCTTAGAAAACTCCATGGGGAATAGTGGGAATGGCTCGGTCATTGATTCTTGAGCAGGAGGTTCGGGTTCCGACTTGGTAAGTTGCGCCAAAGGACCCTGAGGCTGCATGGCTTCTGAAGTGCTCAGAGTAAGCGACATGGTCATATCGTGAGCTGAGAAGACGGATGGGGACCGGGCCGGTGTGGATCTTCGGTTCCAGAATCGCGCGGCCGTTCTGCCGAAAGGTGTCGGGCTGTTGGCGAGGAACTTGCTGGTGCGGGCCGATGATGAAGCGGCTTTGAGCTTGCAAAGGTCTCTCAAGTGAGCTCGGGTGGAAGCGCAAGTGTGCGGCCACTGGAGAAAGGTGCAGGTCTCGATAGTAGGAGTGCTGCTTCCGCTCTTGGGGTTGAGAGACTTTCTTCCACCCTTGGGACCTCTCCAGCTTCGCTTCGCTTCCCTCGCAACGCGAAGACAAACCCCGTGAGGTGGCACGCCACTCTTAGCGGTACGGAACGGCGTGACCTTGGGGTCCTGTAAATAAGTAAGGTAGGTAGCCCAGAGGTGGTCACTCATTGCCTTCGTCCAAGGGGCCTTTCTCCTCTTTGCCTTTGGTTTGGATGAGGCAGAATGTTCGGTAGGCTCTTCAACAGCGTCGAAGAATGAGTGTTTGACATGGTCCGACGCGTCAGTTTCTGGGCTGATGCACTGCAGGTCTTCTGATGCGAGGGAGAAGCGACTGAAGAGGGAAGCGCTGGTTTGCGTGGACCGTGCGGTAGATGGCCGACTGGACTCGCATTCCGGGGTAGACTCGCCGCTACTGAAGGCAGAGTCGATGGACCAGTTGGGATACCGTCTAGGGGATAGTGAGGGAGCGGCGCCAGGTGCTGGCGTCTTGGGTGGAGAAAAACGCCTTCCGCGAAGTTTATGTAAGGCGAGCTCGTTCAAGTCATTGAGATTGTGAATGACCGGGTACGTCATGCTGGAAAATTGTGTTTGCGTGTCCGGACCAGCCGACTCGGGCTCTTCGATGCTGGGAATCGGGACGTCGGCGGCAGCAACTGACGCGAGGAAGTGCGTCGTTGGAGCGTTCAAGTTGGATGCGACGCGCCTTTTCAGTCTCAACCGCGGACGCGGCGGCGATGGTGGCTGAAGCTCCTCGTCCATGGCGGAAGGCTCCGGTGTTTTGGGATTTTGCTGATCCGGGTCATGGAAGCGAAAGCCTTTGGGCAGTGTCGCCGCTCCGGAATGTTGAGGGTTCATGTTGGCGGAGTTAAAGAGGCGAGGAATGTCGCGACCTCTTGGAAAAATGCTAGCGGCAGGTAGGCCTCGCGATTTCTAAGCCGTTTGGCGAACGTCTCTCCAAGGACAAAGGCGACGTGGTCCTCCGATTGTTCTTGTGGCGGCAAATTTGAGACAAAGTGATATTTGAGCGCGTGGTAACGTCCCTGAGCCTCAAAGGGCTTCGATTGACCTCAACGGCTGTCGCGCAGAATGGGCGCGATACTTAGTGTGCAACACAAAATATGTCCAACACACTACCTAGGTCGTGTACTGCTTAACCAATGTAGATCCTGTAGCTGGTATGGAGCGCTCAGTCAATTGCAATCAGGTATGCGACGGCCTCGGCTGGATTCGAGGGTCGTGCGATTCAACACCGCTTTCTCGTCAAAACATTGGTCGAGTGGAATAGAGAAAAAGAAAACGTTGTCTTGGTAATCGTGGTAAATTTCGTCGCAAGTGTCGCTTCGTGTTATGATATTCGTGGATGGGTCGTCTGGACGGCCGGGAATCGTCGTCGCAATACTGTAGATAGGTAGGATCAAGGAAATAGGTCGTCGCGACGAGCCAGACGGACGGAATGATTCTTCGTCTTGTTTACTGGCGAATGGCTCGTGATTAGGTATGGGCTTATCGGGGGAAAATCGAAAGCGCGCAACCCCCACCACCGGAGGACGGCTGGTGTTTGCGAAAAGGAACGACTGTGGTTGAAGAGAAAGGTGGGAGGAGGAAGTTCGGACAGGCTTGGGCTGAGGCGGACCGGTGTGGTATGTATGGCAAGGTCCAGCGATGGTGGGCGGGGTGGAGAAGAAAGAGCGGGTGGCGCGAACCTTGCTCGAGGAGCCGGGACAGGGCGGGAGAACAGAGAACACCTCTGGTCCTGGCAGGATAGGTACGAATGGGAAGAGACCTGTGCCTGCGCCTGAGCCTGTGCTCGTGCCTGAGGGTTGCAGTGAAAAAGGTCGACAGGCCCTCGAACACCGAAAAGTACCTCACCAAGCCAAAGTTGAGGTGAACCAAACTTCACACACTGCTCGCTTGAACCCCCGTGCAGTCCTGCAGTTGCAGTCGGTGCAGCAGCAGAGCGTGGTGACCGGGGGAGGGCGTCCAAGGTCCACGGGTTGCAGTCGCACAGCGGTTGAGCACGCTAGAATCCCCCACCTAGGCTAAACCCAAGGGAACCTAGTCAAGCCGTCCAAGGCGAGTGACAGTGGAGCGTTTGTGACTGACGGACACACCAGTAGCGGCTCGAGACAGGTCCAGAAGCTCGCCAGCGCATGTGGCAGAGTGGAGTCTAGGGTGAGCGTAGTCTCGTTTTGCGCCGAGAGACCCTGAGGATGCAATGTGCGGTGAGATGCGCGAGGTGGGAAGCGCCTTGTTGAAGGAGGAGACTGAGGATCGTCTGCCCCGTCTGCCACTGGGACTGGGCCCGGTTGAAGTCGTGGCTTGTAAGTTGTCCAAACCCGATCTCTCTTCTTCGCAAGGAATCCTGGAGAAGAAGCTACTTTGAAGTTTGAGTGAAATGAGAGGCGGCGTGCGAAATGGGGTTTGGCGACTGCAGTAGTCGTATGTACTCCAGATACACTGTGTCGTTCGTTTGGTGTAGCTATTTGATGGACACAACAGGAGTGCAGGTACGGCGAATGACGAAGCAGCGAGCGACGAGGGTGCAGAGTCCGAAAGGAGCGATGGAAGCAAAGCAAAGCAATAGCTTCGGGCTCCCGTTGGTTGATTCGTTCGTTCGCCAGCTGCAAAGCAAGGTACGCCGCGCGTGAAGTCTGGGAAGCGCGCCGGACTAGGTATTGGGTTGGTCAAGACAAGCAGCCGATGCAGGCCACCGAAGTAAGGATACTTGGTGACGGAGAACTCAACAACACCAACAAGACGACTGGTCTTTCTTGGGTGTCGGACGACGCAGAGGATGTAGCAGATGCCGCGAACGAGAAGCTCAAGCCACGACTAGTAGGGCTCAATCGTAGACGGGCTGATGCAACGGACGAGACGACAGTCGAGTGAACAAAGCAGATTGGGAGTCCGGATAGACAATGGCAAGCTGCTCAAGCCTCAAAGAGACTCACAGAGAGACGGTCGAGACTATCAGGCCGCTCGGTTTGTGGGGCAGTGAGACAAGAGACCAGACGATGCTGCCGGAGCTGGATGTGCGTGCAGCAGCTTCGTGCTCGCTATCTCGTCTTGGGTAGGGCGCGTTTGCCCTGCGTCTGCGGTGCTTGTTGGTGCGAACTTGTGGATGGTGGTTCTCCTGGCCACAGCCTGTGCGGCGATTTGCGCTCGGTCGTCTACGACCGGGGCAAGGAAAGAAGGGAGGCTGGTTTCTGCGTCTGCAGCCGGCAGGCTTAATTAATGTATGCCGGGAGTGTCGTTCTTGGGACGAACAGAGCCTCGAAGTGCAGCGATTGAGCGTTGAGCAAGCCACAAAGTGGATAATGAGTGTTGGGGATGGTCGAAGATGAAGACTAAATGATGGCCAATGAACGAGAAAGCGTCCTCAGAAGAGTGCCATTTGACTCGAAAGTCGCACCGATGACGGAGGAGAGTGTAAGACGTGACGAAAGTCGGATAAGTGAGCGAACACTCGGCCTGGTCGTGTTTTTGAAATAATATTCTTAGATGGGCTGTCAATCTTGGTTGAGCCGGTAATTAGGAGTTTGAGTACGGAGTACGGATAGTAGGTGAGCACGAGGTGAAGCGTTGGATTTGGCCGGTGAAAATCGAGGTGAGTGTGACAGGCGGGAAGCGACTCATTGGCATCACAAATTGGCAATTGTGGGCGGTGACGTCCGTCCAACCCAAGTTGAGAGGGAGAGAGAGAAGCGACGGCGCATCGGTGGGGGGGGAGGAGTGCGTGGAGTGTTCCAAGAAAAAAGAGACGACGGATGAAACTGATTTGAGTGCGATCCGTGCGAGAGCTGTGGGAACTTTCACGACTTGGAGTGCTGAGAGGAAGGGGAGAAAAAAATCAGACATACGATGGCCGATGGTCAACGGTAGCCCAGATGTGAACTTGTGAAGTGCGGAAGCGACGCGTTCAAGACGCGTCTGAACGCGAAAAGACACGCGTTAAGTGGGTCATTTCGCTCGCCAAAGTGGATACTTGAACGGTACTTCTACATTTCATTGGTCAGTCAGACCCACCAGGGCATCATCTGCTGGGCCTGCTCGATGTATCCTTGGCAGTTGTGGTTGTCACTTGCCTCTTGGTCCACCACCACTTGAAAGCAGAAGGCACCTCCCCGTCTGTTCCTCCCCCCGATCGGTCTTTCCTTGCTCCATCATCCATGAACGGGAATCTGCCAGCTGAAGTCCCAGAGTCTGGACCTGCCGCACCACAAAGTGCATGAAGATGCGATGCCAGGATCACCGAGCAGAAAGCGGCTGTGCGGGAGGAGCGGGGAACAGAACACGAACAGACGAGAGTTCCCAACTTTGCTCACTTCCATGCTACCTAATTACAACTTTCCAAGGGCCACCAACTACCGCCAACTCTTGACCCATTGACTGAATCATGAATAAGGGGCCCGATCTCTGTTCCATACTCCGTCGCTCTTTGCCGTCGGCCCTGACTCCCATCCTTTGTTCCAGGGGCAATCGTTAGCTGGGAGCTACTCGGGAAAGACTTTTCATTTTCATGACTTTTTCACCAATGTCCAAGCTGCAATACGACGGACGATTACAGATACCTGAAGCAAACGAATCCTAGCCGAGACTAACATCAGCTTGCACGCACTCTTACAACGGCGCCGGCGGAGAAGCAGAGGCTGGGGAACAGACTCTTCTCCCAAGTCTCTTCTACCCGAATCCATGTACGATGCTGGGTAGGGGTGGCCACGGATGGATGATACGAACAAGTCCCGCGGCTGGCGCGAAACACACGAATAGCATCACCGTATACTGCGTCGCGTTGTGTGTCGTGTTTTGATGTATTGTGCTGCTATACGCAGTACTTCTGCCCGTAAAGCTTGCAATCGCTACACTTGGCTCTCTAGCCAATCGAAGCACAACATGGCGCGTTCGACGGCTGCGAATGCCTGCCTGGGCCTGCACGACGATGGAGTTTGGGATGCGGTGAGCCCATCTAGGTAAGGTTCTTAGGGGTGGCAGGAGTATCAGTACGGGTGTCTATGGCCTGGTCGACACTCTCCCGGTCCAGTACTCTTATCATACATACCTACGTAGTATGGGCAGGACATGGTCAACTGCAAGCAAGGCTTCTTCTAGTGCGCCGAGCATCATGGGCTCTGCACCCCTCATGAACTCAGAACCATGGGCCACCAATCTCTGGCCGGAGAAATGACAGGAGGCCCGCCCCGGGGATCAGCGAGTCTACTGCGACGCTGCAGTTGAACGCTTCGGGATCCGCAGAGGTGCGTTATTGCAAGAACGGCGGGCTTTTCATGCAGTGTCCATCTTTTCTCTCTCGTCCTATGTCTGGGGACGCAGGTTTTCGAAGACACTACGACAAGACAAGATGAGCTCATGTGCCTTGTTCATCAGTATTCAAGTTCACCGCGGCTCAGAATCTTGACTTTCATCCGAGTTCTGTGTGCAATAGGTGGTGCACCGCGGCATGCACAGAAAAGGTCAGGCTAAAGTCGTTCCCGTCCAGACGATCAAACCGTCCGAGTCAAACGAAACGGCCACCCCAGAGGCAACTGAACAACCGTCGACGGCTTCGGTGCAACGTCAAACCTAGAGGCAAGAAGACCTTGGACTTCGCGCTGGCCCAATCAAAACACAGTCTACTAGACAGTCTTGGCACTCTGCGTGGCACCGGTTCGGTTGTCCGCTGCGAGATCCAAGCAGCACGAACCCGAGGATGCTGTGTTGCGGTGCGTCAAATCCCCTGGTCTAGGCCGACGTCGCGAGCACTGTGATTAATTCAACGACCTGATCAGACGGAAACAATCAGTGTAAGCTTGACCACCGCCGCACAACGTGCTGTGCCTGGGCCGTGTCTTCACTACTATCTGCCATCCGAAATCACGCTTCGGTGCCCGGGATGATGAAACAGGTACGCCTAAGTCGCCAGGCTGTCCCATTGACCCTCAAGACTACGGATATGTAGGTAGTGATTCCTGGTCGTGAGGCGAACCGACAAGGGGCAACACTTGAGATGAGCGGCAGTAGGAGAACCAAGCCATGAAAGTTCGCGGACTATTCTATTTCAGCCTCAAAGTTGGTCAGGCGGCAGCCATTATTCACTTAAACTCGACTACAGACCTCACTACCGCCACAGAGAAATAGCGTTTCTCGTCGCATGTTTCTGTTAGCGTGCGCCGAACGCGAATTCAATGAGACTCTGTGTTCATCGCACGATAAAGGACATGTCGAACCAGCACCTCCCTGCAAACTGCGATTGCCAGAGTTGCCAATTATTCGGCATCTTACAAAATACCATAACGCTCAGAAAGGGACAAAAATCCAGGGGCATGGCGAGACTGCTGAAGAACGTCGGTAAAGATGGCATCTCGGACTAGCAGCCTGTCGAGCGCGCTATCGCCAATCCTATCCCTTTAATAGCTGTCGATCTACGCCATGCCATTCCGAGAACGACTGAGAAACGCCACATTTCTGGCTCGTTCAGCCAGGCGCGAAGCTTTCCATTCCACTCCTTTCGCCCTCGATAGCTGGCTGGGCGTCTTTCCTTTGAGAGAGTCGCCTCTTCCGCCTCCTCATCAGCGAGATGGTTTCCTCAACTTTTCTCATCACGGCAGCAGCTCCAACTGCATCGATTAGCCCATCATGCTCGGCTCGACATCTTTATCCCAGCTCATGAAGCTCGTGGGGCCGATGCTCCTCATTCTCTGGTCAGTATGGTACTTGGGAATATCACGGCAGCATGTACAGACAATCACCCGCAAGTTCCGCAATCAAAGGGAGCTATTCATCAAAGATTTCCTCGAGCACGAAGTTGACGGACGCTTTGACGGCGCGGCTATCCAAGGCCTGTGTGCCAGCAAGAAATGGACAAAGGGATTGATGATGGGCTGCGATGCAGCACCAGGAGGGATTGGTGAAGTGCGGAATGCCCACTTGCACTGCATTCGCTTTGCGATCGAGGCAGGAGGTAAGAAGCATGTCCCTTGGTTAGAATGCGGATTTCTGGATGAGCTTTTCGTGCTAATCGATGCCAGCGGAGTTGATCCTACCCGAGATCATACCTCGTTCAGAAGACGACATCAAGAACATCAATGGACGGCCCGCTGTGCCTCTCGACTACTACTTCGACTCAGCCCACCTCAACCACGTTCTCCAGACATACTGTCCTCAGATGAGAGTACACGGGTCGATAAACGACCTGTACGACGTGCCGGAAGTTTTCGAGGCCCTCCAGTTTAGCATCGCGGATACGAACAGCAACTGGGTCAACGGCACCGTCCTAGCCGAGCCCTCAGACTGGAACAAGCAATTCCACGACTTCATCAACGAGAAGTCACCTCCTGCGGAAAGGGTATACCCCTTCCGCACCCACCTCAAACATACCCTGTGGACGTGGCCGACGGCCCGTGATAAAGCGCCCGTGGCCTCTTCCTTCGGACGCATGCTTCGCATCCGCCCGGATGCCCGGCGCCTCGCGGCCTCGGCGCTCTTCAGCCTCGAGTCCCGCTTCCAGCTTAACCTCGACCCGCGGACGCGGTACCACCCGTCGAGCTTCGTGGGCGTCCATTTACGCACCGAAGAGGACGTCAATGAGCGGTTCCCAGACTACACGACACAGGCGGCCAACTACCTGCACTACCTCTCCGAGTCGGAGTCGAGCGTCGCGTTCCTCGCCTCGGGCGCCACCGAGACCAACATCACGGCGTTTGTCAACCGTGCCGAGGACTTCAACGTCACGGTCGTCACCAAGACGGACATTTTGGACGACGAGGAGCTGGAGGCGCTGGAGGCGCTGACGTGGGACCAGCGTGGACTGGTCGACTACGAGATTATGCTGCGCGCCGGCATGGTGGCGGGCGTCAGCGCGAGCAGCTTCGCGTGGAACCTTGCGCTACGGCGGTCGTATGCCTTTGGGCAGGGTCCCATTGGCGTGCCGCTTGAGCCTGGCGAGACGATTTCGTGGAAGGACGAGTATACCACGCTGTACGGACGTCACGAGAACGCGTACGCTATGAGAGCGACGGTATGGCCGTGAGGTCCTCACGGATAAGGGAGGGGAAAAGCATTAATGACAAGTGTGTTTTGGCGGGACGTGAAGGGGACCAATGGAAACGAGGATGTTGACAAACAATAAGGCGGCAGTTCGCGAATATCTAAACAAAGATGGCTGGATGCTTATGGGTAGTGGTGGTCTACGGGCGTTTCTGTCATGTATCCCCATCTACAATGCAAGGGATATCATATCAGTCTCATGTCAGATGTCGTCTTGGGATGCGTGTGCACAGGCCTACAAGCCCGCCATACTGTGATGTTCTTCGTCTCGAATCACGCCGTTGGTTCCTTCTCGCAGCCCGATATCATATAATTCTTAGAGCTCCTCATGAATATTCGGTGAACGACTGCTTTGATAAATTGTCAAGAAGTCGCTATTGTCAATTTTGATCAATGGTTGGCTGGCATCATTAGGTGTTCACCTGCATATCGGGTTTTAGTGTGGTGAGCTTCACCTACCCAGGTTTTTTTTAGGTTTTTTTTTTTTTTTAAAACCCGGCGTTGGCCGAGCCATCTCGATTTCCCGTCGGGTGCATCCAAACTGCAAACGACGAATCGCTTCGGGTCCGGGTTCGAACCCCTCACTTCGGTCAAATACTTGTCCTTCTCATGCCGATGATTGCATGGCACAGTGAGGATAAATGTCGACCTGCTAGATAGCATGAGCAGGGTCTGCTTGAAAAGGGAGAGGTAAAGACGGCTGCGAGAATTCAGGTTGTCTAGCCAAACGTATTGGCTTGTTCAGTTCACTCATTGACTCACATGAAGGGACACGGCAATGTTTGTGTAACCATACTTGCCATGGTATGAGGCAGAGCAGACAAGCCGCCCCCGTGCCAATTATTCGCGAGGGACCCCCGCCACGCTACCTCACTTCACCCATTACCCCTCGTTCGAAGTTCGTCAAGCGAGCCGTCAGTGACTGACAGGTGAAAAAAGACAGGCAGGGAAACGGCAGGCAAGCGGCGACCACGGCTGCTGACCGGCATGAAGCGATGCATCCAACTGCAGCAGAGGTGCGTCCCTCTTGCGTAGCCCAGTGCTCCAGACCCCCGTCATGTCAGTCAAGTCGGTGGTAACCCCCCGCCGTCACGCGACTACGTGACCCGCCTCACGCTTCTCGGCTCTGGGGCCAGGACCGTTCTAGACGTCGGGGATATCATGATGAAGGAGCACGAATTGGGCCATTGGTGAAAGAAAAACATGACCTGGTTCCAGTTGCGTTGGTTGTTGGTTCGTATTTTGTGTAAACCTGGTTGAGGATATGTCGTGAGATGGATGAGGCAGGTGGGGGAGGGGGAGAAAGATGAGGGGTGAAGTGAAAATGGGACGAAATGGTTTCTACTACTGTGTGTGTATTAGTTGCCCAGGGGGCACTTCTCGCGGATGCAGGCTCAGCGTTGCTAGCTCCGTGTAGACCCAGAGCTTGGTATCCATCTCATGGAGATCCATGAATCCTTGCGGGCTTTTTTGCTTGCTTGCTTCTGCGAAGGCAGAGAGTGAGTGAAGTTGCTTTCTGGATCGTCCCCTTGCGTTGCTCATCTTCACGTGGCCGCCTCAAACTAAGGTAGCACTGCAAGTAGCTGTCGTGAGCTGCATGATACGGACCAGGTATGAATATTACACATTACTACACAGTAGGTTAGTCTAGAGACACGGGCTGCGTCTTTTGGTCAGACTCGCAGCTGAGGTTTTCCAGGTTTCCGGGGCTCCAATTCCAAAACGCATGCCACTCACTCACTCACCTCACTGAATGAGAGAGTGAGAGACAGGAAGTGAGAGAAATGTGCCGCTGCCCATGGCAATAAATCCACACGCGCAACACGCTCCGTTTTCGTAAAGTACACATCGCTGCCTTCCCCGTCGTTGTCCCCCCTCACATGCGCCTCTCTCCTCTTCCAGTCCTTTCTCTCACTCGCTCACTCACTCTCACCTTCACTCTTATTACTCACTCATCCTCAGCTCACTCTCCCCGAATTCCAGCAGACTGACGACCTACCTTACCGTACCGGCACACTGAACCACTCTCAGCTCTCTGTCTCTCCGTGTCTCGCCTTCCGTCACTCAGCCAGCCGTTCGCATCTTTTGGTACTTTTGCAAACTTACCTGCTACATTATATAATCCTTCTCGCCCCGGCCCGGCACTCCTCTCTGTTTCCCCCCACAGACAAGAACCGAAAAAAGAGCGTTCGAATCCTTTCAGATACATACTCTGTACTCCGTACACACACCTTTCGTACCGAGAAAGAAAAAGCAACAAAGGCAAATGTCGGTTGCCGACATCCGCGGAAATCCCTCTGCACAGCGCCTACTTTGAGCAAAGATACCACCCAACCATCCGCTCTCTTTTCTCTCGCTCTACGTTACCTTACCTCACTCACTCTACCCTTTTCCGCCCCCAGCTCCCCTCCCCCTCCCCCTCCACTCCGATCAAGAGACCATCGGCTTCGCGCCTCCCGCTGCCGGCCATGGCTACCAGCGCTGACATCATCACGCTTGACAACTTTGAGGAGCTGCTGCCAAGATGGGACCCCGCAGGCTCCAATCACCTATATGCGATTGTTGATATGGGCAGGTCAGTACCTAAGCTTTTTTGTTTTCCTCTTCGGTGCATCTATCCGCACAGATTCGTTTATGTCGAGAATTTCTTTTTCCTTCTGTTTCTGCCGGATCGCCCTCCAGGATTGCCTCGCCGATGGGCAAAACCTGGGGAAAGCCTGTCTCGTCTGTCTCTGCCTGTGCTTTTGAGCCTCAATTCTCAAAGAGCACACATCCCTTTCTCATTGACACACCATGGCGGCGGGCAACGTCAGCCGGACCACGTCTTTAGTTCCCGCTTCTCCTAAAAATAAATGCACCATGACAAGAACAAAAACACCTTTTTCAAATACTGACCCGAGCCACCGGCCCCACCAAACAGCAACGGCATCCGCTTCTCCATCTCGGACCTTACTCCTCCCCAAACCCGCCTGCTCCGGCCCATCTACCGCGAACGCGCCGGCATCTCCCTCTTCGACGCCCTCAACTCCGCCTCCACCGCCGCCTCGGAACCCCTCACCTTCCCCCCGGAAACAATCACTCAGGTCGCAAAGACCCTAGCCCGCTTCCGCCGCATCGCCGTCTCCTATGGCGTCCCGCCCGCCCACTTCTCCGTCCTCGCCACGGAGGCCATGCGCCGCGCCGCAAACGCCCGCGACATGCTGACCGCCATCCGCGAGGCCGCCGACATTGGCGTCCACGTCTTGGCCCCGGAGGTCGAGACCCTCTTCGGCGCCGTCATGGGATCGCGGTCTGCCTTCGTCGACGTTGCCCGCGGCGGCCTGTTCCTTGACCTCGGCGGTGGCTCCGTGCAGATGACCTGGGTCGACACGCGGCTGCCAGACTACGAGGTCGCCGCCGCCAAGGCGGGCGAGAGCATGCCGTTCGGCGCCGCGAGGCTGATTCGCATCCTCGAGGGGCAGTCGGAGGAAGTACGCATCCAGGAGAAGCAGAAGCTCAACGCGAGCATGCAGGGCGCCTTTGCAAAGTTGTGCGACAAGTTCCCCGCGCTCGCGCAAGCAAAGGCGGATCACGAGGCCGCCCACTCCTCCCCATCCACCACCACGAACGGCAGCGGCGTGGTACCCGGCGGTATCGACGCCTACCTCTGCGGCGGCGGCTTCCGCGGCTACGGCTGCATGCTCCAGCACAACGACCCGATCCAGCCGTACCCGATCCCCTCGGTGGGCACCTACACCGTCACGGGCGACTTCTTCAAGCAGACGGACAAGATGCGGCGCGTCAACCGCGAGCACGAGGGCAAGATCTACGGCATGTCGAAGCGCAGGCGGCAGCAGTTCCCAGCCATCATCGAGGTCGTCGAGGCCTTCATCCGCACGGTGCCGCACCTGCGCACCGTCACCTTCTGCGGCGGCTCCAACCGCGACGGCGCGCTGCTGATGAAGCTGCCCAAGAGCGTGCGGGAGAGTAACCCGCTCGAGGCGCTCGCCGGCTTCCCGATCCAGGGCCACGAGGAGAGCGGAGGGGCGGGAAGCGGCGGGGACTTGGCGGTCGCGCAGGCGATTCTGCGGACGCTGTACGGCGCCGTGCCGAAGAATGTGGATGTCTCGCGGACGCCGACGGTGTTCTCGCTGGGTCTGGGTCCGCTTTTTGCGAGGCAGGTTTGGATTCACCAGGGCGAGGACGACGATGCGAATGCGTCGTACGCGCTTCACGAGGCTGTTACGCGGGACCCTAGCGCGCCTGGGCTGACGCACCTCGCGAGAGCGGTGCTGGGGCTGACGGTGTGCGCGCGGTGGGGGTCGAATTTGGGCCCGATTGATGCGCAGCTGTACGGGAACCTGAGGGGTCTCGTCGCGGAGGCGAAGCTGGAGAGCGTGTTTTGGGCAGAGTATCTCGGTGCTGTGGCGGCTGTCATGGTTGATCTCGTGCCGGCGTGGCCTACCAGTGTCGAAGAGCTTGAGTCGACTTTGAGGTATGTGTTTTACGGACCCCCCTCGATACTGGAAAGTGTCGAGAACCATCGGCGGATCCGTGGAACATTACTAACAAAAAATCACACAGATTCGAAGCTACGCAGACGTCGGACCCCGAGAAGAAGAGGGCGAGCATCGATTTGACCGTCCACGTTGCGCCTGGCGCGGCGGTCGGCATCGATCCCGCAGACGTCATGGGTCGGTTGGCGAACGTTGGCAAGAAGCGCAAGGACGGGACGAAGCCGGACAAGAAGGTTTCGGTCAAGATTGTGGAGATGAAGTAGTTAATAGTGTTGTCCGCTGTTTTGGGTTGTTTATTTGACGAGTCGATGAATCTTATGAAAGATACCCCCTCCACTTAGCCGTTGACTTTTCCGCGTTTCGCCTGGCAACTGATATCGCTCCCATTCAAGGCCTTGTTAACGGCACCGCAATGCTCACGTTTATGATGAGATTTCTACTGGATGAAGCTTAGCCACCCAATCTAGATATGTCATACGCAACGGATGCTTCTTCCTGTTGTAATTCCCGATTTCCTGCGAGCGCAGAGCCCCTACGGGCTATAGATACCAACGAAATCGCTAGGTTTTCAAAGCTTATCTTGACCTCTGATATCCTCGTTTTTCAATGCCAGTAATCCGTACTTCCTTTCACGATATCCGTGTAACGACCGCGGCAGTAGCGGTCTAGTACGCCTGGCTGGCAGTAGTACGCAGTCAATTTAGCTAGACAGCACAGTCGAGTTAGCCGCAGTCATAAAGAAAAGTGATTGCAGTCATAAAGAAAAGTGCCATAAAGTCAAGTGTTCAATGTCGAGTTCTATTTTTCCTTCCTTTGAGAAATGTTCCAAACGTTTGGAGCAGCTGTTCGTGAACTCGTTCCTTTGTCTCCAGTGATTCAGTGCACCTTGTAAAACCTCAACCCCCAATATTCTCCTTTTAGTCAAATCTGTGTTGTTTCTGATACCTTTTATTGGCGTTGAGCGTCTGTTCTCATTCACCAAAGTCGCTGGAAGAGATTCCCACCCCTTAAGAGCAGGCCTCCTGGTTTCCGCATAGAACGCTTCAACGATGCACGGATTTCTCTTCTCTCTACGGCATCATCTTCAATGGTACACAACCCCTCTCTCAGGACGGAACTGCTCCGCCACCAAATCGAAACCAAACCTCACCCCAAAGTTTCAATCGAAAGACTACCCGAACCTCGCCCTCCACCGCCCACGGCGGCAGTACAGAGTAGACCCGTACACCCAAAACCAAGACCGAGGGCGGCGGCAGTAGTGCAGCCTCTGCAGCCGTGGTGGATTGACGCAGACGGGGATGTGATCATGATAGACATTTTGAACGTGGAAATGCGCAGTAGCTGGGTGTTTGACACGGATGGCGATGTCATAATGGGGGGATGCGGAGGGATGGGGTGGGAAGCGCGGCGGCTGCCGCCCGTGGTGGTTCCAGTGCCGGTTGTGGTAGTGCCGGACAAGACGGGGAGGCCGGGGTGTCCACTTCCACCGCGACCCGCTCCGCGGCCGTATGCAGAGGTTCGGCACAGCCTTGCGATTCCATGCAACTAATGGCGAGGCGCACTCCAACTCAATGGCGCGAAGGGGACCAATGAGCAGTGGCAATTCTATCTGAAATGAAGAACATGACTGGGCAGTATCATTTCACCACACCTGCTGCCTAGTAGGTACCGTACCTTGGATAGTTCCCCCCGCACTTTTGTAGAGCAACCAACCTTCCAGTCTTCACATAGATGGTTTGACCATCATGGCGGATCCAGGCCATCTATCTCTATCCGAGATTCAGGATGCTATCCACCAGCTAGGTAACATAGATGACTCTGTATTAGACACGTTTAAGGGCATGTAAGCTAACGTTGTGCTTGACCTATAGACAGAAACGAACCGGGTGCACGCCCGCTTCTCCAAGACCCAGCAAGACAAATACGATTGTTCACCCTCTGGCCAGGGACACAAGAGAGTCCGATCCATGGGGTATTCAGTGTGGCTACCCTCGACGACGGGCCTGATTATCAGTGTATATCATACGTTTGGGGCGATGCCTCGGATACAAAGGACATCACAGTGGGCGGGAAAGACTTCAAAATCACGACATCGCTGTTCTCGGTCCTACGGCGCATCAGATCCGAGCAAGAATACCTGACTGTGTGGGCCGACGCGTTATGCATCAATCAGGACGATCACGAGGAGAAGCGGGTGCAGGTCGACATGATGTTCGATATTTACAGCAAATGCAGTAATTGCTTTTTCTGGTTGGGAGAGGTTGACCTCCTCGATGGGGAACTGAGCTTAGACATTGCTCGCTACGGCTTGGACTTCATCGAATTCTGCGACGATACAGACTTGGAAAGAGAAAACAACGGCTTTTCGACGGCTGAAGGGTTGATGAAAATTTGTCTCACCTTTCGAAGCCTGGCCAAATGTCAGTGGTGGCGGCGAATATGGACAGTTCAAGAATGCGTCGCTCCTCACACGGGGATCTTCCTTTGGGGGCCTCTCACGATATGTCGATTCCCTTTGATACACTTCTATAAAAATAGTGTGCGCGCGGCATTCGAAAAACGTAGGTGGATAAGTGACAAGTGGGACAAGCACTATTTCGAGGCAGCGGGAGCAATGAAATCGCTGCTAGAACTACTCTCGACGTTGAGAAATCGAATCGAATCAAGGTCGCAGGCAGTGGTGGATGGTGTAGCTAGTATTAGCTTCCTTTGGAATGCCTGCGACCGCCGAGCTTTGGATCCGCGCGACAAGATCTTCGCTCTACTACCTTTCATTGCAGGAGCATTGGTGAAATCAAAGTCAAGCAACTATGACATCGACTGTGTAGAGCTATACAGCCGCGTCACGGTGGATCTCATCCGGTCTTGTCAATCGTTACTCCCACTCATGGGACGCCGGCAGAGCGAGACGCCCTTGGAAGGACCTTCTTGGGTTCTGGATTGGCGTCGCCAAGAGATGGCACAACATAAAGAGGTAAATGCGTTTACCATGGCTCTTAGATTGACCTACCACTTCGATGCTTCACATGGCCTTCCTCGGCTAGATCTACAAAACCTTCTTTCGGGCGACGGACGGCAGTTGAGACTTCGTGGACACTTCGTTGACACGCTTGTGGGCAAACTTATGCCACCAACTGGAGTCTCCGCGGGTTATGATGACCCCTTGAATTATATGCAATCCCTTAAAATCTTGAGACAAATATGGAAACAAAGCGTAGCTGAAGATGCTTTCAGTGCTTTGCGAAACCTGGATGGGCCATTGGTGACAAACGAAGTCGTCACAGAGTTTTCTGGGATGTTGGATGACGTGCTCGACCTACGTATACAATACGAGTCACAGGATTGGGAATTGAAAGAGAAAGCACAGCTGGTATCCTGGCTGCAATCTAGGATCATGACCATCTTTCTTGTAAGTGCAGGTAGGTTTGGCGTCGGAACTTGGGACGTAAAACCGGGCGACGAGGTCTGGATACTCTGTTCAGGCCATATGCCGCTCATTTTACGACCGGTCAGGGATGATAATGGCCACGTTGACGGTCCAGATACGTTTATTTTTTCCAGGGACGCATGATAGATACCACCTAGTGAGTGATTGCTATTTGCCCGGGATAATGAAAGGCGAGCTCTCACTCGCAGGAACTTCTTTCTTGCGAACTGTCACTTTGTGTTAAGCTGGTTTTGTATTTTTTTGGGGGATGTGCGTTTGTTTAGATCTTTCACGAGTTAATTTCGACAAATCTAGTCTCCTGTTCTGCAAGGCGGGCGTAACCTTGAGGTCTGTTATGCTTTCCCGGGTGCCACAGATATCAATACACGTACTGAAAAATGTTAGTGGAAATTCAAATTCAACGAAGGAATGCCCGCGAACCTTGAAGTACTTGTTCTGCAAGTCTGTCTCATCAAGGAGCCCACGCTCATAAGCCTGCTGCTCATTCTCCTCCGACGTCGCGTGTTCCGCTCTCCTAGACCGATTTCGAACCCACAGCAGACACCAGAGACCACCAAGACACGCAATCTGCATGCCGACGCAGAAAATCATCATCGCGACGCCCAGGGGGTACCGCGGCGCCTGCTCCGCCTTGAAGAAGAAGGGACCGACAAAGTTACCGAGGCAGTATCCGATCAGAAGCATCGCGTTCGTTGTAATCTTCTTGGTGTGACCCGCAGTGTTGGCCGTGGCGACAGACATGGACAGCGTCCAGGTCGCTGTGTAGGCGAAGGAAATCCAGAGGCAGGCAAGGCGGCCATAGGGGTTGGATTGGTCGATGAGCCAGAGGCCAAGGATACCGGCGAGGAAGGGGGCGAGACAGGTAAGCATGATGGCTATGCGAGCGTTTGGGTAGTAGGAAGCGAAGAAGCTGCGTTACGTTAGCTGGGAGACAGGAGGCTGAAGATTTACGGCTTGCTCACCATGCCAGGGGACATAGAATGAGCTGGACCGCTCCTGAAGGCATCTGGATGAGAGTAGTCTGAAGCGTCGAGAAGCCCATGCCCCTGATTACAAGACCTTGGAACTATCGTTGTGTCAGTTTACAGTCTTCAAGGTAATATCTGACCAACTCACCGTCGTCAGTCCGCCATTGGGAGTGTTACTCGCCACAGCAAACAAGAACAGAAGCCAAGTCTTCAAGTCCATCATAGCCTCCCTGAACTGGGGCCACTTGAACTTTTTGTTCTCAACTCCCGTGCCGTTCGCCTTGACGCGGCTAATGACCATCGCCTTCTCCTTCTCCGACAGAAACTTCGTCGTCAAAGGCGAGCCAGGGAGAAAGATGAGCATGAGAATTCCCCACGCCACCGTAATGGCACCCCAAAACAGGAACAGAATCCGCCAGCTTGCGATTGACCCTTGCACATGTCCGATTCCAAATGTAACGATACCAGCCGTGATGTATCCCAAACCTGCAGACCCAATCCAGATGCCCATACGAACAGGTTGCTCCTTTCTCGAATAGTACATCGAGAAGAGCAACATCGTACCCGGGTTTATTGAAGCCTCAAACGCACCCAAAAACGTCCTCGTCGCCGCGAGACCAGCAAAATTGTGCGATGCGGCGTGGCACATAAGGACGGCGCCCCACAACACCACGGTGGCCGACATGAAGGTGTTAATGGGCAGCTTCTGCAGCAGCACGTTCGTCGGGAACTCCCAGAAGAGATAGCCCAGGTACAGCAGCGCGCCGGCCCAGGAGAACTCGGAGCCCGTGAGGCCAATATCCTCGCGGATGCCGAAGACGGCGGCATAGCTCAGCGTCGTGCGGTCGATGGACTGCAGGGCGTAGGTGATGCAGAGGAGCGGCATGAGGCGAAAGTCGAGGCGTCGTAGGAGCGCAGAGCTCTCTTCCGGGTCGATCACCTCGCCTTCGGCTGCGTCGAGGAGGTCGAGGGGCTTTGTTGGCTCGGAGGCCATGAGCTCCTCCTTGGGAGTCATTTCCGTCTTCATGATTCGCTGAGTCGGATCTTGGGGGAGAGAAGAGATGGTGCTTCGGCCGCTGCGATGCGAGTCGCCCGACTAAATCTACATCTAAAGAACATCTAGCTATATAGGGTCATCGGTAACGCGAGTGCCGGATCTACAGACATGTTGTCAATGATTCGTTATGCCTCCGAGAAGCAGCAGATAAGAGCCGATGGCACGACTAGGGGGGTGTTATTGCTTCCCGCGGAAAAGTCTTATCACGGTTGAAGTCATCCGCGGCCATGACTTGCGCAGATGCTACCCCGCGCATAACGTTGCAACGACCAGCCGTGCTTCCGAATATGAGCAGTTTACATTTTTTGCAGGCCATTTTCTGGAGGCGTCTAGACAGTCGGACTGTCAAAACAGTATCATGTATAAGCCACCAGGACCCGGCTTCAGTGGGATATTTACGCTTAGAATTGGGGCAATGCGATGAACCGTGGACCATTGAGAGATTATTCGCATCACCCGTCCAGTATCCTCGTGAATTGATAGTCATGCAATTTGTCAATCTAAAAGAGACCTCTCATAAAAATTCATTTAATAGCTCCGAGTCCTACTTGTCGTCCAGATACAAGCCCTCGTCTGGAGGCGGAACACCATACCAGTCCAAGCCCAACTTATCCTCAGGATCAGGGTCTGGCATCTGATAGTACCCATCATACCTCCACCAAGTCCGATCTTCCCACACATCCTCAACCGGCAATACTCCTTCAGCCTTCATCTCATCCCTCACCTTCTCAACACCACGCCACACTCTCAAGATGTTCTCACCAGCTACCTTGGCAAGCTGCTCCTCAGTCGCGCCCCTATCAAGGATAGCCTTGAGGAGTTTCGGGTAGCACTTGACGTCTTCCAGGCCAGGTATAACCGACGCGATACCGTCAAAGTCGGAGCCGAGACCGACATGGTCCCAGCCGATGCGCTCGGCAATGTAGAATAAGTGGTCGAGAACCATGTCCATCTTGGCGTCCCGTCGACGTGTAGTGACGTGCTCCGGGACAAAGGTTACCATCACGATGCCACCGTTGGCTGGGACCATGTCTAGGATGTGGTCCGGGACGTTGCGGGGACAGTCAAAGACGCCCTTGACGTTGGAGTGGGAGAACATGATTGGTGCGCGGGTCTGTTCGAGGACTTGCTTGGCGCAGTCTTCTGAGACGTGGGAGATGTCTACAATCATTCCTGCGAAGGGCTAGTGAGCCGGCTGCTTGTTTAATGTCATTATCTTGCTCACCTAATCTGTTCATCTCAATCAATGCTGCACGTCCCAGCTTGGAGAGTCCACCGTGCACAGCGCCGACTTTGGATGTTGAGCTATCGGCGAATGCATTGTTGCAGACATGAGTGAGAGTGCACTAGCAAAGTCAGTACCAAAACTACCAGCATCTCGAAGCATTTTCAACTGACATATCTGACGCCCAGGCGGTAAAATGCTCTAATGATACCAATACTATTGCCAGCCATGTGCAATCTGTCAAGCTTATTAGTCTTTCATGAGCCTCTCAACACCTCAAATTGAGCACACACCCTTCAATACCGATAGAGCAAGCTATCCTCCCAGACTCGTAAATCTTCTTCACATCATTCGGCCCATTTACCAACTCAAACGTCTCCGGATACGACTCGACGAGCCGAAGCGTCATATCAATCTGCTCAATGGCGTCGCGCGCCATATCTGAGTACTCTGCCGTCGAAAAGTTCTCCGCGGACCTGAGACAAGGGACGCAGATGGACCAGAACTGGCCTCCCACGGCACCTTCATTTTGTGTAAGTCATATAAGCCAATGCGTTAAAATGAGACAGTTTAGTTCAACTCACCCTCTCTCAGTCGTGGAATATCCGTCATTCCCCTCTCGAATCCATTTGCGAAATCGAATTTCGGGTTGTTGTGAATCTTGCCGTGGAAGCATGCCCGCGGTTGCTGAGGCAGATCATTGTGGCCGTCGATGAGCGGTGTCCTGAGAAGAATCCGCTTGACTCGCTCGTCAATGTCGAGCTTCTGATAGGGATGGTCTGATGATGCCATTGTGTGAGTACCAGCTTTGTTGGTCAATTGGGTATTGTTGCCAACCTCAACACGCGATTGATCTGATGAGAGGGTTCGACAAGGTACTAGTAGTTGAGAAACAAGTTATGCGCGGAGCTCATTAAGGTGATGTTCATTTCAGTTTAGTCTGCGTGCCTGCGTTTCCTCGGTCAACTGTTGCTAGAGACTCAGAGTGTGGGTTTCCCGCGCAAAAGGAAGGGACCCATAGATATGACCCCGACGTTTGATTTGGCCGCCTTACCATCGCGGGGAGTCATGTTAGAATGCTCGGATAATAAGATCCAGGGTATTCCTTGACCCCGCTGGTTCGAGCTTAGATAAGAGCTAAGATCGTCTTATCTTGTCTTATTAGTATGGATACACCAACCAATCTCAAGGATGCTGGCTTCCAGGTTCCAGAGTTTCGGGTCCTCGCATGATGGTGTCCACACGGGAGCTCTCGAGTCTCGATGGATAAGTGTGAATTAAACAAAGTGACGAAGTTCTCTTAAGGCTTCTCTTCCCGCAGACGCTCCGGTGGTGATTAAGTTCAATGCAGACTGGGGACTTGGGAGTATGATGTTCGAAGAGTCTTAATGGTTAATAAGTACAAAAAAGCTATGATTCCATGATATACAACGTTCTGTCCACTATCCTTGCCGTTCTCAAATAGAACAGCGTTTTGTTGCTTTTGCTAATGATATGGGTATCCTTCAAACACAATCGTATGATCATAAATGACGCTAGAAACCGACCTTGATAGGAAATTTCACCGTAAACTCCAGCATCCAATTTCGAAAGATGGAAAGAAAAACACTCGCTCACACACTAATAGCCATCCATAATCACATCTTCATCATACTGCCCAGACGCGCCACGCTTTGCGCTGACCTGCTTCTTGGGAGCCGACCGGCGTTTCAAGACCTTCATCTCGGGATCTACAACAAGCACCTTGAGACGCTGGTCAATTGCGTCCACTCCAGCGGCGATTCTTTGATCTACGCATTCCACTATTAGCGCTACGTCCCGCTTTGGAGAGAGGGGTCTCAGGAGAGGGCAAAACCTACGAAAAGTATCGCGGAGTTCCAAAATGCCGTCAAACGCTTTCGTGAGACCAACCTGCTGGGTTTCACCAGCAGGCCAATGACCCTTGACACTCTCGAGTGATAGCAGCTTCAGCG